CCCACCCTGTGTTCATGGGTAATTTTCCGATACAAGCCAGGGTTCAGTTAGCTGACACTAATATATGCACTAACATTATGACGCTGACAAAATGAACTTGCAGGAAATCCCGCAACCCCTTGCCATCCCACTTTTGAAGGTTGCTGCTCAGCTTGAGCTGCCGCCTGTGGCTACATTTGCTGGCCTCTGTCTGTGGAATTACAAGCCGATATTTGCTGATGAACCTGCAGATTCTCTCGAGAACCTTGCTACTTTATTCACATTTACCGGTTCTGTGGACGAGCAATGGTTCTACCTTGTTTCGATCGCCATTGAGGCGAGGGGTGCCCGGTCCATACCCATCATGCTCCAAGCTATAGCCGCAGCTCGTGCCAACCAAACACAAGAAGTTACGGAGTGTCTGACCAAGTTTGCTGAAGTAGTTGACGAAGTAAACATGGAACTCCAGAAAATGTACAAGCACTGTGACCCGCATGTGTTCTACCACCGCATCCGCCCGTTCTTGGCAGGAAGCAAGGGTATGGCCGAGCTCCCGCGTGGTATCCGCTTTGATGATGGCACCGGCCGTCGAGAACACAAGCACTACAGAGGAGGGAGTAATGCGCAAAGCTCACTGATACAATTCTTCGATATCGTTCTGGGTGTTGAACACCGTCCTACAGGTGAATCTAGACCGAAACCAACTACCGCTTCCCTTGCATCTTCATCTTCAAGTGATGAGAGCGGAGAAGGTAGGAAACGATGGCACAATTTCCTCATGGAAATGCGGACATACATGCCGGGGCCACACCGAAGGTTCCTCGAACACGTCTCCAGCGTTTCAAATATCCAAGATTATGTCCAATCACACCAGTCAGACACGGAGCTGGTCGTTGCATTTAATACGGCTGTTGCAATGGTCAAAGCCATCCGAACGACACATATCACAATGGTTTCACGGTACATTGTGGTTAAATCACGCGAAGAGCGGGATACGAAGGCTTCATCATCACCGCCACTTGTACCTCGATCACAGCCTCAACCCCAATCGACGCCTGGTGGAATGCTCATGTCTAACCGCCCCTCGAAAAATGGCAAGAAAGCACCTCTCCGCGGCACTGGTGGTACAGCCCTCATTCCATTCTTAAAACAGGCGCGTGATGAAACAGGTGAAGCTGCCATAGGACCATGGGCGAAGAAGCTCCTTGATAAAGCCGGTGTCCAAGCACCCAAGGTAGCTTCTCTACCAAAACTTGATGAGCATGCCGATGGCCAGATGCAAGTGGTTGGGCTAGCTGGAACCTGGTCTATGGACGAGGGCGAAGGCGGCCTTTGCCATTGGTAAAACCATTTTTGCCTTGTACTTGCTTCTACACCCCCGTTACCATTCTCAACTCAATCATTGTTACCATTTGCTTTTTAGCTAATAATGCCCCTAATGGTCTGATGATATGTACAACTTTTGTTTTTAACTCTTACGTTAACTCTTTTTGTCTTATGCCATCTTTTTTCAATATGCTTAGATGTTTGGTTTTTCTATACTGTGATACGTGGATACAGAACACTTTTTTCATATATCACCAGCCTCAAGACGGGTTCCTTTTTATGGACTAGCCATCTAGAAAGAACAGTAAATGGATGAAGATTTTTTTGCTCTATAAATGATAATTTTATCTTCTCGACCTTCGACCTCAAAGTATAAGAATATTCAGATAGTGAAAAATGATGACCTCACTGTTGGGTATGGATTCCGCTTATGTCCACCTTCCGCTGTAGAAAACCCCCACTGAAGGAACCAAGTCAGAGTTGGCAGCATATCGCGGCGCTGTCCATCCTTCATCATCAACAGCATTGACATCTGCGCCATGCTCCAGTAGAGCTTCCAATCGAGCCACCGTCTTCGGATGCTAGATGCAACGCAGTAACACCTTGCCGATTCCTCGGGTTAACCGCAGCTCCATATTTCAATGGAGTCCAGGTTACTTCTTCGCTGCCACGACGAGGTGGCTTACGCTGGATTTCCAAAACCCTCAAAGTAAACAAGACGCTATAATCTAACTGGGTACCTCCCCTGCGAAGTGGTGGCAGATAAGGGGCTATTGGGCTGGAATTCAAGTGACGTCTTTCACTGATCTCTTTTGCGCAAGAAAGCTGCGTGAAGCGGCGCATTACCAAAATTATCTGTGGCATTGCACTGCAGCCCGTTTTGAATCAGGGCGTTTATTGCATATGTGTTCGATGTCTCTGCGGCCAGGTAAAGTAATGATTTCCCGGAAGACGTCCTTTCATTGATATCTGCCCCATTGCTGACAAGAAACTGTAGTATTGCTCGGATATCCTATTATTCATGGATTTTACCCCATGCAATCACATGTAACGGTGTTTCGCCTTCTAAGCCCCTAACTTTCAGGTTGCCTCTAGCCCCTGCCGGATGACATTGAGATTTCCTGAGCCACACGCAATATGGAACAGCGTTGTACCTTCAACAAGCGAATTGGTTCCCCCTTACTGTATAAAAAAGTAATTCAAAAATGTTTCAGTATCCTGATCGGGCAGCGTCGAACAGAAAGGCATGGCAAAACTTGCCGTACTCGTACTAGTAGCCTTCTCCTTTATATTATTGTTGATACAAAGTGCGACCTCTTGATTCCACTGCAAACTGCAAGTCACCGGAGTCAGAACACGGGACTTAAACGGGATGATACGGAACTTCATATTAATACCAAGTATTAACTACACAGCCAGGCCCATCCCCTTAGATGCTTTCCGAATCAAGGCTTTCTTCAAAAAAGCTTCTCTGGCTAAATTTCTCGTCGACTTGGCCCATACATCTACCCCAACTCGTCCTCTGACGAGTGCAGACTGAAGAGCATATATCGCTCGTTGAATACCACGTTCATCTGTCACAAGATCGTATATTTGCTTTCCTACAACCGTTGGAGCAACAAGTACCTCGTCTATAGCAGGTAGTCCAGCCGGTTGTTGAGAGGATGATGACGCAGATGAAGATGATATGCGTGACTTGGCATCTGCAATAACGCCGTCAGCGCGATGAAGAGATTGCTGGAGTATTTGGGTATTTGTCTGGATATTAGCATGAAACGCGTTTACCGCAGCGATCTCAGCTCGGAGAGTTGCAATGGCGTCATGTAGTGCTTTTGACTGTGAATTCAGGGGCTCTATGCGAGAATTTGCTTGTTCGATGTTGGCGTGGAGGGTTTGAGTTAAGGTCCGTGAAAGTGTCTGCAGTAGCACATCTTTCTCCGGATTTGGGGGAATTGGAGGTGGGGAGGATGGGGGTAGTTGGGCAGGTAGTTCTAGATCAAATGGAGAGGTAAGAAGGTCGGGAGTCTGTGGTTTCTTTGGTGGAGATTTTGCGGTTGGATGTTGTAGAAGCCCGGGTTGGGGAGTATGTGGTGGGCCATACTGGTGATGGGCTGCCTGCTGTTGTGAATGGTGTACTGCATGACCGCCGTGCTGGGGCTGAGGGGGCTGAGAATGATATGGAGGCTGATGAGTGTGTTGATATTGGGATATAGGGGGTGGAGATCTCCCTGGTGGACCCTGAAGGTTTGGCGGTCTGTGGTCCTGGTGTTGTAGGGTGTAGACCTGGTGTTGACTTGGGTGAGTTGGAGGTGGAGGCTGGAAGAGGGGAGGGACTTCTCTTCTTAGGCTGCTTGATCTTTGGGGTAGATACTGGTTTCCTCGGCCCTCTGGCCCTCTGCTTTCTCCTTGATAAACGACGGACTGTAATTCTGCAGGGAGAGGTGGTAAGGGTGGTGGTACATTGCGCGCGGCATTCTCAACTGGGATTTCTGCAGGGTGAGGCCTCTCTCCGCCTAGTTTTGGAGGAAGCTTTGGAGGGGCTGGCGGTTGTGCTGCTGGCGTCGATGAAGCGCTTGGTGAAGGTCGTGCTAGCTCAGCTGGCAATGGAGGCACTGCGGGTGGAGTATTCTGCGTTTCCGGCGGTGGTTGTCTCCTGATCGGAGCCTCTTTAGATATCACAGGTGGTTCTTTCGTAAACACGTCCTTTAATATCAGAAGGAAGTCAACCAGCGTAGATCGCTATAAACCGTCAGTATCTGTAGCCGGTACTGTCCCTTCATGCCCGTGATAAGAACATACATCCCGAGCCTCAGCCCAGTGTGCAAGATAATGGTGGTATATCCTCCCATCACTGCTAACATGCTGGCCTGGTCTCACCAACATATCTGGTGTTGGGGTCACATAAACCATCGGGCACGCATCTGGATACAAATTCGGAATCCATATCGCAATCGGGAACCGGTATACAGCTCCTCTAAAATTCACCGGCAACGTGCCTGTCAAGTGTAGAAGTAGAGCTGATACGCCGTTTTCATATGCTGCCAAGTCGTTCAGTATACAGAAGAAACACCGCCTCAACGAACAACGAGCGAGGGAGAAGAGGCACAAGGCGTACTGTAGACATCTGTCCGGGGAGAGAATGAAGGGAACTGGGCTAAAAGCTGAGCTGTATCGCTATACGTCCGGTTGGGATCGCGGTATGCTTGGTTTGAATCGTGTGCATTCTATGGTGGTTAGCTTGCAAGCAACGAACGGAGGCTGGAGATGTTTCGCACGCTGGTCAGAACTCGGTAGAGCCATTCTAGAGTCTTCTGTGGCACTGCTGCCATGGTCGTCTCCTCGTAAAATTGGGGCCAGCATCATCAAGCTGGCGTGGTGGTTGTCGAGGAGGTCGAGGCGGGATTATTTTTTGGTGATCACGATGTTTCGCCCAGAGCTTGGAAGGCCAACACAAAGTAAGCACCGTGACAAGCAATATATCGATGAACGAATGCCATATTATTCTAGAAAAATGATGCAGTAAGTGAGTTTACTCTTTGACTACATTTACACTGTATAATCCACTTGTCAACAATTTGGAAGATTATGTAGTGATTTCATATCTATCAAAACGGAGGAGAGAGCATATCAAACTCCGGGGTCCTTGACAAGATAGTTACTTGTGGGGGTTAATGAAAAAAAGTGACGGCCTTGGGATCCGAATAATTAAAGAAAAAATTAAAGAAAATTCTGGTATTAAAAAAGGAGAGGATGCAAGGCTATACATGGCCGAGGAGAACCCAATCAACTTTGCATGCTTCTCTGTGGTAGTAACATGCACTCTCGCTTCATACTCTATTGCTGGTAACACTAAAGTTACGCTCTACAGCGATGTTGTCCGTATCATGTAGCTCGGGGTACAGACGATCGAAATGGTCAGCGGACTTGACTTTCTCAGGGCCTTGCATCGACCCAACAATTGTTGAGGTTGGGTGAGAGAAGCTGCCTCCTGAAATCTTGTTTCGGTCGAACAGTGATTTTTCTGAGCTGCCTCCCCAGAAGTGGCGACCGGAACCGTGCTTGTGGTTATGTCCATGGCGAACGGCAGCGGCGGACCAGATGGTTGTGAGTGGCAGAGATAGTGCAAGGAGGGTGAGTATGTTCGTGTTGATCTCGAACTCGGGAATAAAGTACTGAAGTATCGACATTATGGCTGGCGTTTTTATTGTCGTTAGCAACGTTATATATGTGGTGGTACGGGTCGATTAAGGTATAAACGTACCTGGAAGTATCATAGTCTGGCAAGCCATGATGAAAATAACTTGCATGACTCCGAACCCCTTTATTCCCAACAATCTTCTGGTATAGATTGCATATCCAAGCTTGGCCATGAATATCAAACTGAAGTAGCAAATGCTGACACTGATGCTAATGTTTGATGAGCTTTGTATCCAGACGTTCTTCCCCAACGAGGACTGGGTCATTATAGCCTTGATATTTTCAACCATGAAGGCAATTCGAAAGGCAATTGGAACTGCGGCCACTACGCATGACCACGCGAGGAGAGCATGTCGATATAAGTCACGGAGGGTGGAACACAGAACTTGAGTTTGAACAAGGAGGGATAATTCAATCAAGATAACCATGAGGCCAGTGGCTATAGTTCCCATGACAGAATTGGCGTAAGCACCAGCTGTGATTCGAGAGTAGTCGCCGGAAAAGTAGGTGTAAACTTCCACCCAGGCACTGGTGAAGAATACAGCAGAGGACAATGTTCGGCAAACGTTCACCAGTAGGGTCGTGACGTTCAGACAGAAAACGAGCGATCGTCGCTTCTCTGGGGATGTAAGCAAGGCGAGGAGAACTGCCATCACAACCGAAGCTCCCAGCTGGGAAGCAGCTGCAATAGAAGTTCTCACGGCGTACAGAATGAACTTGTTGAATTCCGCCATGGAAATGGGGAATGTGCTGCCATCACCGCGGACGAAGGTTACGCTCTGCTGGAACGGGTCAAAGTGCGGCGCCATTGTAATTGCTTTCGGAAAGACGTTCCTGATATATGGGTGGTATGTTATTTGGTATGAACGTGAGATCTGCAATTGCATGTATAAGTCTGAAGGAAGAAGGGAATCAAGATCTCTGAGAGGAAGACGATGTGCCTTTTAAAGAGACATCATCAAGAGGAAAGAGGGCGCGGCCTCCGAGGACGAGAGGGATCTCCTCATTGTAGCCGTTTGTCACTGCAATAGTTCCATAGGGAACCTGCAGGACGATGTCTAAAATAATAGACAAGTATCTCCCGGACAAAGGCGGCAGAGACATTAATGCCGGACTGAATATTGACACAGTCCATATTCAGACACGGGGAACAATTCTGCAGGATCCCCCAGGCGCCTATCAAGCAGACCGCAGGAGGACAAACGGAAAAATGGAATAAATAAAGAGGAATAATAGCCAGTCAGCGGAGAAGATGGTAGTTGAAGTCACAATAGGTTGAACATGTTTGATATCCACAGAACTTGAAAAGAGGCGAGGTTCGTTTAAATTTAGGTTCCGACCTGCAGGAACAATATGAAGCATGCGGGTGTTGCTGCAAAGAACAATATCAAGGCTGCATGATCTTCGGCAGCCCGAACCAAACGCCCGTTAGCGCGGAGCAGCAGACCGTCACAGTCCAGCCAGCAGAAAAAAGTGAAGAAACCCGTGATACGAGGTACTTTTGCGGTCCATCGAACGAACAGACAAAGTGTACAGCTTTTGTTTCACAGATTGTTTTGTTGATGGTTGGAAATCGATCTTCACGTGATATCAAGTCGCAATTGGAGACGACAACCAGTGTTATCATATAAAAAGCCAGGAGAAAGGCCTTATACATAGGAAATATCTAGGAATTCAGTCAAACCTAAAAAGGAGGCGCCAAATCCCCAGGCGGGCGGGTGGAACCTTTCCGGAAGCCTGAAGATACCCGGGGTTGTCAGCTCCATCCCAGCCCACGCCACTCCCGTTCTCCGTGTTAGGATGTTGGTTTGAATGCATACTATGTATACTGAAAGCGAGGAGACTGCATATAGGCTCCTCGAATAGGATCCCGTCGCGATACCCTTAGTTTTGCAAGGCAGTAAACCTGCACGGGAAGTTCATGCCCCGTAAGGCGGGGGCACAGATATGAGCTGAAGGCCTGAGGACAACCCCGTAATATTGGGTACTTGTGGCGCATCTAACACCGTCTGCTGCCTGGTCTCAGCACCGGGGAGAAAGAGATGCGTGACTAGTTCCAAAGTATCCTGCTTCGACGGGTTCTAGTCTCATGCATGATACTCGACCATGCCGTGCGTTCCATGCCTTCCACGGGGCAGCAATGGAATGGTACCAATTAGGTGCCATTATTGCGTTTGTAGTTCGTAAAGGGTAAAAATAAAATCGTGGCAGACAATTGATGTCTATTTTGTATCATGTTATTGACCATTACCAATAGCAACAGCCATATCTGGAGTGAGGGGATACGCCACTAGGCAAGATTCTTAGGTTAGGTGCTTCATACTGGAAATGCCTTGCCATCACGAGCTGCATGAATTCTTGTAGCTCTTGTCCACTATCATGGCCCCTATCATCCGCCAATTAGCCAAGGCATGTTGAAAGATGTCTGATATTGAACGTTTTGGAGAAATGGCGAGCTTAGTCATCAATGGTTAAAACATCTAAAAAACAATCACAATATTTTCGTTCAGCAAATAAAACATCAACAAGTAAAACCACACCATATAACCAGACAACTTTACTTCGCCCGTCAAGGCTATAAATATCTCTCAGTTATATACCGATTGGGTATACACGCATCAAAGGAGCAATGGCAGAGATCCAACCTCCGCCGCCGCTCCCACAGCCGTTTACTTACTGTGACCCCGCCAAAACGCCAGTCTTGCTCGCACAAGGTGCAGAAGCCCGTCTTTACAAAACCTATTTCTTGGACCCTTCTATTCCTGCAGCATTAAAAGTACGCCCATTGAAGCCGTATCGTCATCCTATCCTGGATCGCCGGCTAACCCGCCAACGAATTCTACAAGAAGCAAGATGCATGACCAAGTTAGTCAGAGATGGTGTTCCCGTGCCTGGGATATTGGCGGCAGACTGGGGTCAGAGTTCTGATCTGGACTCCGAACGAAAGGGAGAGAGCAGTGCTAATAATGGCGGTTGGCTGCTTATGGAGTGGATAGATGGCGAAGTAGTCAGGCAAGTCGTGAATAGCTGGGAGAGATGGATGAAGTCCAGCGAGGCACTAGAGGAGCGGGAACCGGCTGATACGGATATGAGCTCAAAGATGGAGGCCATAAAGAAAAGTGAGGAGAAGGTTTGTGCCCTTCTCCGAAAGATAGGAAGCGCCGTCGGGATGCTACATAAGACTGGAATCATACATGGCGACTTGACAACCAGTAATCTCATGCTACGGCGAGACGATGGTGCGTCAACTGAAACAGTGTCCCAAGAGGCGGATACCAAGAAAATGGAACCAGGAACAGAGCCACCTTCCTTGGATGGAGAAATCGTTCTTATTGATTTTGGGCTTGCGAGCCAGAGCATCCAAGATGAAGATAGAGCAGTGGACTTGTACGTTCTCGAACGGGCATTCGCCAGTTCCCATCCCAGGACTGAGGGGTTATTCAAGGAAGTTCTTGAGGGGTATGGAGATAGTTTCAAGGGTGCCAAACAGGTCCTGAAGAGACTGGAGGAAGTCCGCATGAGAGGAAGGAAGAGGAGCATGATCGGATAAGTATAAGCTCTTACAGAGGAAGCTAGTGCATTTCGATACTTACAGGAATCTAAAGTCAAGCAAAAGAAGTATACATACTGGCGTCATACGCTTTGGGTATTCTGCGGATTTATCGTCTATTAGTGCATCTAGGCGCTGAATAACGCTTAATCAAAGAGGGGGCATAAAACAGACATGCTCCAACAGGGAATAAAAAAAGAAGCTAGCCGCACCCGAATTCTCGAAAGTCATGGCCTAACGTCAGCAAGTGCGAAATATCCCTTATTCTCAATCACGCCTCTATCTTTCACGACGGCGGTATACTTGATAACCCACTGCGGCTCTATGTCACCTTTTATACCGCCATCATCAGCATCTGCGGTTATCGCAAGTATACCAGCGCCCTTTTCGCTGCGGGATAGCAGATCTCGCGTCGTACCCTGTGGGAGGATGTCCGTGCAGTCATTATGCGTTAGAAGATCAATGTTCTCCTGTTTTGCATAAATAATTAACGACTTTGGCGCAACACAGCAGTCTTTGACGTTGATCTGGTCAACGCTGGGTCGAATCTTTGTTTGTGCCAGGAGCTTCGCCAGTCGTGAACTGTCAAACTCTGCGATACCGAGTTGGGAGATTATGCCTTGCTCATGCATCGACTCCAAGGCCCGCCATGTCTTGACTATATTATCGAGTTCCGACTCCGTCTCCTCACCATTTGAAACCTTTTCACCCTCATCATCGGCGTCAAAAGTCACTTCCGGAAATGAGACGATCAACAGGTCTATGGAGCTGATATGCAACTCCTTTAGAACTAGGTCAATCGACTCACGTGCATGTTGGCACCTCCGTTGCGCCGGGACTCCAGGTAGATAGAACAGCTTGACTGTCACATCATACTGCGAACGATCCTCCAACAAGCCTGACATGGAAAAATCAAGCGAAGGTACATAAAGCGTGTCACCTTCTCTGGTAGTCCAGGTAGTATAGTCACTATAGGAAAGCTTTTGAGGAGCCGAGTGTGTCTCTTCGCATGGCGAATTAGTGTGGGACGGCTCGATCTCCTGCGCGGAGACGAAGTTATATCGCAACGAGTTTAGGAATTCCACATTGGACTTCTCTGTCGCTGGCCTTCTGACCACGGACGGCCCGCTGTTGACAATGTTTCTGCCCACGGACAAATAATCAAGTTAGCATTCCTGTTTGCCGTCGCATAGCAACTCGCGGCAGACTTACCCGGTAGATAGTAGGAGCTTCATCTTCACTAACGGTTTATGATGCTTGCCTTGTGTATGTATATCTAGATAGCATGGGCTGAAGACTGCGCTCTTATATAGCGAGCATCAGACTGGCTACAGGCACATCCCGGCTCGAAGGGCTCGAATATCATGGAAGCAGACTCATTTGCATTTGTAATGCGGGATGTTCTTTTTCTTCGTTTTCTACGGTGGGGAAGCACTCGGAAGTTTTGCGGACGGCTTTTTAGAGCTTAGTCAGGCTATTTATTACATACGAGTATAGAGTATAGATATAATAAACGGTAGGATGTATATAAAGACGTTATGATGGCCGTGATTATCATCTCGTCCTGAGGATAAGAGTGTCGTACATCCATACTGTGTACGGAGTATACTGTTGGCTATGTAGTAGGATACATTTAATATTCTCACCATCAAGTTCTTCAAGGTCAACATTCTCCAGCATGAACACATAACTCTCCCACTTTAAACATGATATATATAGGTTATAAGCTGCAATATCTTCACCATCCTAAGTATATCTACTTCTTAGGCGGCTCAAAAGCCGGCGGACGAGAAGTACCAGTACGCGGTCTTGGCATCAAAACTCCCTCCAAACTTTTTTTTTTGGGCAAAAATCAAACAAAACTTCGACTTTCGTTGTGCCGACTTTCTTCCAACGTTGAACGCCAGCAAAGAAACGACATAATGGCAATAAAGTAAGTCTTCCTGCCTGCTAGCTGACTAGTGCAGACAAACTGACTGCGCTCTAGCTATCTAATTCTGCTCTCTCGCCAGGGCAAGGTGGTCAGTAACCAGCCACCCGCTCGTCACCCACCACGAAGCAAACACCCCCCCCCTCGGGAGAAAGTCCTTTTCAACAACCCCCCCTTTTGACGTTCGCACACATGAGAGGGAGAAAGCTGTGTTCTTTTTCCCTGATATTTCTGACCGGATTCTGGTATATGTAGCGTTTGGCAAAATGGTTCACGACGCTCTCACCCAAGGACAAGGCCAAAATCATCAAAGATGTCACCCAGCTCGTCCTCTCGCGACGGACACGGATGTGCAATTTTCTCGAATATAAAGGTGTGTATTTGATGCGTCTCCGCACTTGGTTGGACGAAGAATAAGAGCCACTAATATTGTGGTGTTCCATATAGATTCCAAAGTCGTGTACCGTCGATACGCGTCCCTCTTCTTCATCGCCGGCTGCTCATCGACCGACAACGAGCTAATAACACTCGAAATCGTGCATCGATATGTCGAGCAGATGGACAAGTACTACGGCAATGTCTGCGAGCTAGACATAATCTTCAACTTCCAAAAGGCCTACTTCATCCTCGACGAGCTCCTGCTGGCAGGAGAAATGCAGGAAAGCAGCAAGAAGAACGTGTTACGGTGTATCAGCCAGCAGGACAGCTTGGAAGACATGGAAGTAAGTGGGCCTATGGTGTTGAGCAACGCAGACAGACGTTCCCCATCTCCACGTTCCTGATGTCGGAATGAGCAATTGTCAAAAGTCATCTCCAGCGTCGTAATGCTTTTTTTTTTTACGTGTTTTTGGTTGCTAATTCCTTTCCTCTTTTTCTGCTCCTCAGGTTGAACAGGATATTATTACGAAAATCATGTAGCGACAGCCGACATTCTTGCTTCCTGGGCCCTTTTGTCTTTCTTTCTCCCCTTCTCTACTTCCTCACTGTATCTTGCTTAGGACGACATCTTTTATACCCGGCGTTGCTAGGACAGTGTATATACGATATGACTAATTGGATCTTTATGATATACAGGACGAAGATGACAGAACCATGGCGATGAAATCCATAGGGCTATGAGAGATCTCCTTACTCCTATCTACACAGTTGTCACCTCACTCTTTCTACCTCTCTTCCCAGCAGCCTCATCCCGGGGACAGCACCATCACTACCCCATAGCATCGCAGCCCCTGGCCAAATGGCCATGTCGTGGCATGTCGCAGCCGTCCTCAATATCACCTTCTCTTCCCTTCGCCTTCGATGTTCCTTGCTGCCATAATCGCGTGAAACAACCGCACGACGTCACTGGCCCAGACACTCTCACGTGATGGGGGCGTTGCTCCCATATTCCCAACCTTTGGATCTCTCTTCCCGGCGCGCTCCCCTCTTCCCGCCTCTCCTGTCCTTCCCATCCTCCTGTTCTCTTCTTCTTCTCGTCCTCCCCCCTTTTCCTCATCACTTCTGTCGTCGCCCGCCGCTCATTCATATCATCTTTTTTTCATATCGCTGTCACCATGGGTTCCCTTTCTTGCTAGACGCCTAGTCGTCTGGCGTAGTCGATCTGTATGCGTTGTCCTTGCAGCCAGCCTGGATAACTCGTACTGCTGTTTGACTTGCTTTGGCAGGAGCAATACAAAGAAGAAGAAGAACAAGAGCTACCGTATTCACTGATGCGTCGTCAGTCTACGTGAATGCACTTTTGACTAAGAGAACAATCGACACGATAACAACGCCCCCAAACACCTCCATCCTTCGATATCCATTCGGCCTTTTGCGACAACAGTACTAGATCCCGTCGCCCTCTTGGCAGCAACACACCAACCACGTCTATTATACTTGAAGCAGGCGAATTCCAAACAAAATACGCATACTCTTGATCGATATCCGGCAACATGAAGGTCTGATGCATGAAATCTGTCGCTCAAAGGCGATGGCGCAACCCTCCCCGGAATGTACTTGCTGACACCTCGTGGGCGTCTAGTTCCTACCTTTGAGCGAGTTTGATGATGTGACAAGGGCACTGAACTTCGATACTCCTGACTGCATGGTCGTGGGTGGTTGTGACCTTTATACGACCAAGGCCGCAAGTGGTGATAAGAAGTTGTACAAGAACATTGAGATCTCCTTGGAATCGCAATATGAATCGCTTCTGCGGCTCTCCGCCTCGCTCTCCCCACCAAATGCGTCGTCCGCAGCCGTGTCACTTAACCTCTCGCGCTCGAGCCCGTTTGGCCCCTTGAGCGAACACTCCAGCCGCAGGACTTATGCTTATCTTATCGCTACTCTGAACGCGAGCCATCCGGACTATGACTTTTCACACGTCTTGCGGCCTACTGATTTCCGCCGCGAGAAGAACTTGAGGAGAGTCATGGATACCATCGACACGACCTTGTTTAATCTCCGTCCGCAGTTGGCACGCGACGTCACTCCACCTACTCCAACCTCATCCTCTCCACACATGTCGGCAACCGCGCATTCATGGGGCCCCAGGATGTGGAAGATCATCGACAATCAAATGTCGCTTAAGGAGTGCAGTGTATACTGCTACAGCCCGGATGAAGACCCGTACGATGGTGAAGAAGGCACCATCTGGAGCCTCAACTACTTCTTTTTCAACAAAGTCAGGAAGCGTGTCTGTTACATCTACTTGCGCGGGATCAGCGTCCTCAGTCAACTCCCCGCTGATGGCACAGCAACTCCGGTTCCTGGAAAGCGGAATGTCGACGATGACGGATCTATGTTCCATGATACCGGTGCCAGGAAACGCGCCAGATATTGGTTTGGCGATGGCGCAAACGATGAGATGGATGAATTCAGCGCCGACGAGGAAGAGAGACAGCCATCGCAACCCGCTCGTCCAGTTGTGGACGAGTTCGATAACTACATCCTCAGTGACGATGATCAACGCTCACAGACGGGTAGTAAACCTACTGTTCGCGCCTTGAGCGAAGAAATTGCCGATTCTATGGAAGTGTAAACGACACTTCACACTCCTCAGACTTAACTCACATACAGACTTTTATTGGAATTTATGCTTCTCTCTGCGCTGGTTTATACTTGATTAACTTCCTTACTTCCCTTTGCAATAATGAATGATCACGATGATTTTCTATATCACTTTTCCGATGACCAAGGCCAACGCCCTATTGCTACAACAGCTATAAGGACGATCAACTAAAGGTCTCAGCTTATCACCCATATCACAACCACCCTGCTCTCCAAAGCTCCTCATTACGCTTATCGCTTTTAATTATGCCTTTATTACAGTGATTGCGTTCCTTTTTTGCTTTTAGCTTGTTTTATTTTCTCTTTCTTTGGTCTTCTGCTGGCTTTTAGGCGTGGAGTTGTCTGGATTCCCATGCCTTCGGCAAGTAGACATAGCTACTTACTCAGTACTCATTACCACAATATCAGAATGCTGTTATGCCTTCCCACTTCTACTTCTTCCCGAGGTCTCTTCCAACATTCCATCTTTTTTAATCCGGCTTTGTCCCGGAATGCTCCGAACGGCCGAAACCGGAACACATCCGATGCAACACGTGATAATCACATGATATCACCTGGTTTTAAATTAGGTAATAATTTATAAGCCAATCAGCTCGTAGCAAGTACAGCTTGGGTGCGATCAGTAAACATCTTCATCGAGCTCTAGCAGGCTTTCATATTCTTATTCCTTAGCAGAGCCAGCTATATCTTTTAGCCCATAATGGCGGACGCAGAAGAAAAGGCTCGAGCTGAGAAGCTTGCTGCTGCGAAGAAAAGGGTACGTGGGTGATTACACAGTTAGAATTGATACTGATGCGAGTGCGCTAGCGATATTCATATTCGTTATCGAGGACTAATCATCATGAGTTATATTAGGTAGCGCAAATACAGAAACAAAAGGGGAAGAAAGGGAAGAAAGGGGAATCCAGTAAACAAACTGCTACATTACCGGAAGCGGGGGACAAAGCCCCAGCTCCAGAATCTAAACAGGAGCCAGAGCCAGAGCCAGAGCCAGAACAACGGCCAGAGGCGGAATCTCCGAAAGGCACTACCGTTGAAAAGGACGATGCTGAAGAAGCAGTTGCAGAAGTGCCAATTTCTACCGAAGAGCCAACAGATGACAGTAATAAGAAGGAGGGAGATGGCGACGAACCACCGCCCAAAGTTCGAACTCATGGTCGTCAGCCATCGATATCTGTTCAATCCAAACTACGCTCCTCATCGTTTCGTCAAGACTCAAAATTACCTGGAGTCAGCACCAGTTCTTCTGGTGTCAAATCTCCTACATTGCCTCTCAGTCCTGACGGAAGCACGGCACCAGAAATGTTCAGGAAACAAGCTATAAGGCTGGAGGAACTAGAGAAGGAGAATAAACGCTTGGAAAAAGAGGTGGAAATGACAAGTGCAAAGTGGAAAAAGTCGGAGGAACAGCTTGATGATTTACGTGAGGCTAGCACCGAAACTATCGAGCTGAAAGCGAAGCTTGCAAAAGCCGAAATGCAGGCAGAGGAAGTGGAGAAGCTTGTCAGTGCCAATTTGCTTTGCCCCCCTTTTGCTGTAACCATCATACTAACAACGTTAATGTAGAAAGCAGAAATAAGTGCTCTACAACGACAAAACTCCCATCTTCATACTCGATCACATCGACCATCGAATAGTGTCGCAGTGTCTGGGAATGCGGACTCGCCAGTGTCTGAACTACAGAGCCAACTAGATGCAAAATCAGCGACAATTGAAAATATGGAGATGGAAATATCTAATCTACGAGCACAGTTGAACTCTCAATCTACCCACTCTTCTGCACACGAGGAGCAAATTTCGGCTTTGGAAGATAAGCTATCTCGCAGTGAAAGTGCACTAGAAAAGTCACAGAGAGAGCTTGCAGATGCCAAACAAGCTATTAGTCGAGCCGCGGAGAAAGCAGTTAAAGAAGGCGTAGACAAGACATCTACCGAAACCCTTGTTAAGAGCTTAGAACGTCAACTGCGAGAATCTGAGGAAGCTAAGGCTGAAGCCGATAGAAGAGCAGACCTATTGGAGAAAAAGTTGCAGGCTCTAAGCAATCTGCATAAGGAGTCTGAAAGTCGGCATCAAACCCGTCTAAGAGAACGGGACAAATTTGAAAAAGATGTAGCAATTCTAACGAAAAAGATAGCGACAACCGAAAATGAGAATCTCAGGCTTAAAGAGGAACGGGATCGGCTGAGAAAGCGCGAGGCCTCAGGCACCGGAGCTGACGAAGGCCTAGATGAGCTCGAAGACGAAGAGCGGCTCCGTCTCGAGCGTAAAGTTCGAGATTTGGAGGGAGAAGTTTTTGATCTTCGACGAGGTATCTGGAAAGAACGAAAACGTGAACTCTCATCTCATAATGATGACCAGGGTGTCCATGCAGATGAAAAGCTTTTAACTGGTACATTCGACGATGTCGACCTCATTGGAGGTGCGCCGGGAGGACATAGTTATACTGGCCGTCGCAGCATAACCCAGAGGCCACAACAACACTCTTCTTTTGCGACTGTGTTTCAGAGCGGCCTTTCTGCGTTTACTGGTGCGCAGGATCAAGATAGAGGCCGTAAGAGCTTCGACTATGGCTCCCATCCGGACCCGAATGATGATTTCCTTGACGATGATGCGTTCGATGAGGATGCCTTTGCTCGTGCGCAAGAGGAGGAAGAGGCCAAGAACCGAGTAGAATGGGCGCGAGAGATTAAAGGAAAGCTGAAAAACTGGAAGGGTTGGCGGTTAGATCTTGTGGAATGTCGGTATGGAGCTCAGGGGGCTGGGATTGGGCTGGGGGAAATCTTTGAGGCATGATTGATTTACTTATAGCGGCCAATATATAAGCTCAATCTATACCTTGGATTGATGAGTACGCTGCATTACTTCATCTGGCTGGTCCAACTTTGATATACGTACGTGCTCAATCTCAAGTTAGATTATAATATAACTACTACCAGTTCATCTAGTATAATTGTACAACAAATAAGCAACGTCTGTCAGCACAGGCCTATGGAAGCGGTGATACACTCCCTTTTACTTTCCTTGCAACCCAGAATTGAGCTTTGTAGGCATTCTGAGACAAAGACCGTTCGCTCAATCCATATGGGACCGTTTTACTCCGAACTTTTTTCCCGTCAAGGGTAATGTCACCGCATTTCGAAGACGTATCGAGGAATTCAAATCCCATATGCTCACACACATCAATAATCTCATCCAAAGAAAGCTGCAAGAATGGAGCGCTGCCATAAAGCAGTGGGCCAAAGTTAATCCAGGTACCTCCGTCATTTAGCGAATTATGGATTGTTTCAAAATAGGACATCAAGTTTCTGGCGGTATCAATGAAAAATAGTGTTATCACAACGTCGTACTTGGTCTCAGCCGTCGGTAGTCCATTATGCATGGTGGTAAAATCTCCTTCGATATGAAGGAGAGAGGACTCAGACTGTCTATTCGTATGGAACGGAAGCGCGTCAGGAAATTGTACAGGACGTAAGAGATCTGTTGTGGACGCCTGATGAGACCACCAGTCTATAAAGGGGTAGAATGTTGTTGAATTTGTGTTTCTCATGGCTTCTACATAGCGGTACGCTATATTCATATATGAAGACCATTCGTTGGAAGTAACCTCGAAACCTTGGAGAAGTTCATGTCAGAAAATGGAAACAGATCTATGCAAACTGGGAATGCATATACCTCCCAGGTTTGAAATATCATGCGCTAGCCTCCCTAATCCAGAGCCGGGGAGGAGTACACGGAGAGGCGGATTGTTCGAGTGGACAGTATAGTTATTCAATGCCTCTAAAACACAAGGGAATGCAGCCTTCCGTTCAAATAGTCCTTCCTTGGACCAATCTCTCACGAAATGCTTCATTGCTTGAGATGTACTGGTCTTATCGGCCGTTATACCACCAGATTCGGCTTCTTTAATGAACTGCTCTAGTTCAATTCGTTCGATTTGATAGAATTCCAGTGCATGGTTCAAGATGTCCTGGGCAAGGTTATCGTTTTCTGCGAATAAGCCTTTGACTTTGCTAAGCTTAGAAGTATATCCTACGATTGATTCAATGAACTGGATAAAAGGTATAATTTTGCGGTTAGCGAATCCGTAAACAGAAGAGTACGAAGAGAAGTCTTACTGTGCGATGCCTTTTTGGTGTGTTCGAATATAGAGCACTCCACCGTTCAAGTTCGGCTAGGTTCCTATCTTTGTAGCGAGCAAAGCCATGCATAGCGGTTAACAGCCTATACCGAGGATGCGAGGAGTCCCATTTCCTATTATCTCTCTTTAGGCGATCTCGCAAACGAGATTCCTCTTCAAGTTGCCGGCGGTTTTTCGACTTTTCACCTGATTCTGCTTCATTTGCATTTGTGGAGCCGATAATTGTAGCACTGCGAACTGCCGGTCCCTGGTGAGATCTTGGGAGGCTAGCTCGAAGTAAAGGAACGAATATGTGGTTTGCCGGAAGATATGACTTGAGGGATGAAGCTATAGCGATAAAGCCTGGGATCTTATAGCTTGAGGGCAAGATAATGCTTCGAGTAGTTGGATCAGCGGCATCTCCAATAATCGATACCAGAGCTAAACCGAATATTATCGATAGGGCTAGCGAAATGAGGGCATAAAACCGGGTCATTGTAGTATCAAAATCATTATCTTTGTAGAATAATATCAATAGTTAGAGATGGTGACTGTCGTAGCACTGACTGTCCCTATAACATTCCAACTGGACCCTATTCGAACTCTAGAAGATAAAAGAAGACTTGAATGACTTTTGCCTATCAGGGTTATTTATGAACCCTGTGGGCAAGGCTTTCCTTCAAAGTCATGGCGCAATTAAGTGAGATGCTTGGAGTTTCATGTTAGAGCTTGCTTGATATCTCCACAATCACAAGCATTAAAGGCGTGCTGGACCCATCTGGAGTCCGTCTTATGAGGTAGCCCAAAGGTGAGTACCTTGCTGTAGACTGCTCCTGCGGTATCAAGTATCTAGCATAGACACTGCCAACAGAGGCTTCAAACGCTTCTATCAGCGACTCTTCTTATCAATTCCAGTTTAGCCGGAATATTAACAAGATGGATAATACAATATATATTCATATATTGAGAACTGGTGGATGAAATACTCGTGTTTCCCTTTCCTAATCTGGTATATAAGGGATCCTGAGTACCTTGTTGTACGCCAAGGCATTTTTCTTTCCGGCCCGGAGATTTCTTTTTCTTCCCTTCTGACTTGCAGGTACGAAGCAAGGTTGAATCATTCGTATACTATGATGAAAATAAAACGGTGCTGCTTGCAAAGCTTGAAGTGTGTGGGCTTGGGAAAGACAAGAAGCGAGGTCTAAGACACGATTGGGCGGATCGAAACTAATTCTCCAAACTAGACACCAGAAACCAAGGACCCGGGGAGCAATAGATACGTATCGACCGTTCGGAGTAGGTATACCGAGCGTGAAGGGGTGAATATAAAAGGCTCAGATGCCTGCTCTGTTCGGATGGGCTCTTCAGTCTCTTGTGTAACGGTTTCGAACACGGACTTGGGCGCCAAACTTTTGCCATCATGAAGGCTTTTGGATCTCTCCTTGCTGCTTTGTCTGCGCTCAGCGTAGTGTTCGCTGAAGGCACTCTGCCACCCTCCCCAACAGCCTCTGTTGGATGCGAACCTCATGGTGATCATTGGCAAGTACACTGTCCGTACCTGTGGTCAAGAGCATCTAGTTAACACATACAATAGGCACTGTGATGGTCCCGTTGTCTCCTCTACTTCAGCCGCTGCACCGGCACCCACTTCGCATGATGGCGATAACCACGAAGGAATGGCGACGCCAACCAAACCTAGCCCTACCGAATCCGTAGGCTGTGAGCCTCACGGGGATCACTGGCACTGTGACGGACCTCGTGTCACCTCTGTGGCCCCCGATTCTCCTAGTGACACTGCTACCATGTCTCTCAAGCCAAGTCCAACCGAATCAGTGGGCTGTGAGCCTCACGGAGATCACTGGCATTGCGACGGGCCTCGTATCACTTCAACTGAGGCTCCCAGTCAAACCACCGGCACCACTACCAAGTCTCTCAAGCCAAGTCCAACAGAGTCTGTGGGCTGTGAGCCTCACGGTGACCACTGGCATTGCGATGGACCTCGCGTCACTTCAACCAACATTGTCTATCCTACCGGGACAGCCACCAAGTCTCTCAAACCGAGTCCAACTGAATCCATCGGATGTGAGCCCCATGGTGATCACTGGCATTGCGACGGACCACGGACATCAGAGACTGCTCCTCCACAATTCACGGGCGCGGCTGGGTATGTTCGCGTGCCCTTGCCCCAGGTTGTGGGCGCTGCAGCTGCAATGGTGGCTATTGTATTCTATGCCTAAAAGGCGTGACAGTGATACTTGAAATTATAGTGCGATCGTTCAGTTAAAGTATGGTACCTTTATTGATAAGATGCGAGTAATGCTGTAGTTGGTCTTTGGCTAACACTTCTTGTTGTACAATATAGAAAAAGAGAGGATTATGGCACGTGATTCTATCGAACTTAGAATTTTAAGGTTTATCACGAGCCTGATCGAATTTACCATCAGATAAAAAGCTCGTTATAATATGGAGTACGGTAATCCATAAATAGCACGCAGTCGATAATAATAGAGATATATATCAAGTATGTTTTCAGCCTTTTTGGTACGGGATCAAACGATATATGTTGCTCTAACTGTAGATAATTTCTGAGAATCGGCAAGAGAGGCCTCATAGATAGCTTGGGAACCTAACAATCGAGTTATAACCAAAGCTAACTACACTAATCTTGTCAATGTGTCTGGCCCTAGAAGCTTGGTTCATTGGCGGGGACCCCCTCTAGATATTCGCTGTATGGAAGATGACTAAATGCTCGGTTGATGCCTTTTCGGTGGAAGTATCGGGCATGATAAAGCCATTATAAGGTGAAAGTGCAGGCCATGCAATGGGCTAGATGGGTACTAGGAACTTAAATGCTGTCCTGTCCAAAACCTATCGACAAAGATCCAGTATAGAAGAAGAGCAAGAGATTGGGCTACCGGTGTGATACTGAACTTAGCTAGGATGTTCTACCTTATTTGTGCGGCCATTAGTAATTATCTTTTTCTACCCACATAAGTGGCAGGATATATGTGACAACAAGCTGAAGTACGCCATGAAGCTCTGGCGTTCGCAGCTCCTTGAGATAGGAACGTTGGCTCAAGGTATGGAACAAAAGAGCCGCAGGTACAACATGCTTCCAGCTTGTTTTGTGGGGACACGCTAGCTATTTTAGATGGGTCTTCTGTTTAGTGAGGTAAGTTCTTATTCTTGATTATATAATATAATAATTAACGCATGTATAATCATGTGACTCGTATAAACTATCTAGTTATGAGTATTAGTGACGTCAGATAGTAAAGATGTCAAGCCACCACGTGATATAAAAACAATCTAGGCTGGGACCTTGGGGACTTCAACATTCGTGATAAGCCTCCTATTCTTCTTCCTCTTATAGTCTATTAGCTGGTTTTCGTTAATTACATCTCCTCTTGCTGATACCATCTGCTTGTTTGTCTCTTACCACTGCCATCGAAAACTTAAAATAAAAGGTATCGGAGACACCGTCTATCAACCTTACCTTACTTCTATCGCTCAATGATATTTAAGCTTGATCATGATTAAGTGATCTTAAATATATATAGCTACTATATATTCTTATAATATCTATAACTGAGATATCTAAACTCAGTTATGATCAGAGTGGCACATAATGTGTCGCCTATAGTAGAGAAGTACCACGTATAAACTCTCGCGCTTAACTGGGTGCAAAAGATATACCCACACTAAAACAGGTTTGATATCTGAGCTACATTAACCTAAGAACTTAGACTCTACTTCGTTGTATCTAGGGATGAATCTGCTTTTGCACACTCACCTTTTTTAATATGAAAAATGTGGTTTGTAGCTTGGGTGGGAGGTATCTAACGGCTCTGAAAGTACAGGTATCGAGTCTATTGTTGGTACAATTCTAGACAATGATAAGGCAAATCTCTAGGAAAGGCTAGATTATTATCCTTTGAAATGCATTCTCTTAACTCGATCTTTTGAAAGTCAATATTTGCTTTCCCTAAGTCTAACTTAACTTGTCACCCCGGTGAGATTTAGGATAGTTCGAAAGAACAGCTTAGTAATTTAGTAAGTCTGATAAAGATAAACCGGATAATGTTACCTTTATAGTCTATATTCGAGTTCATACGTATATCTAGTTCATATGAATTTAATAGGAAGGCACCCAACAAATTCTACGTCTATTAAAGTCTCAGTATATGATAGAGATGTTACTACCGAGCTAAGAGCTACCGAGCTTGCCAAACCACTCTGATTCTTCATTTATACTGCACGAAATAAGTTGATTTGGTGCACTAGAAATGTTTCTGCCAGTATTGCTCACTTCATCAATTATCTGAGTGATGTCTTTTGTATTTTACTATTATACCTTCGTATGGTTATAAGTTGAACCCTTCATGCCTAGTCTATATCCCACCAGCTAGGTACTTTAACCCATAAAAGATGCCATCATAGCCAGTACAGCGTGCAGATTTTTTTTCCTTCCCGAAATGACTTTAGTGTTGATCTATGGAGTAATTTGTTTTCTAAGTGCTGCTCTAGAATACTTAGCACCTCCGAAACTACCTTTAAGGATTAACTATTATTTAAAGAAGTACCGGAAGCTAATGTCCACTTCTTGTTAGCTTTGAGGCGAAACATACAGATTCCGTTGAGGGCACGACAGATGAGGCGCTGGTAAACTTTTTACCCTCACGATGTAGTTGATCAGCCAGCCGCAATGTCGGCATAGAAGAGATCTAGGAAGATGAGTAAAAAGCCGCAGAAAATAAGACAAACTACATGCACGAAAGAGAGGCATATGATATTGTGATGGGGCTATTACCACAGATGACAGTCCTAGGCGGCCTACTCGAAGCAAATGCCAAATTCTGGATGTGTAACCTTTTCACATCAACGAGAATATCAAAATGGGTCGATAAATACACTGAGCGATATGAAACAGCAAAGGAGTCTGAAACAGAAAACATAGCTCATATGCCTGTGGTGCGATTTTTTTGATGGTCGTGGCTCATCTATCAATACGTCATATATTATGCATCGTGCCATATCCCCTTTTTCAATATCCGGAGTAATAGATGAGAGATACAAAGCGTTAGAAATAGGTGTCAAGGCCTGGAAATTTTATCGATAATATCGGCCGTACCATGGGGCATGCTGAGGAAAGGGCTATGGCTTCCGGTGCATCGTTCGACACGCACTTCAATACCAACAGCCTTAATCTTATCAATCATCATTTGTTGCACCTCAGGTAATATACCCTTGTCATTCTCGCAAATAATGTAGGTTACTGGAAGTTCTCTAAATGCTTCATTGCCCACAGGAGTAGCATGCGCCGAATGTGGGTGGACGACCATCTGTTTCACCCAGTATTCTGCTTCTTCGTCGGGGAGATCATTGAAGAACATGGGAATTGGGCTGGTAGCCGATATGAGTTTTGTTTGTTCCTAAGTAAGGGGTTTATGAGATATCAACATGGAAATTGCTTGCTCCGAAAAACATAGTAGAAATAGTAGAAAAAAAGCAAAAAAAAAAAGGAAAACTGAGTGTGTCTTTGACTTACATTGATTTCGACAGTTGGTAACGATTGGCCCTCAAAGATGCCTACCAAACTCTGGCCTTTATGGGGTACAAAGCTGGTCAAATATATCAAATTCCTGATTCCGCCAACAGTACCTCGTTTAAACCGGTCGTTGATGCCAAATCCGCAAAGTGCATCCGTGCCAACTATACCTCCGTATGAATGCATGATGACGTCGACTAGCCTACCGGCATCCGTGAGCTCAGCAGCGATTTTACGGATGAAGCGAACATCGTCCTCGAGTGACTTTGTGGGCGGGATCTGACCACCACAGCTTGGTAGACGTGGGCAATAAGTTTCGTAACCACGCGATTGTAAGACTTGAATGAAAGTCTGGTAGTATGCCGGATGTTGCCATGCACCGTGAATGATAAGGAGAACGGGCTTATGCTTCCCCCAACTGTTATTTGTCCGCTTAATTATTGCACCGGGGGTATTTGTCACTATGGAAATAGATTTGGGTTGAAAGCTGCATCCCAGCCATTTGGCGACTGTTTTACCTAGGTATTCTAGATAAGAGAGCATTGTCATTGGTATGTCCGACGAAAGGGTGTGACTATTATGGTAGATGGCTGTATAGACAAGAGGTCGGTGAGAGTGTGTAAGTTTCAATAGATTCTGGCTTCCAGAAGATAGAAAAGGAAGAAATCAAGAAACCAAGCAGCCAGGGGGATCCGACCCATGTTCTACCGAAGGCAGGGGTTCTCAATTCAAAGCCAAGGAGAGCGGAAAAGGGAAGGCCACGGGCTAAACATCTTAGAATATATGTATTCATGGCAGGGAAAAATAGTTTCCAGGTATCCAATCTGGATTAAATGGCCGCAGCCACATAGCAAGGATCACCAGTCGAGCCCATCAAGAGTACTTCGTAAGGTCAGGTATATTATCGACAAATGGTATAGTGCCCGGATACTCCGTGCGACGTATATCGTACTCTGTGGGAAGAGCAGAAATTGGTGAGAGCATTGATTGGGCAGGGGAAGGCTCCATGTCCTCTGTATAGAGCAGTTCAAAATGCAACAACAGGCCGGGGCCCCATTATTGGTCGCACATCCGTACAGATGCGACGCGGAAGATATTATGCGTCATTTAAGCTTGGAAGGTTTGTTTGCGAGTCTGCCCTTGCATCCGCCAGATATTACAGGACTAGTACATCAGCATCTATGCATGTACTGTATCTCGCAGACCCCACACTGATGTTGATGGAATGATGGAAGTGGGCGTGAACGGAAGAATTTGGTCTCACATGCAATTGGTGTATAAATTTTTAGTTCGCTTGGACATGACTGTTCGCGGAACAGGGGCTATCTGGGCCGTCTGGGCTGGGTTGGGGGCACTTTGCGGCGCGGCGCATGGCATTTTCTTAGCTTAGTGTGCTGGTGTCGGTCGAGTGTGGTCCAGGCTACCCAGAGTAGAATAGGTACTTTTTTCGAGAGCAGATCCTCCACGGGCTCCCATGGAGGAGCAACAGCCGAATTAGATGCAGGGTTCTTCGGATAGATAGCTTGGAAGTGAGCTGTTCTTGCGCTAATTCATGGGTGTTCCACAACCCCTGAATAAGTTCTTTGCTGGAAACCAAGACATATGAAGAGAAGAAACGAAAGATATCTTCAAAATACAGTCTACCGTCTCCAACTCCTAAGATATATGGTTCTTATGGCCAAGAAAAAAGAAAGGTAAAAGGAACAAAAATGGAATGGAAGACGATAAGAAAATACATAGGCTAAAACTGTCCTTGTACGTGACAGTCCAGCTACAGGGACCAGACACAAACTATTCCATGGCATGTTTCCCAGTCAACAAGCCATCGGATGTGAGTTTTCCTCTCTTTCTCATGGCCTCTACAGCCCAGGACCCAATTTGAAACAACCAGCCACCCGTGACAAGTACGCCAGATACAACGTTGACTAGCCTGACCAGCAAGGCCAGCAGACTGTCCCGCTCTTGGCTAACAATCAGTAGAATAGGTTCAATGTTATATTTAAAGAAAATTCCAGGAATAGATTCAATGCGAGGTTGTACGGGCTGGGAGTATGAAGTAACTGCGTACTGATTGGTAGAAACTGTCGTCTTGGAGTCCTTTGCCGTTATACTGCTCGGGTCTGGGAGAGAGCGGTGGTTGGGGTCGATGTGGCCGGATTTTGTATAGATTGTGGGGACAACTGAAAGGTGATATTGGTATTTGTAGAAATTGACAGAGGTTGTAGAGACTGTCTTGTCAAGAGGGTTGAGAAGTCGAGCATAGTGGGGCCCAAACGAGAGTTCAGTAATAAGGTGAGTGAAATTCAAGCCTGGGAACAAATTAGTTAGCTAGATAGCGGAGAATTTTGGTATTATTGGAAATATGAATTATAGGGAGGAATAAGATTGACATACTATGAGGGTTAGTAGGCTGTCCCCATTCGAGATATCCAAATCCTCGAGCGGTGATATGTAAATTTCCCTGGACCTTATTGCCCTCTAGACTCCCAAACACTCTGCATGAATCCACAGCATCGGATTTCTTTAGTTTTGGTGCTTTAGGAAACTTCTTCTTCCGGCCTCTCCTTACTTCGCCTAGGACGTGTTCAACGTGAAGGTCTTCTTCTTGCTCCTCTAATCTGAAGGGATCTTCTTTGCTAAGAGTTTGGTATTCGGGACTCCCTCCGCCTCGTTGTCGGTTGAATTCCCTGTTCCAAGCGGCCCAACTAGTAGGTTGCTGCGTCAACAATTCTCCAGCCAAAATATGGTCACCAACGGCATCTTGAACGTTTATCCGGACATCGTCGCAAGGCATGGCGACAACGACATCAAGGTTGAGTTGCATCTCCTGCGACACTCCTCTTTCGACGCTGAAGTGATGGTTTTCATGCCCTCGATACCAGGTTACGAGCTCGGAGCAGGAGAGTATAGCGCAGAGAATAGCAATAAAGACCGTCCATAGTCCGCCACTACGGCTGGTGGAGGTATACGAAGGCTTTGTCTTTGCTGCAATAGTACTTTAGTGAGATGTGAGGGTGCGGATGGGAAGACGTAGCCCAGTTATAACTTACGAAAGGCATCGAATGTCTTCAGTTTGGCGGCAATACCATCCGGCTCACCGAAGCTGGCCTCATCAAGGCCACCGTGTGCGAACCCGTTCATCGGATCGCGGCCAATGAGAGTGCATATATATATATATATCGTCCAACGCAGGCATCAATTCCTCTGGACAAAGTAAGTAAGGATAATGAGGGTAAACTACTTAAGCAGGGCCTAGTCCGCTGCCATCGTCGCCGTCCTCTAAGAATCTGCAATGTCTTGATATCTCCAAGCTTCAACCGCGAAGTTCAAACTTCTTTTCGTGCTAGCATATCTTGCTTACTCAGCGGAGAAAAGGCCAGGTATCCAGATGGACCTGGAGCTAGTCCATTTTAAGTTAGTCTTCCCGTTTTTTCTTACACGCTAGATTAACCATATTTGAACAGTTTATATCACGTGATATCTCTCAATTTCATGACTTGGAAATAAAGGATTGAGTATCTAGTGTAATGGATACGAAGATAACAATTTCAAAGTAGTTAGTGTTTATTAAAGATTGTATACTAATAAATAGGGAAGTAAAAAAGTTCACTTTTTTGAACCGATAACAATGCTAATATGCTGTGGTCTATTCAGCACCATGGAAGCAGAAGCAGAGAACCAATGCAAATAACAGGTGGCCACATATCTTTTATCCAAAAGCCTTAACAAGAACAACAAAAGGCAAGGGCCATGAAATGCGAGAATTTAAGTAGGCATTATTAAAAACAGAATAAAAGAAAGAGAGTTTATAACACATCGACGTGGCTAAAACAGATGCAAGCATGCAATGCCAGTATGTGGAAATAAAAACAAGAATCAAAACAATGGTTAAAGGACAAGAGGGAAAAAAACATAATGCTAACAAGAATATAGGGTATGTGGCTATAAAGATATGGCTCAAGGAGAAAAATGACAATAAAGTGGTAAGTAAACATGAAATAACATAAACATTACTCGACACATAGATCCTTTTGTCGTAGTTAAGTCAAAGCAAAGAATCTTGTTTGGCCCCACCTTTTCCGGTCTTCGTTACGGAGTTCTGTGAAGGTAAGAAAACCAGTTACCTTGACAGCCGCAACATCATATATCATTCCTATACCTATGTCCTCTGCACCATTACATCACGTTAGATATCCAATAGTACCACCGTGAGAAATTAAAAAAAAAAAAAAAATTAAATAAATAAAAGAAAAAGGCTGCAGCAAATAATGTTGCCCAGCTGAGAAAGGGAGGAGCGCTGTTTGCATCAGCTTACCAAGCTGGTTGTTGCTGCCGCAGCTGCAAGGTCTGGCTTTCCACTGGTATTCCTTGGCGCCACACGAGGTAACGCGGAATTCCCCGACGGAGGGATATTTGACGCGCGCTTGGGGGTCATCCCCGGATTGGTTGTCATTGTTGTGGAGGTATGGTGGAAGGTAGAGTGGCGTTTGGATAGACCATGCTTGACGGGAGAATTGGTCGACGAATCCCGAAGACGAATTCCATCACTATTGGAAGTTGTAGATGAAGGAGGGTTTGGAAGTGGGCGGCCGTTTAAGGTAGCACTTGTTGATGCAAATCTCTTGACAGGAGACTGGGAATGAGAGTGATGCAGAGATCCCGTATGAGAGCGTGTAGAGCGTTGGGGAGCTTTGACGCCAGTGATAAATTCATGTTGCATAGCGTCACGCGGCGTCATTCTGCGCGTAGGATCCCATCTTAAACAGCGAGTAATGAAATCTAGGAAAACAGAGTTATCACATTTGAGCGCTTGGCGAAGATCAGTTGAGCTCGGTTTCCGCCGGCGTCCCTTGGATGAGACAGTGAGACGAGGTTTTCCAGAAGAATCAAAGAAGAGTTTCTTCCTAGTGCTTTTCTCGATAAGGTGCTTCTCGGGAGGTCCAAATATTTCCATTATACAGGCCAGTTGTTCTTGTTCATTTTCCCCAGGAAAAAGTGGGTATCCAGTGTATAGCTCCGCAAGGATACATCCGAGAGACCACATATCAATCGGCATTCCATATGACATGCCAAGAATAACTTCTGGAGAGCGGTAGAAACGACTTTGAATGTAAGTATATACCTTCTCGTTCTCAAAGCAGCTTGATCCGAAGTCGATGACCTTAATATCTCCACGGAGAGGATGTACGAGAAGAACGTTTTCTGGTTTCATGTCACAATGCACAACTTTGTGGTTTTGGAGGAGAACCAACGACATTAACATCTGTTTAGTAAAGCGACGGATAATCTTAAGGGAGAACCCTCGGAAATCGTGGGCTTTGATGAACTCATAAAGATTGATACCTAACAACTCTGTAGATATGCAAAGGTGACCGCGGAAATAAAAGCTTTGAGTGAAGTTGACAACGCTATGGCGGTTTTGTGGATCCTAAAATAAATGAGAAGAGCCCATTGACTTGTACTAGGGAGGAAACATACCCATTCTTTCAGCTTTTGAAGAATATTCACCTCAACCAACGCTTGTTGGTGGAAACGCTTTTTATTACGGATAATCTTGACGGCAACAAGTGTACCCGTCTTATGATCCACGCAGCGTACGACTTGGCCAAAACTACCCTTTCCAAGGACGTCCACAACTTCGTACCGGTAAGCAATATGATCGCCAATAACAATGTTATAGTCACCGCGTTCATCATCATAGCCAAAATTAGCAGTCTGAGCATTAAGATCACCAACATGCTTCTTCGCCTTGTGCGTTCCGCAGAAGTAGATATCCTTGTAGTCAATGATTTCTCCACGTTCAAATATATTGAGACTCGCAATTTTTAGAGCCTGAGCAGGAGATGCCCGTTCCTTAGGACCGGCCCTTCGGCGGAGTTCGTCAAGTTCTCTAGCTGCTGATTCGAAGTCCTTGCGCTTGCTTCCAAGTTTTCGCATCTCCTCTTCAGCTATAAGGTCATCGCGATCAAGCTCCCCTTCCTCGGATCGAGACTTCGGTGCGGATGGGGGAGCAGGTCGTGGACCTCCAAGTAGTCTCTGTACAGGGTTTAAAATAGAGGAAGATGTTCTAACCGGCGGCGTCTCATCTGCTAGTTCCATAGATGGCTGAGTTGCCACTGTTGGCCCTGGCTCACCAGTTAAACTCTTGTTCCTTCTCGAGGAAATGCTAGCAACCACGTTGGAGATAGATTGTTTGCGTTTTGCAGGCGCGAAGTTGTTATTTGATGCCGGGCTTGTTCGCGATATATTATTGGCTGATGCTGAAGCTGGAAGTTTAGGAGGAGGCATGTTTTCAAATTTGGGAATGTCGCATAATCCCACATCATTGCTTCCGGCGTGTCTAGCTTGATCAAGACTTACCTTCCTTGGCGGAGAAGGTGGTACAACGGTCGGACTCGGATTGGGATCCATAGTATCGGGCTCATACTTGAAGCTAAAGGCATCTGAAGTGGAAATGGTTGAAATTTGGGTTTGCGGCCGCGGACCAGTTAGTTTGTTGGTGGAGGGTTTCGAGACCACTTTGTCACGAATAAAATTCATTTCCTCAGCTCCTCGAGGCAAGGATGAAGAGATATAAGGCGATATAGTTCTATTTGAAGACAAGCCCATAAAGTCTAGAGCACTTGAGCTGTTTTGGGAACGACAGCCGGTGTGAGAAGGCAGTGTAATTTGTGAGCTGTTACTTCTAGATGTATGTATAGGTATTGGCGTAGGCTCTTGAAGGCCCTGGGAAGGGAAATTGGTCTTAGAGGCGGTCATAGGAGTACTTGGTGTTTTTGTCACTGTTTGTCGAGGAGGTGGTGTGCTGGAAGGATTAGGAAGAGACTCCTTTGGCTCCTTGTCTCGTAGAGCATTGATTTTACTCGCCACAGGACCACTCAACGGCATCAAGTTAAGCGGTGGCAGTTTAAGAGGCTGGAGACTTCTCTTCCCATGGTTACCAGCAACTCGCGGTTTAACCTCAGAACTGAAGGCGCGGCTGTCATGGTGCATCATGGAGACTCCCAGAGTTTGATTAGATGGCGTAGAGGGTGCTTCAGCTTCTGCAGGAGGTGGGTCTTTCAAGGCCTGCCTTCGCGCTTCAAGCTCGAATGGCATACTTGCCTGTCTAGGAATAAATGTTGGGGGCATGGAAGCTTCGCCTTTTGGTGACTCGTATGCTTTGGGGATAGCGGGAACCGGCGGTACTTCCTCCTCCTCCTGGCTTGAATGTTCCGTTCGCGGCTTAGGAGTTGGGAGTCTAGAGGATGATACTGTCTGCGAAAACCTTCCTTGCAGTGAGCCACTAGAGTTGCGAGCAGAGTTATATGTTGTATTCGATGAAAGTGATATCCCTGAGCTGTAAGATTTACGGTGCGGGTCCGGTGTAGTGCGGGCAGATGAAGGGGTCACGCTCTTTCGAGGTATCATAGATGGTGATGGTGCTGAGGAGCGCGGGCGAGGGGAGTTTAGCTCTAGTTGGGTAGGCGATCGTTGCGGTATTGGCGGCGGGTTAGGGACAAGGGACATTCGTTTCATCCTTCTGGCATCTGTAGGCGAAATAGTCCTTGCGCCTAAGCCAGTCGGATGGTGAGGCATGATTGAGGATCGTTTCGACGATAGAGCGGTGTTCGAGCCTCCAGTTCCTTTTCCAGGGGTCTGAATGGCAGTGTTTGACGAAGATCGAGAATGATCGGAGCTACCAGAGGGAGTTATTTGGGTATCCCTGCTCCCGCGACCAACAGCTTGCAATGACTTTGCTTTCTGGCTTCTGGTTGTGTTCAGGAACGATGGGCCGGGAGACTGTTCCGTAGGTTGATGGCTTGCACGGTTAACATTAGTGTTGACCCGTACCTCCCCAGTTGCGTTTCTTTTTGCAAGACTCTGACGCCTTCGTGGGAGGCCATCATCGCCATTTGTTTGAGATGCAACCAAGGCACCGGGGCCTATAGATTTCCGGGGAGGCCTAGAAACAGCAACAGAAGATGTTGGAGGTGCAGCATGGCTTTGTCGTCTCGTACGTGTAGTTGCAGGGGTAGGCGGTGGCCCCATTAAATTAGGAGTCCCTCCTACACCAACTCCTTCAACATCAGACTTTTGGGCGGCGTTGCTTTGTCTTCTGGCAAGCGTACTCGGCCTAGAAGGCTTGGAGGCTGTAGTAGATGGGGTAGTTGACCAGCGTGTTGCTGATTTCGATGGAGATGGTGTGGATCCAAAGTCGGGTATCAGTTGCCCTGGCATGGGAAAATGACTTAGACTCGGCTCTCTGGAGGAGATTCTGTTATGGAATTCATCGAAATTGATAGCAGGAAGAAATTCACTGCTCTCTGGAGGCGTATGATTGCCGGTCTTTGACAAAATTAGCATTTATATACATTGAGGATGAGTGGCAGCGAAAGACGAACCGTGTTTAGGAATGAAGTTTCAGGTTGGGTCTGTGAGCCCGAATGGGAGTGAATCGTTGTGCTGTATGAAGAAAGAATAAATATATTAGATATCTCGATCCTTATCGCTCATTATCAGCCAAAGGTAAGGATATTCACCGTCGTGATGACACAGATCCACCGATTGTTGGACTTCGATCCCGAATCGACTTCCTCCGCTTCGAAGTCGAGCCCTCGATCTGTTGCCCAACGGTATCATGAGAAGACAGGGAAGGTAATGGTGCCTGGTTGGTAACCGGAACAATTGGTGAGTTTCTTTGCAGAGGTTTGCGGTTCGTTTGAGCTGTTAGGATAATGATGTTAAGAAACGCCTTCACGAAGAAAATAGTCGAACGAGCCAAGGTTGGGAAGGCTGAGGGAACCTCCTACCATAAAATCGAGTCTCATTAGGCCGAGATGGCTCAGAGGGTTTCGACTGCTGCTGCGTCACGGCTGGCAATCTCTGGGAGGTCATGTCCGCAGGCATAATGTCGAGGGATGACCGCAACGTTCAACTGGCACGTCAGGATTGTTGTTCTTGCGCGGTGGCATACAACGTTTATAACGCAGGTGACCTGACACCTGATGCTGTTTAACCCGTACGCCCCAGGAATGACAACAGGCGAATATTCCAGTCAAGAACCGCGAAGAAATGGGCGATAACAGAAGCGACTTGCTCGTTCCCGATACGCCGCTACCGCGTCATTGTGTTCACCAGACGTCGAATCACAACTGACCCAGGAGTTGTTTGTTTTATGGCAGTTGTCTCGTTCACGACAGCATCCACCGGCGTGGGAAATCGGGGTGCTGGGCCAGGAGCAGATCAGAGGGAGATTTCTTGTTTGTTGAAAGGGTTTTTTTTTGTCGTTCGAGTCTCCGGTGGATCAAGCATCAAAAAGCAACCTGGTCAGTGAGGTACAAAACCCCATGTAGGTACAAGAACTCTTAACTCTTAGTGGCTAGCGAAGCTCTACCTTGACAAGATCAAGCGGGCGTTGGTCGTTAGTTAATCCGCTATCAGAAAGCCACAGTTGCCACCAGCAGACCTCATTCAAGTGCCTTGGACGGGAGACAAATGAATATCCCAGCCTGCATTCAAACTATATAGCCTTGATTTAGATATTAATACGGGAGAATGTTTCAATTGAATGTTTGTCGCAGCCGCAAGTTTATATTAAAAAAGATGGCAAGAAGTCGCTTTTTTCCCTTTTTAGACTTTCCCCCTGTCCGTTGATTATATAAGGATAATGCTTAGATAAGTAAAAAGATCCACTAGTCTATACAGGGTTAGAGAGAGCCCTCATATCACATGATATTTTGTGACGACATGTTCCGCTTTAGGAAGTTGGCAACCTGACCTTCATAGAGAAACATAGAAAAGATATTTATGTATATTACATATATATATATATGTTTTATATACAGACAACTATACAAGGAGCTCCTTTCGTTTGGACGTAAGAGAGGGACGGGTTGAAGATGGACGAATACACCGCAGAGATATTCTCCGGCCAAGATGGCGGTGGTGTTGGTGTCACCAATGGTGAGGACCAAGGCCCCTCGAGCAGCGTAGAAGCAGAGGAGCAGCCGTCTGTTAAGATGAACAGTGGAAAGGCGGAGTCGACTCCAGGGCCTTCTCTGCAGGACCGGCTGCTTGCCAGGTATGTCTCTACAAGTACCCCAAGCCCGCAGCCTGCGGCCTGTTAACTCGTCCTGGATCTAGGTTTCTCCAGCAGCTGGTTCCGTCAGAAGATGGCGGCAGTGATGATGAAGACAATACTGAGGCGTCGGCATCTTTAGAGAGGCCTCCTTTTAGTCTACCTACGATGACCAACAACTTCCGACGATTTAATGCAAGGTATGATGATGATACCCAGGCTTATAACCATGGAATGATAACCCAATAGCTAAACCTCAGCAGAATCGGAATAGTATTTCGATTCCAGTATAACGTGATTAAGCTTCTATCCTGGAGCCACCGAACCCAAACATGGTCTCTGATTTGTGTATACTCATTCATTTGCCTCGACCCGTACTTGTTGGCGGTGCTCCCATTTGTCCTTATCCTTCTTTTCATCATGATTCCAGCCTTCTTAACAAGACATCCTCCGCCGCCTCCCTCAACTTCAACCTCCAGTACGACCCCATACTACTCGTATGAGGGTCCTGCGCTTGCTCCTGCCAGAACTATAAAGCCCGCTCCTGAGACATCGAAGGACTTCTTCCATAACATGCGAGATTTGCAAAACTCAATGGCGGATTTTGCCGTCCTTCACGATGCGGCTGTGTCACTCATTGCTCCAGCTACGAACTTCTCCAATGAAACCTTGTCTTCGTCCCTGTTCATTGCATGCACTGGCTGTGCGGGTGCCGTCTTTCTCGTATCACGTCTCCTTCCCTGGCGTTTCATCATGTTATTCCTTGGGAATGCTCTCATCCTATCGAAACATCCGAACATGAAGCCTCTTTTTGAAATGGTCCAAACTACATTCGCGTCACACAGTGCATCGCATGGTAATGCTGAAGGCGAACAGAAATCCACATTTGACATTTTTGGCTACTCTATACCCTTAACCGTATCCGGCTTAATGAATCTCCTTGACTCTATCACTGCTATATCCCTTTCTGCAGAGCCAGAGGAGCGAGAGGTTGAGATTTTTGAACTACAACATAAAACATATTCTTTGTATTCAGCATCACCCGAATGGGAGCCGTTTTTGTTTACATCTACCCCATACGACCCTCTTTGTCCTTCTCGTATATCGGGAGATCGCCCTCGAGGCTCAAGGTTTTTCGAGGATGTGAGACCCCCTCCTGGATGGGTCTGGAAGAGCAAAAAATGGGAATTAGACCTCGAATGTCGGGAGTGGGTAATGGAGCGCATGGTGACTGGGGTAGAGTTCGAAATTCCTGACAGTAATGATGGGATTATTGGTGAGGAAGTTGGAGGCTGGGTATGGGATCTGCCCTTTAACCCACCAAATGAAGACCACCTTGCCGCCGATATCCTGGCATATACTGACTCGTGGGAGAGCCCAAGAAGTAAGGCACAACTGTCGCCCCAAACTAATAAGCGCTCCAGCCACGTAGATAAGCCGGAATGGGAGGAAGCTACGAAGCAAGTTGATAGAGCCGGCGACTGGAGGAGAAGACGTTGGGTTAGAGTTGTGCGAAGAATGACCATTGATGAAAAGGCATTGAAAGCTACGCCACTATCCTCTTAGCCAACCAAGCTTCACTCCGTTCGACATCTGCTCCTGGTTCCGCTGTACGATTTCTATATGATTACGGGAATTATATTATTACAGTCAACAAATACACCCCGTTGCAAAGTACCACGGCGCCGCAGATAATTACTTCGTCGAATTGTCATCAAGCCACGAAGAATCCTCTTCATCAATGGGCTTCAAAACAGGCCAAATCTAACGGAAAGAGCTCATTCCCTCAGTCTCCCTTCCTCTGGGTCTATATCGATCTTGCACTGAAACAGAACCGAGTAACGGGATATGAGTTGCTCCTACTATTTTCACTCATGTTGTTCTAGGCCTACAATATTTGGATCACTCCAGCCAGGAATCGTTCTGTAGCAAGTGGTCTTCTTTTCTCTCCCTTCACTGTATCGGTTCTTGGATGTTCACTACCACCTATATACGATTCTCGCAGCTGTCCAAATCATGAACTCGACTCCGGTACACCAAGATCCAGCGTGGACGCTACCTATGATTCCACCGGAACATCCCCTGAATCTAACAATCGCAGCCGAAGCGGAGAAGATATACTTGGCGCCATCCGACTTTTCGTTCCCCAATGCATCTCGGGGCTCAAAGAAACATTGCCTTGAAACAGGATCAGAAACAATGCAGGATCTAGCTCCATGGTCCTGGTCTGAGATACGCGATCTCATGGGGCCTCCGATGAAAAAACATGGAACAGTTGGACCAAGTGAAAAGATAGTACAAGTTCAGCATCCACTGGTCCAAAATTTACCACTCTCTCCACTCTCATTAGCGATGTCTGGATCGTCGTCCGCAACATCTGGGGCAATCCCATCGCCGTTGCGGCTTGATCAGGAACTTGAAACGAGCATGCTTACATTTGAAGCTATCAGCCCTCAGGAATTCCTTGACGATAGAGTATTGAAAATTAATTGCGGCTTATATGGATTTGATATAGTCCAGGAAACAGTTAAAGACTCACTTAACCGAAAAGAAATCTCCTTTTCCCAAGCCACCGGGCTCTATCATATAATACTTTCATGGCGGTCCCATTTCCACCGTGAGCTGGTCATTATCCACCGCCAGCGAAAGATAATCGAAGAAGAAATGGCCGAGTCGATATCCCAATGTAATGATATTGAACATGTTTATAGAGAAGTGCTTACAGGGAAAATGTTAAGGGCTTTACCGTACCTTCGCGCAACTGGATCACTTCATCATGAAACACCTCATGCCCGCCTCGCTGGACAATACTATTCAGCAACAAGAATAAATGAAGCAGGAAACGAAGAGTCGTATTGTCATATTCTAGGCTGGGCACCACCTTCGCTGGTGGTGGCATGTCGATTGGTGCCAGACGCCCTTTCTCAAGACCTATTGTCTCATTTGTTTGGCGTAGGGGAGGTCCCCGTCAACGATCCTCGAAACTGTAGGGATATTATTGTCATTATTAACACAATCCTCCTCTTGTGTTGTCCACGGGTAACTGACTGCTTCATCATTGTCTGAATAGCTATAACCCTCGATGTACACCTTGCGCGAGCTTTGAACATGGGCGCAATCGCCATTGTTCCTTATCTATCTTCAAGCGAAGAGTATGAATGGACGATAGTTGTAGTGGATCCCACTATCAACAACCATTTCATATATCCGGGTGTTTTATGGAAGGTATGGCATCTTGGTGGTCAATAAGTGGCCTGCTTTGCTAACTCAAGTACAGGATATCCATCGACAACCTCTCAAGTTCCAAGGAGACCGCCGCCCAGCAACCCGATACCTCTATTTTCGGTATGTGGTAACATATCTACTCTATAAAAGGCGTTTAGACCCTATACCCGACATTATTCAAGGACCAAAATCCCAAGACAAACTGTGGCCCATAAGTGGTCCATTTCTACGGAGATCCATGTTTGCCAAGCTTGCCCTCGAAATAGGAAGAGCACCACTTCCAGAAATATGGTACGAACATACTACTTTTGATAGTGACAGGCACACTAGGAAAGAAACAAACCATGTACAGAATTGGACAAGCGAAGAAGAAGATGTTCTTGTACTAAAGCTTGCTGCGGAATTATTGGATAATGAAATATAAAACACTATGTTTCAATACTCCTTTATTCATCGTTAATACAGGAACTTGGTCCTGTCGTGGTATTGCATACATATACCCTAGAGACTAATGAAAAAATGTCTAGACTAGTTAGAATTAGCATTCACCTACCAATATCCTCGGCTTTATTAATACCAAGAACAGTAGGAGATGCTCTGCCTAGAGAAGTAACCTAAAGTTATGATTGTATATCCCAGTTAATATACTATACATCTCACTATGCACTTTCCACCATAATAACAGGAACCTTCTGTGCAAATGGAAAGTTGATGTATGTATATTATAGAAATTAAAAGGAAGAATTTTTTTCTTAATAAATTTTATTGTTGCTTCATGCTTGCTTGTAGTACATTTTTTTAGTCTACTGGCACACCACCAGTCATATTTTAATTTCCGTATTACCAACCCCAGATTGAAAACAAAGAGAAAATGTCGAAGACAAATCAGGTAAGACAAATCAAGCAAGCTGAAAACAACCATTACAAACAAATCATCTGCTTCGCTTCTTCCCTTTTAGAACTCGAAGTTCTGAGAGTCAACTGAATGGCTGTTCGGTGATCATCATAGTAGGGGATCACACCAGAACCAGGAAGGCAACAATGAGACCGAATAGATAAGCAAGCTTAGCATCGGTTGTGTTCTCTTCAGCAGCATTGACAAGTGTAGACGTGGCAATGCTGTAGGTTGGGGTAGTGTGAACTGAAGTATGATTGGTGTGAACTGTCGTGATTGTTGAGGTGAATGAGGTAGATACTGTAACTCTCTCCGAGTAGGTAGATAGAGTAGTCTGAGTTGGAAGCATAGACAGTGAAGAAGGCCCATAGGATGTGTAATTCGCGACGCTAGTGGGCAGAAGAGTACTAGGGGATAAGGTAACACTGCTCTCGGTAGCTTCCTTGGACTCGGTTGTTGGCGATTTTTGAGGTTGCTCGGTAATAAATGTCTCAGTAAGCACGGTAGTCTCCGCCTGGGTGGTAGATGTTGGCGTGAAAGTGATGAACATGGTAGTCGTTGTGGTGGAGGTGCTCAAAACCGTGGTGCTGCTACTGATGGTAGGCTCGACAGTACTCATGTCTGTGGACAAGGGGATGCTAGTAGTAGAAACAGACGAGGGAGTAGCCGAAGAGGTAGACAACTCCGAAGTAGATTGAACTAAGGTGGTGGTGCAGTGGGTAGAAGGGACCATATTTTCCTTGTGTTTGGTCATCGACGTGCTAGCATCACTGGTAACTTCGGTGGTCGGGTAGCTGGTGAGTTGCTCAGGGGTAGTCATGCTAGACTGTACCTCGCGGGTGTGGGCACTGGTCCATAGGCTAGTAAGAACTACATCTGTGGTAGTCATAGTGGTAGAGAGTGTGGTAGTGCTTTCGGCGGATAGGCCAGTAGAGATGACAGCGTCTTCGGAAGACTTTCCGAATTGTGGAGCAGGAATGAAGGTAGAAGCAATTGGTTCAGTTCGGAGCTGAGCAAAAGATTGGGGAACCTTACCCCCAGGGCCCAAATCCAAGCCAGGCGATCTAATGAACCCCGGGGTAGGAGCCATAGTAGACACAACTGCTTCAGTTTGGAGAGTGCTAGGCGTCCGGGTAGGCCCTTCAGAAATGAACAAAGTAGAGGCCATAGGCTCAGCCCCAACAACAGACCTAGGGAAGTACACATAAGGGATTGGAGTAGATGAATCCTTTTCAACTGCAGGAGTGAGTGTAATCATGTTTCGATGCAAGCAAGTTGCATCTCCAGAGGTTTCAGACGATTCGAAGCCTATTTATATTGAGTTAACCAGACTAATACAAGCAATATAGGAGGGCAGAATATCGCGAGGAACGTACACATGGCAGTACGGTCAGTTTCACTAAAAAAGAGGTAAAACGTTAGCAACTGATATACTATACGTTGATATATAGTGAAAACATAAGATAAACGCGTCAAAGAATGACTCAAAAGCCTTACTACTTCTTGCAGTTAATGGTGTTAATAACGGAGCCTTTGCTACACCTAATCACCATAGGGCCACGGAGGCCTTCATAACAGAAATCACCATCAGGAGCTGGACAGTGAGCAACAGTAATATTTGCATAGTGGCTAGACAAGACGTTAGATTTAGAACAAAACAAGCTTATATAGACAACTCCTAACAAGATTTCCTGAATCTCGTTACAAAAGTCTTCCTGTCTTTAGGAAGAATAAGAGTTAGCTTACAAGGCAAAGCGTGCGTTAACAGCACAGAGAAGCGAGAGAACCGCCGCAAGAAGCAGATGAAGCTTCATATTGGAGATCCAACGGGACAAGGCAGATTAACGCGTTGTTTATGCTCTTATAGGCGTGTATTGGGTAAAAGCAGGTTGGCTTTTGTGGAAGAGAAGGAGGTTGAAGAAGAGAAGAAAGGATATTGTTGTGAAAGGGTGGAAAGAAGAGAATTTATAGGAGGACAAAGCTAGTGAGTGAGAAAACTTCACTTTGGCCGCAGCAGACTTCACCAAGTGAGGTAAGGCAAGGGACTTGCCGGTAGAGCACACAATTCACAACAAAGACAGTCACTCTTTGGGTATTATTCTGACATAGCTGGGTGCGGGGCCTTTGATGCTTCTTAGTGAAAAGGGGGGAGAGATAGATGCATGGTATCAGGCTCAAAGGGAGTTCACCATATAAAGGTGGTATGAAAAAAAGGAGCTGCATCCTATACCTGGTTTAAAATCGGTAGTAGAGCCATCAGTCTCCCCGGAAGATGCATATGAATGGTATAAATGTGATTATTAAGAGACAAAAAGTACAATGGGTAGAAAAAACCCATGTTCTATATCCCATTTTTTTGGTTCACCGTGTTATGAAAAAGGGATAAAATGAATATACCAACCAGGAAAAACGCCTTGCGATCGAAGATAACACCACCTAACAGCCCAAAGATATGTATTCATTTATAAGCAGTTCGCACCCGTTCTTATTCCCGCTCTTTGCTTGCCTTCATCTTCCTCAACCTCCTCGCAATATCCGCCTCAGTCTGCTGCATGGGGTTAAGTTTCTTATCCCTTGCCATTCGTGCGGTATCGTCACCATATTTTTGTACCAGGGCCTCAAGCCACTCTTCTTCTCGCTTGCTCTGGTGTCTGGGTTTCTTATTTTTCAACTGTTCTTCCTGGGCCGCAGCCTGCTTCTCCAGTTCCGCCACAACATCGAGTGACGATGAAGTGCCACGGGGGCCATCAAGTGCCATCTCACTATCTTCTGGTAGATCCTCCAGCGGATCATTCAATGGATTATCCCTTCTTCGCTTTCGTCCTGCTATTTCAATGGTCTGGTCCTCTTCATTGTCTCCACTGATGACGCGCAGAATCTTTCCTGTTTCCGGGTCACGTTCAACGCGGACTTCACCTGGCTGGAGCTTCTTGCTTCGTTTCTGCTGTGGGACACGGAACGGCTCATTCAATCCAGACTGTGTGGTTTCGTTTCCCTCTTTAGATATCTTCTTCTCAATCCCTCCAGTAGGTGCATTTAAACGAGAAGTAAGTCCGAGGCGACGGTAATTCTGGGTGAGAGTTAACTTCTTGTCCCTATATGTGAAGGTCAGTTTCTTTCTCTTTATTTTGCACGCAGGACATGATTTCCCTTGGACCATACCAGTTGCTTTTGATGATTGCATTTCCGAAGACGTTTATCTTCTTATTCCCATTCTTGGCCTTCTTACTCTTGTGTTTGACCTTTGGATTCGAAGACCGATTCTTCTTTTTCTGTAATACTTTCCCCATTTTCTCTTAGCGATATGTTGAGCTGAAATACTTGACTCTTTTATTCGTTGCACTTTTTTTTTTTTACATTCGGAGTTTGCATACATCGTCACATATCTTGGCGCTCTGTTGCTTATATAATCAAGGACTTCACTCCATCGCTTGACTTCACTGGAATGCAAGTAATTATTCACTATCAGCAAAAGCGATAGAGGATAAAATACTTCAACTATATACGGAGCACAGAACTGTTACTTTCTCTTGCCATTGATTTATGCCTGTGAGATACAGAGTGAAATGGCTGTGGAATAAGATAACATCTGTGTCCCATGTCATTATTAGGGCCACCGATAAATCCGCAAGCCAGGAGACTTACTATCCAGCAAAGTATATCAACATGCTACTTGCTGCGTGTGCTGCTGCTACTTTATCCGATAATCGGCGATAGCAACACGATGCCACAGCGCTGCATGCATACATCCGTAACGGAAACATGCTCATCTATGGGGCTATGGGTGCCAACGGTCAATGAGTATGAAGATGTAGATTCCATCACTTATACACGATACCAGGCAACTATTTTTTGGTTACTATCCCGACGATACAGGGAGGACATTACGGTTGAATGGCAAAATTTTACTATTCTGCGCCGGAGAAAGCATTACTGCCAGCCTGACTTGCTGCTATTGTTGATGGCCTAAGGCTCCATACCCTATCTAAAAAGCGACTATGTTATGACATTATGGATACTGTCCGGCTTCAGAATGAGGCCGCACTCTCGGAATCATACCAGTCTCTTGCCTCCCCTGTGCTCACTTGGTTAGAGCGCATACCAGGGCTAAAGATGGCATTTTTGTCGAAGTCGATAAAGCGCTTATCTACAAACACTCTCTGGCAACGCAGCTCGTGCAAAAAATACTAATACTGGACTTTCCTGTTGAGAGCGTGAGGTACGGAGATGCGTTGTCGCGGGATCCTACTAGCGCGGACAGCCCTTTGATGATGGATCCAAACATCTTCACAACGAACACCATCTCCCTTCAGAGGACGCTAATCGTTACGGTGCTCACTCTCTAAGACGTGATCATAGAGCGTTTTTATCAACTTGATATGTTTCTCTTTTATTTTTCCTCTACTAGATCCTATATTTTAACTCTTATTCCGCTCTAATCCTAGGTCATATACCCTAGGCAAGGATAACTTTTAGTGGAAAGTAATACAAATTACTCGGATCGGAATACTCTGTATACTGTCCGTATTTAACTATTTTTTATAAAGGACATACCAAAAACGCGAGCCCAAGGAGACCCTGACGACAATGTTACATGTCTCGCAGCTCCCCATCAGGCTCACTCACCCAACTGTACTCATCATAGCTATTCCCACCAAGCCAACGCTACAACACCTTGTGGAAGTATGGGTTGTAGACAAGGAAGTATACCTTGACGCTCAAGCAAGCTATGGTTAGGGCGGGCTTAGGGCCGTATGATTGTCTGCGGCCAGGAGTTGACGTCTTGGGAGTTATCTTCAGCCCCTAAACTACATTTCGCACAATCCTCCTTGGGATAAACGAGCCGGTCACCAAGCGGTCGACATGACGAAACCAGCGACTTTACTAAAACAAAGCATTGGGCCAGGCTATGGAAGAAATGTGTATATAAGCCTACGAGCATATCCCAAAACTACCGGCATTCATCCTTGGGGTAACTGACAAGCTAAAGCATTTTACTCTAAACACAACCTCCACTAGAGCGATGATAGACAGCCGGGCATCCCTACGCACCTCAACCCTGTGAGTCTCGCATAGGTTTTACCAGGGAGAACTGGGCTAAAAATAGGCTTACGGTGGAACGTTTACTTATTAGAGAAGAACGATGACCAAGCTGTTTAGGGAGATATACATAGTAATGATGATAATTCAGTGATGCCAGTAGCTCTCTGACATTTATAATAGTTTTTTATAAGGTACAAAATAAAACGCGATCCTTCGTCTATCAACGTAGGTTGTCGCGTGCTATTAATAGGGGGAGGATGTTCCCTGTCAGAAGCTATGCTTGGCTTGTTTAGACAAGACGATTTGCAACTCCCTCCACCATCAATGCTCACGATATAGCTGTTTATATTACCAGATTTCTAGGGAGTAACCATGGCTCGTTCGATCGGATACTCCATTTTTCATAGCCGGTTATGGCTTTCTCTAGCGGTGGTTGCACTCTTCGCTGTCCTGGCACAAGCTACATCGGATAAGGCTGCGACTGGGGAACTGACAGTGCCTCAGATCGAAGAGAAGCTACAGGTAACTATGCGAACCACAGAAAATATACCAGCTTTATATATATGGACGATCTAACTCGAGGCTTCTCATCTAGGAATGCCCCTTGGTTCAATCGCTTAATGCGCAGAAGCTTGCCAGCGCCCCTGAAACAGCCAGCCTGACCTCCAGGGTCTTTGCGGTTCTATTCCCTGGAAGTCCCGCTGTGAACGCTATACTTGCTACCGTCTATATCTCCGGGCCCCCAAGTACGTAGTCTTGATGCTTAACTTGAGAAGAATTGATACTAAGGCTCTTCTTCAATACAGATTTTCTACTAGCACTATGCCCTCCAAACATCGACCCATCTTCCCTCTCCATTATGGTTGCCTTTGCAGTCGGGGGTCTACTAGGAGACACGCTCTTCCACCTATTACCCGAGATATTCCTCGGAGAGGACTCACCAGAACATGTCCGCTTTGTGATGGTCGAGCCAAATAAGAACTTACTCCTCGGTTTGGCCATACTCGTTGGCTTCGTGACTTTTGTGGCTATGGATAAGATACTCAGGATTGCGACTGGAGGGGAAGGTCATCAGCACGGCCACGCGCATGAGCACGGTCACAGCGGTGATTCAGGACCAGTAACAGCCACAGGCGTGTCCACTGAGGGTAAAAACGGTGACCTAAAGCAGCGGAAACCAGCAGCTTCCAGCAGTGTCGCTACCAGCGAACATGAACATGAAACCGAGAGCCCAGGTACCAACCCCAGCGTGAAGCTAGGCGGGTACCTGAACTTGATTGCCGATTTTACGCACAATATCACCGACGGACTAGCCATGTCTTCGTCCTTCTACGCTTCCCCCACCATAGGCGCAACCACAACCGTTGCCGTCTTCTTTCACGAAATCCCGCATGAAGTCGGTGACTTTGCACTGTTGATTCAGTCTGGTTTCTCGAAACGTAAGGCTATGGGTGCTCAATTCGTTACTGCCATCGGTGCATTCATTGGGACGTTTATCGGTATTGCAATCCAGGAGTTTGGCGGCGGTTCTGCATCCGCGCCCTCTGGAGCTGCGGCTCCCGGCTTACTTGGAACCAGCCTGATGGTTGGTGACTTATTACTACCTTTTACCGCTGGAACGTTCCTATATGTTGGTACGGTAGCTGTCATTCCAGAGTTGCTGGAAACCGGTAAGGATAAGGGGGTGGAAGTTAGAAAGACGATGATGCAGTTTGCTGCCATGGCCGCTGGAGCGGGAATAATGCTACTGTAAGTCAACCCTTACCTGCTGATCTTTTTTTTTTCTTGGCTGCGTAGCTAACTACTTTTGCAGGATTTCATGGGATTAAAAATGGTGAAAAGGACGTACTATACAGTAGACAGTTTAGGGATATAAACTAGTTCAGTCTAATTGAGTAGTTAAAATGGGAAAATATAAACGAAAAATCACATCCAATCAAGGACCAGCCTGCCCTAGATATTTCCGCCCTCTGTTCCAATTAATTTATGCTCCACAGCTGTTTTGTCTCATGCCGATTCATTTGTCTGTCTTTGACTTCTGACTTTGACCCTACATTAAAAAACCACACTAAAACACCCCCCCGGGAACACATCTAAAGAAAACTGTTTGGTTCTCACAATGCGGAGAATGAGGAAAAAAAAAAGAGCAGCGAAGAACAAGCTAGACAGAAGAGAAAAATGCATCATATGCAAAGGTTCAGCGCCAGAAAGGGGGAGGCAAAGGGGAGAAAAAAAAAAGGAGAAAAAGCGAAAAAAAAAGGGGGGAAGCGAGAAGAAGAAAAAGGAATGATGATATCCGGTACAAAAGTCTAGAAATGAGACAAACGTATGTGGGCCGTAGGTAGAATAAAATGCAGTAAGGTATAACCGATGGTAGAAGATGAACGTAAGAGAGTCGGAACTGAGAATTTATTTTTCTCACTCGTTATAATGATATACCTATGGCCGGGGGTGGATTGTTAGCAAGAAGGACCCTCACCAACAGAGCAGAGCGTAGGGGGAGCATACAAAATAGTTAGGCAAACCGTAGCACTTCCATCCAAGTCTTCGTGCCATTTTGGCAAAGCCTTCGGACTCAACAAGGTGGTAGAAGGGGAAGGGAGGGAACATGGCCCCATCACGATGAACGGCAGCCTTGACCATTAACGCGGTGCCACCGACACCGTCCAGCTCCATTATCTCGCTGGTGTTCCTCTCTGGTGACCTGTCTGCGCTAAGAGCCATCAGGTTTCTAAAGGTGGGTAGTTCGCCATACCCTTCCAGCATGATCTCATCGCGGCCCAAGTTTTTGGCAATGTCGAGGGATCGAGCGGTGTCGGTCCAGGAGTTATAGTCGTATGGTCGAATATCCATCTCCTTGGTGTCGGGGTTGAGGAATCGTTGGTAGCAGTTTGCTACGAGGACGGCCTTGTCGTGGCTGGTCATGTCCTCGATCAAGGTCGGGGGTGTCTCGATGATGTCACCGTCCAACCAGAGGACCCAGGACGTCGACGGGCCCAAGGTGGTGAAGAGCAAGCTGTTGCGAGCACGGCTCATCGACTCCCGGCGTACCTTTTGGTTTTCCAGCTTATGGCGTTCCTTTTCGTCCTGTGACTGGAGGGGTGGAGGAAAGTCCTGTCTGAGGATGGTGATGCTGGCGAACCGGTCATCGATCGGACCGGACTGGACCTTCGTGATGGCGGACTGTAGAGCGGCATAGGCTGCGTTTCCTTCACGGGTCTTGGGGATGATGAAGCCCAGGGAGATGTACTGGTGAGGATAGGTGAACTTGGAGAGGTTTTCCCAGTAACCGGGGTAGAACCGCGCCAAGGGGGTGAGGACGAGGATACGTTCCCGGTTGCTGGCCGCGGTGCCGGTGGAGGTAAGGTTGTTCATGTTGTAGTGTACGACGGGAGGGGGTATCCTCCTACCTCCGCCAACAGCCTGAGACTTGTGAAATGGCTTTGTGGGCGGCGAGAGAGGGTTCTGGGCAGCGTCATCATGTCGTTCCTGCGAAGTAAAAGCCGCCGTGGAGGTCGGAGAGAAGATGAAGAAGAGGAATCCTATAGCTAGTAGACCGGCTAAGACGATAGTGATCGGATTCGTGCGTCGTAAAGAGCGTGCGAGAGCCATTTTCTCCTTCTTTTTTATTTTTTTTTTCTTGATCCTCCCCCGGACAGGCGTGTCCTGTTCTTTGCTTTGGCGGAATGGAGGGATTCCTCAAAAAGGACAGAGACGACGCTCTGAATCGAGATTCGGCCTGGTATATGGGAGAAGAGTCGAGTTCGTTATCCGGACATATATCTAATCCTCCGCAACATGTTTCACAGTAAGAGCGGTTCCTTAGTGAACAGACAAGCAAAGGCCCCAGCACCGGGTGCCGTCAAGGACGTGTGGCGAGTCGAGGACGCAACGAGGACAACCCGACGAGAGAGACAAGACACCAAGCAGACCAAGAAGAAGAAACAGAAGAAGAGAAGGGAAAAAAAAGACAAATGAAGAAGCGAAGAAAGAAAAAAGCTGGCAAAAGTTGCGAGTTTGAAGCTGAAGTTTGGATTTCCTTCTTTGGCCTTTTAAGCCTTCGACGGCCGAAAGAGGAAAAGCGCGAGTCCTTAAAAAGTTGAACCGCTTTTTTTTTTTTTCTTTTTTTTTCTTTACTTTCTACATTTTTATACCGCGAGACGACAAGCTATTAGTTCGAGTTAACGGAGTACATGCAGACTACAGACGGAACGGTCGATGGGAGAGAGACAAAGGGAGGGCACTCTGGACGGAGGAGGTGACGGGGAGATGATCGACTCCAGCGGTGGATAAATAACACGAATCAGGTTCTCGCTGACGACGCAGATCAAGGGGGAGGAGATGGACGATGCACCCCCGTATGTAGCCCTGCCTATATATATACGATCAGACTAGAGAAAGTCTACTATCTTGATGTGACCGGTGTGCGGTCACGGTAACGCTCTCATCACACCCTCGAAGGCTACCAAGGCCATGGCGTTTGCCGGGAAAGCACGCAGAAAACAGGGCAGAAAGCCTCGCCAGTACGCTCGCCACCCGCCCTCTCTGCCCACAGCGACGGCCGCGTCTCTCCAGCGACGAAACCTGCGCTCTCCATCGCCCAGCGAGCCTCCCAGCGGGTCTGTCATGACCCGCTGCTTGACGACGTCGGACGGGTAGGAGGTCAGCCAGAAGACCTGTGCGGACAGCCCGCCGGCCCAGAAGTTGATGGCCGGCGCAGAGAGGTCTGTGTGCTTCCTCAGGGCACGAGAGAAGATGTCATAGCTCCCCCACCAGCAAAAGAAGAACGAGCGGAAGATCAGGGTCGAGCAGAGGCCGTGGTAGAGTCCTGGCAGGCCGTGGGCACGGAGCTGCCATCGTCAGATACACCCGTACAGAATAGAACGTGGACAGAACAAAGACTCACTATCTTCCGACAACAGTCTATCGGTCCCTGGTACAGGCGCTGTTTCTTGTCGGCAGCATACTGTATCTGCAGCCGGGCCTTTACATGCTCAACAGGCGCGGCGATGAAGCTGACCGTTGACCCAGCCATGATGCCCGCGACCCCATGACCAAACGTTGACAGTCTGTCAGGCACCTCCCGGCTGACGAACGGTACGGCCGCCCGTAGCTCTCGGTTTGCGAAGATGTGCTCGAATATCAGCCGTCGATACAGCGTCAGGGAACCCAGCATGCTAAGGACAAGTAAGCCGCAAGTCGTAGTCATCACATGTATCATCCAACGACATACACCGAGTCCATGACCATCCATCCCATCAACGGCGGCGTGGCCCCCTTATACAACGCGGTAACCCCTTCATTCCGGATCGTCTGCAGCAGGCAGTCCACCGGCCCCGTAAATCGTGTGCTCTTCGTAGTCTGCAGTCGGACCTTGATGGTATCGAAACTGTTGGCAAGTCGCAAACCGGTCAGCCGTCAGCTCGCCTCTCTCCCGTCAGCCTGTCTCGCATAGATACGTACGGATGGCCAACTAGGTGTAAGACACACTCGTTAGCAGAATCTCCTTGGCCACTAGCTAACCAGCCTTCAACCCACCTGTCAGCTTTGCGATGCCCGAAAACACCCCGGCCACAAAGCCCTTGTAGTCATGCTGAGCTTTGATCTGTCTCTTCCCGTTGACTCCTATGTCTGGCTGCGCGACGCCGGCCCCATTACTCATTGCTGACCCTGACTCTGACGCCGCTGCTTTCTGCTGCTTCTGCTTCTGCTGCTGTGCTGTGCTGACCGACCTGGTCCTTTCGACGAGGCTGCCGACGTGCCAGCGCCAGATGTTAAATATGCCGCCAGTGACAGTTGCAGGCTGTTAACGAGAGTCCCTTTTGACATGTGCGTGTGAGGCTGCTGTTAATCAATATTTAGTTTTTCCCGTTGGCTGTAACCAAGCACTTTTTTTTCCTCCCTTCCCGTCTAAATTTGACTAGCGATGGTTTAAGTGTTAAGTGCGAGAGTTACGCCTGTGACGGGCGTTTCTTCTACTTAAGTGGCAGCCAGCCGTGGAATAAAAAAGAACATCCTTCGACGCTATCTGTCAAGCGTATCAAAGATGCAGGTAATTATGACATGTCCATAAATCCAATACTCAGACATAACTAGGGGTGTTATGAAACACATCTTGGAAAGGAGATTCTATACGAAGGGCATACACTGGTAGAAGATAAGGGTATAGATATTCATTCTCGTCTCGCTTCCAAGGCTATCGTAGTTATCGAAGAAACAAAATCTAGACAAGCGTATCGTCTGCTGTATGAAGAATAACGGATAAGAGAAACAGAATTGAAACAGGCGTAGGAGAGGTGTATCGAGGGGGTATAAAACATCCGGTCTTCAGGGCGGAACGCTAAATTAATATAACAACGATAAGAAAAGGCACGAAGGATCGAATTGGTATATGTAGTGCTGTCGTAAGAAGGAATGAGATGGATTGTTGTACCACACATAGACCAGCCATGTAGGAGGGAGTCCGGTTTTCTTTCTTCCCCCCCTTTTCCTAATTCCTGGTTTACTCTTATCGGTTCGTAGCTGGGTATACAAACAAGTAAACCGAGGAGTCATCCTCTCTTCCAACCAAAAAAAAAAAAAAAGAAAAGAACAAAATAACTCCGGGTTTTATTAAAAGTCACAGTTTGGTCTAGTGTGGTAGGCCGTCTTTGGGCCAGGTGCTGGTCTATGAAAGGACGGGTGTATATAATAAATGCAAAAAAAGAGAGATGTCGTATGGTAGATGCCGTAAGGTCGTTAGGAGATCGAGTCGAGTAAAAAGGGAGAATGGTGAAAACGGAGTAGTAAGAGTAGAGGAAGGTTCAGTCCATCCTCGATGAAAGGCGGTTCTTCTCTCGCATGATAAGCTGATCCAGCAGCTCTATCCTCTCTCTGGGGTTGGCATGCCGCTGTCCGTCTGCTGCCAGGATCTCCATCGCGCCAGCAGAGAGGTAGCCTTCCCCTTCCTCCTCCAGGGCCAGGGGAGTCACCGGGCCCGGGCTCCCTAGAGGTTCTAGTCTGGGCTTGGATGGCTTGGAGAAGGTCGAGGACTGGGCTGAAGCGCGGGCTGAGAGAGCCATGCCGGCCACCAGATCACGGTACTGACGCAGTGCATCGCGAGACGAAGAGGCCGTAGAAGTGGTCGAGGAAGAAGAGACCACCGCTGAGGCGGAGGTGGGTCGGTATGTCTGGGTGTGCGAGTATATGTGTGGTGAGGACGTAGCCACTGCGTCAAAGTCGAAGGCAGTGGACGAAGCGGTCGTGCTGCCGTTTGTCGACTGATAGACTGCCGGATGGAAGCGAGGGAGGTTCTCGAGACGGAACGAGGGTGCGCTGAGTGAAGCAGCATGGCGGGCGCGGGAGGAAGAAGAGGAAGCAGAGGAAGCAGACTCCGCCTGGACTTGGGCCATGGCCTGCGAGAGGAGCGACGTGGGAGCGCGCAGGACGGGAGAACGATCGGTGAGCATTTTCTCTCTTTCCGTCTGTCTCTGTATTCGTATATATGGTATATGCTGTGTATGTTGTATATAATTGTCTGTCTCGTTCTTGTTGAGGGGGAAGACTGGGCGGCTAAGTATAGAACTTTGGCGGGAACGGGAAACGGGGCGGACTAGTCAAGGGGGGAAGACTAGCGGATGGGGGCTTCTGACGTGGGTGGCTGACGAGTTCATGGGAAGATGAGAGATGATGAGAAGGAGACGAGAGGAAGATGATGATGAGGAGAGAAGAAGAAGAAGAAGAAGAAGAGGCGGAGGTTTTGTTATATCGTGAGCATCCCTGGTTGTCATGCATGGCGCCCCGATGGAGATATATACGGACAGGCATACATAGTACATGCATCCATGGATATTCTTCTTCTGCTTCTTTTCTTTTCTTCTTCTCGCTACAACGCTGTACTATGTATCACGCAGGATGAGCTCTCGGAGTGTCTGCAGAGATCTCGGAGTATCAGCGTCGATGTAGATGCAGAAGTTGACCTCATGAGCAGACAGCATCGTGGTATATATAACACCATGCTATATACTGCCTGACCTGCTCATCTTCTCCTTAACTCCTTTTACTTGCAAGGACACACCTACGAGATGCCACTGCAAGCTGGCGACGATGTCGAAGGCGTGCATTACGATCCAGCCTGTGTTGCTCGTATTCCTGCCTTTGGGACACAGACATTCCAAGGCAGGACAAGCTCTTCGTCTTGGAGTATTACGGGAAGATATTTCTGGACCAAGAAGCGAGTCGATGCTGGAAGAAGCAAATATGGACTTTTAATGCCCGGAGCCATTATTATGTATGTACCAGCCGGCGGCATGATGTCCCTGAGCCACAGAACTTGACACCGTGAGAGAACATCACGAAGGATAACGATGAAAGGATGCGAGGAGTCGCTTGGATCTATATTCTCGGAGTTGAAGACTCTTCCGGCATGGACATACCTATGGGCATCGAATAAACCGACATCTGCGTCTTCGATGGCCATGGTATACTCCATCTACATCCAGTTATTCAAATATCGATCCAAACCCTCATATAAGACCAACGGCGGCAACCCAATTGACATCCTGCCATGTATCATTCGTTGGCTGTTGAAGTTTCACCCACTCCCGAGAACAATCCCTGGCGATTGAACCGTCCTCTGCAGCCCACATCGGGTGTATAATCCTTGCACGAGCGGGGATGTTATCGCATCCGCCCCCTCTTGATGCGCTGGCTCCATGCATGCATTTCCCCCTCCGTCCCTGGCCTTTTTCTTTTGCCTGTGCACTTTTCGGGGTTGGCGTTTGAAAGCGCCCTTTTTTCGCGCTGCGGGCTTCCTCCGTGGTAATATATATACCTGATGCTGCGAACGCGTGGGATGGCCGTGGACTCTGGGTCTGGCAGGGAATGGAATCATGCCCCGTTTGACGAGAGTAAATAATACTTGGACAAACTTGGTGAGATGCATCGATCTTCGTGTCCATCCATATTGCCAAAAGTTCCGTATGTGGAGGCAGTGGATCAATGCTATACCTATGATAGAGGTGACAGTATCGGTCGAAGAAGATGTATAAATTCCTCTTTTTAAATTGTATTTGATGTGTGCAATATTGATAGGTGCAGTTAAATGTAGTGTTTGGATTTCAAGCGTCGATACGCGCTTGTAGTTGACCGCCAATAACTGGCTGCTTGTGAGCTAGGCAGCAGCAGCATCGACACCAACAGGCAGCCCACACGGTAGGCATCAACCGCCTCTGCTAGCTTGTATCTTTCACCTTCTGTTACTTCTGCAGAATGAATAGGTCTCTTGATTTGGTACTCATATTATCTTCATGACATGGCACTATCTAGCCTCCCTTGCGAATTACTGCTTGCAATCGCAGAGCTGCTAAATCTAGATGACCTCAACGCCCTTGTCAAGACATCATGGCATACCTACGACTGTCTCAACACCTTCCTCTACCGTTTGAGCGTCCGAAAATTTAACAGCACAGGGATGGTGATTGCCGCTGGCAACGGGAGTTTGCGTGCGGTCCAGAGATTTCTAGAGCAGGGTGCGGGCTTGAACGGATGGAGCTATATCACTGGCGTAACAACCATGCAAACGGCAGCAAGGAGAGGCCATACTCATATTGTGCGATTCTTACTTGCGGCAAAGGGAATCAAGGTAGATGGCTCCAATGGCCTTAATTCTGCGCTGGAATTTGCTGCCCATGGCGGACACGCTTCAGTGCTGCAGCTGGTCCTCGACGACCCCCGTATTGACCCAACGCGCGAGAACTTTGGCACTAACCCCATCATCTGGGCGGCGAAGAGTGGCCACCATACAGCCGTGAGAGTGCTCTTGGCCGATTCACGGATAAATGCAAATGCCAATTCGGCCAATAGAGGCACCGCTCTGTACTGGGCAGTTATGCTCGGTCACCATGTGGTTGCAAAGGTGCTGCTTGCACACAGCAGCGTCGATCCTAATGTGAAGGCTGGTAGGCGCGCGCGAACACCGCTAATTGAAGCTGTGGGGCTTGCGGCCAGGCAGTCTGGCATAGAATCAGTGAAGATACTGTTAAGCTCGGACAGGGTCGATTTAGATATCCAAGATAATAGGGGGCTATCTGCGTTGTTGAGGGCGACACATATTGATACACGCTATGATGTCATTAAATTGCTCCTTGAAGCTGGTGCCAACCCCCATGTTAGGAACCGTCGAGGGAGGACAGCTATATCGCTGGCTTCCCGGAATAACAATGCCCACGCGGTGGAAATGCTGTTTGCGCATGGTAACATTAACCCGAACTCCCGCGATTGTAGTGGCCTTACACCGTTGATGTTGGCTACTCGTCAAGGGCATTCTGATGTTGTGTCCGTACTGTTGTCCAAGAAAGGAGTTGATATAAATGCCCAGGACTGCCGCGGTAATACGGCAATGCATTTTGCAACATTAGGCTCTTGTTCGCGCACTTTAAATCTATTGATCAGGAAGAAGCACATCAATCTCAACATCAGGAATTCAGACGGGATTTCACCCTTAACATTGGCAATAACTCGCAAGTCAGCCTCTCTAGCAGCCTACTATATCCGCAGAGGGGCCGATGTCAACCTCAAAAACAACGAAGAGAGATCGCCGCTCATTCTGAGCATCCTATGCTACGCTGAATTGCCATTAATCGAAAGCCTCTTGTCCAGCGAGACCATTGACGTCGATTCTCAAGACAATATGAGCAACACAGCGCTAATATGGGCCGCAAGATACGGTAGAGACCGCATAGTTGAGTTGCTCCTCGAAAGACATGACATTGATATCAACATCAAGAACGAGTTCGGTGTCGTTGCGCTCTCGGAGGCGGCGGCGTTTGGCCATATAGACATCATGAAATTACTGCTAGCCAGAGATGGGATAGAGTTGAACCCAAGGAATAACGAGGGGTGCACACCATTAGCGCGTGCTGTATCCATGGGTAGACCAGCAGCCGTGGAATTGCTACTTGCAACAGACGGAGTCGAACTTAACCCGAGGGATAATGAGGGACAAACGCTTTTGCGGCTTGCTGACCAGGATGCTAAAATACTCGAATTGCTAAGACAGAAGCCGGGTGTTGAAACTGATATCAATCCAGCAGAAGCCGAGGAAACCGAGGACACCGAGACGATATAAGATCTAGGTTTACCTTATGGTTTGTATGGCAGACCATATGGCTCCCTGATCCGCCCTATATTTAAACAACTAGAGTCTTTTTGATTGAATGGGGGGTGATATCTAGGGAGCTCCGTTTCTGTAAGAATCTGAGGCCACATCTATAACCCAAATAAAATTGGTATTAAGTCAAATATCTTGTATCTCTCTATAATTTCAGATGAACCCATAGGATAAGTCACTTTCTTTGACACATGGGAAGTTCCATCTATAGAGGGGTTTGGTCTTCCTACCAGTGACATTATATTCCTCATTTCTTCATGGCCATCATCCAGCACATATCAAAACAGCAATGGTATCTTTAGCAATCTCTTAAAGCCGTTAATATGAGCAGGATACTGTTGTTGCTTTATATTCTTCTCGGTAATGGGGTTGGAATGCTACTCTTTTTGGGGCGAGCCCTGTGCTCAAGAGCCAGCACATCAAAGTCGGCTTTGATACGGCGGTCTGATGCCGACAGCTGCCGAATGATTATTGCTGGAAAGAACCCATTTCAAAATACGGCAACCGGTATCCTAACCAGCCTTCAATCCAGGGCTGGCCCTAACCAAGCTCTTCGGAAAGCTTTTGGCATAAACAATGCTTTTACCAGCGAAGACAACAATGTTGTGAAAGATTTCGTAGCCAAGGCTAGAACCAGAATGAACCTTTATATCGCGGATTGGGAGAGAGCGGCTACTCTTGCAGCCACCACGCTCAAATCATTAGGATTTCTCGAGCAGGTAGGGAGAGACTGTGATGGCGCCACATCAAGGACAGTGCCTGTTGCCAATGTAGTGCAAGTTACATGCTTGACAGTCGTTCTGAGCACAATTCTTCAAGCAGATATTGACAAATTCCAATATAAAGATATTCTTGACTTGGCAGAGGGTATTAACCGAATATGGGTCTCATCAAAGAATATGAAAGAAGAACTGCGACCTGTCTATCAGAAGGAGGTGGCTCTTCATAACATCCTCAGGGCCATATTTCCAGGTATTCAGGTTGACGATTCAACTCAGAATCCCCTAAATCTCATTCTTCCCTCTTTTGAGACTTTATGGAGAATAGTGCTGCGGACTTTTCTCGAGGTGATAAGCAGTCGCAAACCGGAATTCAAGCAGGCGTTGGAAGCTTTTTTCCGAAGCCCTGGCAAAGAACAGTTCAACCATCAAATCAGCCCTGGCATTTCTGCAAGAAATATCATTTCCGAAGCCCTCAGGCTCTATCCACCAACTCGACGTGTCTATCGCCATGTTCGGAATCCCGGCACTGACAAACCGATTCTTTATGCCGCAGATATCGAGGCATGCCATCGTAATGCCATAGTATGGGGGCCGGATGCCCTCAATTTCTATCCTGGGAGATGGGAGAGCCTCAATAATTCGCAAAAGGCTAGCTTCATGCCATTTGGAGCCGAACCGTTCTTATGCCCAGCTAAGCCAGTCTTTGGGCCGCGGATGATCGCCCTTCTTGTTGGGGCACTTCTCTGCAATTATGCCGACGGCTGGGAGCTGCACGGGAGATTTGGGAAGCGTGATATTAATATGATAACTGAAGGGGTATATTTGGACAGAAATTCTTGTGGAGAACTATATCTCATGAGACAAATAGAAGAATGATACGTGAGTTTCTTTGTGGAGATACCAGGGCCTGGTAGATCTCTCCCTTTTCCTTGGACTGTTTTAGAGATCAGCTCTCTATCCCGGGCACTGCTTTTGTCTTGCAATTGGCTTATTGCAGATCTGCTGCACCACTGGAAGAGAAAATAGTGGTATTTTCGACCTGCTAGAACAAGACCGTTATAAAAAGTGCCAGTCCAAGATGAAAACCCTCACGGTCTTCGGCCCTTACTCCAGAGATTCTTTCAGGTAGGGTATTTATGCCACCTGCTTCTTGCTGCTGATCGGACGGCTGGACAAAATAGCTCTTCTCAGCATCATTGATAATATAAGGTCGGTTTAATCTAGATCGGTATGTCTTTAATATAACACTTCTATCAAAAGCGAGAATCGACGTTTGTCCGTATGGTTGTATATTGTCAAAATATTCCGGCTTAATCGGCCCTCGAATCTTGCATTCCTGAGCAGAGATTTTATCTCAACCTCTGGACTCATCAGTATACGTACGCTTCTGGCCACGTCCATTCGACCATTCCCCACTGTGTATACTCATGTTTGATATATATTCAGGTCAACGGTTAAGTTTCATGGAATCCTTTCATTAAGAGCTCCAGGTGGCTCACGACGCCCTCGCATCAGGGGTTAGTATCGGATTCTGTTGACCAGTTAGCCAGGTAACGATCCCTTGCTAGATGATCTACTTAAATTCCGAGTCATCATGGGTGGTCTCGTACTTGCATGACAGGCCAGGCACCCCACATCGTACGGACTCAACGTATACATGCATACGCAAAAGTAATATGAAATCGTTTCTGTTGTCAAAACGTCGATACGAAGAAAAAATCAGACGGGACAACGTCAGGTCACGTGTTAGTTACCTTCCGCGGCTTGGCCGGATTTTTTTCTTCTTTTTTTTTCACAAGATAATTAAACGTTTAGACGACAGAAAGCTTTGAGATGAATAATTATACATAAAAGTAATTGATAACCTGTGGGTGGCTAATATATCATAGGAGTTCAGACATCTTCGTTGTTGTGGTTCACAAGCAGTGTGTGCATTCTTTGAAAAAAAAAAGACGAATCAGGGGAAAATCCGACCGACCCTGCAGCTCCAGCAAAGGGAGTTGTCCGCCATCAGCTATAATACATCTGCCACAGACTCTTGACCTCCGATCCTGCTTTATTCCGAAATTCTTTTTAATCGGAGCCCTAGCTACTGTGAGAGAGAGTGTGTACATATAAAAGTCCGAGTCACCGGAATCCCAGAGAAAAGAGCAATTCTTCAACATCTCCACCCCTGAAAGATTTCGTCTGCAGGCTGTTTCACTAGCGTCACAGTCAAGGCAGTGAGTGGCTGGCTGCAATTGATACAAGAATGACAACGGATGCGAGGTCATTGAGGGTTGTCATAATCGACCACTATGATTCTTACACAAATAACATCATCCAGTTGCTACAAAACACCGGGGAAAAGGAGGCAGGTTTCCCAGAGTGGAGTGTAGCTGTCATACGCTTCGATGAATTTACTTGGTCAGTTTATCAACGAAAGACGGGACCGCATGAAGCTGCAGCTGCTGACTAAATATATATAGGGATGAGTTCAGAGACTCGGTGCTTCCTCACCTAGATGCTGTGATTCTTTCTCCAGGTCCTGGAAGCCCGGAAAAAGAATCTGATTTCGGATTCAATTCAAAGCTAATTCGAGAAGTTAATATACCAATACTGGGAATATGTCTCGGTCACCAGGGAATCGGCACAGCATTTGGAGCAAAAATAATACATGCACCAAATATTAAACATGGACAAGTATGCAAAATTAGCCATACCGGAACCGGAATATTTGCTGGCCTTCCAGAGCAATTTGATGGCGTAAGATATAACAGTCTTGTGCTTCCGTTTAATGGTGCGCCAGCCCCTAGTTTAATAGCTATATCAGCACAGTGTACTAATGTCGTGATTTACAGAATTACCTAAGGAGCTGGAACTAACTGCTTGGACTTTTGATGAGGGAGTGCCTGTGGTAATGGGCGTTAAGCACAATGACCGCCCTGTGTATGGAGCTCAATGGCATCCTGAGAGCGTGTGCTCAAAGTATGGCCAACAAATCATGGACAACTTCAGGGATAAGGTCCTCGAATTCTGGACTAGCAACCCTTCTTTGGGTGGCAACTCTGTCCATCAAACGTCAAGGAACGGCCTATTACCGGACTCTATCCTAACCAAAAGCGCTATTATTCGGGAGGCTCAGAGTAACTTCAATCCCGAACAGGAAGACCCAAGTTTAACTTCTCCCGATCAGGTGCGCTCATATTTTATCCAGGGTACCAGCCTTGGGAAGGGGGTTGCACCGCAGACTGTTTTCGATACCATTATTCGAAATACCTCTATGGATGGTGAGGCCTGGCTGGATAGCGCAAGGGTGAGTAGAAGAGCCATCTACATTTCATTTTCATCACGTTTTGACTCTTTTCTCAGGTTCGTGACGCTCACTCACGAAATTCATACATGGGGATCGGTGCATTTTCACTATGCTACTCGTCAGAAACTGGAAGGCTATCTACTTTTCAGCAAGGGAAACAGATTAAGTCGGAGATAATTACGACTTCTTACTGGTCTTGGCTCGACCAGTTCCAGCAGTCTATCGTTCAGCAGAATGTTGATCCTGTACGGAGAAATCAGCTCGGAGAAGAAACAGAAGCTGGACAGCCATTGCTCCAGGTTGGGTTGATTGGCTATTTTGGGTATGAGATGAAGCGTGAATCATTACCGGGCTATAAATACTTAAAACCCACCAAGATGGAAGACTCCTGTGCAGTTCCTGATAGTCAACATCTCTTTACCAATCTTGTTTTAAGGCTGGACAATTACACAGGTGAGTGGATGGCGTTTGGATTGATCCGTCGGGGGAATGAAGATCCTATTGGGAAATACATCAATGCCCATTCACCCATTGGCCTTACTGAGGATGAATATGAACTGGTCCTCTCACATACTCGCGAACTATTTGCTGCACCCCCCTCGCCACCATATACGCTACCAGCGCCATTACCTAGCCTTGAAGCTATTGACGACGAAAAGACATATGGCCAGAAAATATATGCTGCCCAGCAAGCTATAAAAGAAGGTGAAACATACGAAGTCACCTTAACTACACGGTTTAGGGCCAGATGTCCCGATGTGGACCCATATTCATTATACCTGTCACTTCGAAACCGCAATCCTGCTCCTTACTCTGCCTATATCCACTTCCCATTTAGCAACATTGCGATACTTTCCTCCTCCCCAGAACGATTCATATCTATTGATGGAGATGGCATTGCGGAAATGAAGCCAATTAAAGGAACTCTTGCTGTTAGCCCAAATAGAGAGGAAGATGAAAGGAGAAAGGTTCAACTTGCTACTGATGTAAAGGAATTAGCTGAAAACTTGATGGTACGTAGCCACACCCCTAGTATATCAGCATTTAATGAAAATTCATCTCAGTGTCTAACTATTTTCCTGGAACTAGATTGTTGACCTGATTCGCTCTGACCTGCATAACATTTCTCCCTCCAAATCGATACAGGTTCCCAAGTTACTCCAAGTCGAAAGCTATGAGACAGTACACCAAGTAAGTTCCTACAATACAAGAATTTTGTTACAGCTTGACCTCTAATATATCCTGTAGCTTGTCACAACCATTCAGTCGCATATTGCCAAAAATGTTGGAGGCGTCAAGGTTGTAGAGCGTTGCTTCCCGCCCGGCTCTATGACAGGTGCACCAAAACTGCGCTCTGTCAAGATAATTGACGCCTTAGAAGAAGAACCAGAGCGTGGAATATACTCTGGCTGCATCGGATATATATGTGCCAGTGGGACAGTTGATCAGTCGGTCGTTATACGCACTGTAATCAAAAATGGGGATGAGCTTGAACTCGGTGCAGGTGGTGCTATTACCTGGTTAAGCGAGCCTGACAAAGAGTGGGATGAGGTTATGGTAAAAGCGAATGCCGTTGCTATTGCACGTCCGAGACAGAGTAAGTGAATTAAGGCGAGAAGTTCGTATTGCCTATTTGTGGAACTATTTCATAGCTGATTATTGTATGATAGGCCCCAGACTAGTATAAACGTTTATCCCATTTTCGGCATCCTCGTTAATTGCTAGCCATACAAACCAAAAGCATGGCTGAATGAATAAGAGTTCAACACCTTTCTATTATCTATATCTGCCTGGATAGAAGCGAAAACGGCCCGGGATTTCCCAAACTCAGTGTACCATTCCCCTGCCACCTGGCGGCAGATATAAACCCCTCATTCATATGTGTATAAATTTCTAAGCTTTTTCTGGCCTCCAAATGGGTATGTATGAAAACTAAAAGTATAGATTAGATCGATAGCATCGTGGGCTGGGAGTTCCAAGGCTGTAGACGTTCTGCTAATAAATATATATGAATTCATTATTCTGTTTGTCAGTAAGATCCTGAAAAGCATTTTCGCCTAGCCGTCTACGTCTAACTGTCTCTGTTCTTTCTGCATAGTTAGCAGGCTCTTCGTCCTCAGGATTGTGAGGCGGAGTAAATTCGAGTCCATCGCTTTCATCATCGAAATCGACATATTGGTCACACATTGATACGTCTTTAATATTCGCTTGTTTCCCCTCTGCTGTTCGTGATCGTTGGTGTAGTTTATTGAGAACAACTAGATTTGCCACTTGAGCCATGACAACAGCAGCAAGAGCAATAAAAGATCCTAGGACCGAGCGCAATCCAGTTCTATAGCGAGGCGCATCTTCTTTAACAAAGAGCAGCGGGCCGATGATGTTTCCAGCTGATGAACCAGCGTTGTAAAGCGAAGTGATTATAGACTGTTTAGTCGTTCCTCCAGTGTTTCCAACAATCCAGGTAACAATGAGTGGGTTCCCACCAAAAATGAACGCAAGTAGATAATAAGCAAGCACTAGTATGCTGTGTGAGCTGTCTGGCGGTAAAGCATATAAAATTGCAAGCCCCGTAATGACTGGAAGTATCAAGAGAATCAAAATGAAGGATTTGCTTCGGAATCTTTGTGCACAAAACGAGGCCAGAAGAATAACAACGACTTGGACAGCCCCGAATGGTATGTTTAGAAGTGACGTTATGTACTTGTCGTATCCGAAGCCGTTGAGGATAAGTGGACCAAATGTATTTGTGACTGCTGCTCCAATGTTGAGGAGGAGGCTCATAGCAATCCACAAATACGTTTTTAATTCCCCAAGCGCTTCAAGGACTTGTGGCCACCTAAACTCTGTCGCCCTCGTCCCCGTCTGGTTGGCACGCAAGCGCTCGATGGCTTGTTCACGCTCATACTCGGTTAGAAAGCGAGCAGAAGGGATGTCATTATCTAGTTTCCAGTAAACGAATGGAGCTGAGGTGATTGTCACCAGGCCGACAAAGATAAATATTCTATACAAGTTAGGCTGAGTCAACTCGTATTTTAGTGTATATACTCACATTCTCCATGACTGAATGGAGGCAGTGGGTATATGGCCTAATCCATACGACAATGCTGAGGCGACAATAGTAGCAGCACCGTTCGTACCGTACCAAGCTGCGACTCGAATGGGTTGTTCGGCTCTGCGGTACCATTGACTAGTAATGACGCTAAAAAGTGGAAGGCATCCAGCTTCGAAGAGGCCCAAAAAGAATCGAGTGGCAAGCAAGCCGCCATAATTCTGACAGACCCCCATCGCAGCTTGTGCCAGTCCCCACCCCAGAACCAGAGTTGGCATTAGAACACGGTGGGGTACCTTGACGATTAAGATCATTGAGAATGGTTGCCATGCTAGCTGGGCGATAGGCCCAATGGAGCCAATTAGGGAATATTGGTTCCCTGTGAGATGTGTATCTTCGATGAGCCCGAAAATGGCTCCATAGCCTAAAACCGTTTTGTCGAGGATCTAAGCGAAACGACTTACGTCAGATAAGTTTAATGCTTTGGCGATGATTCCGTTTCGTCATTCATCTGCTGGTCACTCAGGTACTTCATACCTGTAAGAAGTACACCCAAACAAGAATAGCAAGTATGACCTTGTCAGTCTTTATTCGAATTTTCCTGTTCTATGGTCAAATATTAGCCCGAATACATATATGATTACAAAAGCAAAGAAAGACCGGGAGGTTGGAATACATACATCTTCTTCGGTGACCTGGATGCGCCTATTGCCAATGATGGCTAATGCCGAATCCCCATGGACCATATCTTCCTCCTGGGGAATCAATGGTTGTTTAACGGGGTCATTTTGGTCCATCTTGACGTTTGCCCGGAGACGGGGATGGCCAGCACTCCTTATGTTCTCCGTCCGCCAGGTCACAAATATCAAGTAACACAAGTCGAGCGACGTTACCGAAGGGTATACGCAGATTCAAAGGGCCATTTACTGTCTGGTTAAAGTCTCCTCATGTCCCGAACAAAGTATGGCCAAGAGGATGGAAGTTTCATTCATGTAAATACCCAATTGCGTTCAGTTAAAGTGATTAAGTTTGCTCGACGTTGGATGTTTGCTTATTGATCACGAAGTCGAAATACAACTAAGGTTACGCTTCCGCCGCTCCGCAAGCTTATAAAGCTTAGTCACCGCGCTAACGACTGACGGCCTTTAACACAACGAACGTCCTTCTTGCTAACACTGTACCATCGCAAGAATAGCCTGGAAACCCCGGGAAGAAGATAGGACGGAGAATTGTGACATAGGAAACGTCTCAAGATCCGCCCCCATCCCCTGATCTTACGAATAGGATCTCGTGGAATAGTGCGTAATGAGTGGAACATAACGGTGTGCATAAAAAAATATCCAGGAAGCGCCATACCAGAAGCACATGAAACTTGCTTGGTTATTGCGCATGAATGGCCCACATTTAAGCGCCAACGGAAAAGTTATGAGAAATCTCATCCAACCAACCCCTGGTTAACTATATGAGTCTCAGGCCTTGGACAACGGCCCATAATTCTGTTCGCTGTGGTCAAATATTTTTCTAAGCGCCAGCTCTGAACCCTTGCTCCAAAAAAAGTGGTCCTTCTGGGCTATTAATACCTCAAACTTGATTTCCTGTGAATAGCAACTGACGATAACTATACATAGTAAGTTTTATCAAGATATACAGCATTCTCATATATGTCATATAGCTCTAAGCGCCGTCTCTTGGAGCTAAGCTTGGATACCATTATCTATGCTACATAGCGACCTCCTTGCATTGGGGGGGGAACGTTTCATCGTGGAAATTCATGCCGTTATATTTTCATCCGGTCTTAACTATCTTTTCCTACGCATGAATTATTTCTGATACCCAGCAACTCGATCTAGTAGCATAATGCAAAAGATCCTATATAAACCATGATGTTTCCTGACATAATTTTTTCTTGTTCAATTGTTTATCGGCATTCATCATCGCTGTCAACTTATTGAAACCACCGATTACTAGCCTACAGAAGAATCATCATCATCATTTGATACCTCACTGGCCGTGTCACCATTGTGTCACCAATATATCGAATTGAAAGAGTTTTATTGAGCTTGCACATCTTTATCTGACCGGAACCCACATTGCCCAATATGCATAATGCTGACCTTACTTTGGAGAAGGCCGAGCCCGACATATTCGCAACACCACTACCTTCGTCACAGCAAATGCATCCGCAGAAGGAGCCACCATTCGCGGCTATAGCTGCCCCTGAATCTCCTGTTGCAGCCAAAAATCTCTACTCCAAAGTGAAGAAGCGTGACTCCTCACTATCAATTGCCCAAGAAGACTACTCAGCTACCCATGTGGTCGAGTCCGACTCTAGCTCAACCGAAGAAAATGGATCCCAGGGAAGCGGCTATAATGATGGATGCCACTCCGATCAAGCGAGCGAGGACGAAAACTACGTTGAGCCCAATAAGCGAGCTGTGTGGCTACCCGGCCGCTCCAAGGGATACTTTGATGCCTTCTGTGATAATATTTCTATTGATGGTGACGGTGAAGACCTTGAGGAAGCCGACGAGCATTATAAAAAAACCGACGAGTATTACGAGGAAGCCGACGAGCATTACGACGAAGCCGACGAGCATTACGACGAAGCCGACGAGCATTATGAGGAAACCGACGAGCATTATGAAAAAACTGACGAGCGTTATGAGGAAACCGACGAGCATGAAGAAAGCGACGTAAATTCGGCTTATACCCGTCTACTCAACTATCAAACCAATACTTGCAGGCCAAGGCGCTCTTCACTAAGAACACTAATACTTAGTCCACGTATATCTCCTCATAAAACCGCCGAGGAAGACGTATGCTTGCAAAGTGAAGATGATAACGACCCTCTGGCAGACAAATTTCGTGAGATGGAGGATCGTTTTCAAAGGAGACAAGAGAAAATTCCAAAGCCACTGCATGGTAACGGAATCCCGACTTTGACTAGATCCAACGCATTTGGCTTGAAACCTCCACCAGGACATAATTTGTTCAAGCGGCTTCTTCGCGGTTTTATCTCGCTGCCTAACGCATTGGAGAGCAACGAAGATATGACAAAAATGCTACACTGTCACCGCAAAATGGAAGATCTATATTTTGAATTAGGGGAGCGTGAATCAGAAATCAGAGAAGTTGTAGCTTCTCATTGTGGACTACCGAGCCCTGACCGAGTTTTTGTTTCAACCTATGATACAGGAGAGACCTGGAGCCATGGGAGTTTCAATCTATGTATACCAGTTTATGCCTCCTATCCAGGTAGCGAAGAGCCTATCCCTCTGGCATTTAAGCTCCCCTTGCCGTATATGGTTGGGGAAGAAGAATTCCCCGGAAATGCTGAAGAAAGGCTACGAACGGAGGCAGCAACCCATCTCTGGATTAGCCAAAATTGTCCTGAGGTACCCATCCCTAAACTCTATGGATTCGGGTTTCGTGGCGGAATTAGCGTATGTGTTAATATCCTATTCATTTACTGCTGGGTGATCTACTAACCATCATGCCATTTCGAGAGGGATAGTTCTTCAAACCAGAATATGTCACCATATGGCAGCGTTTCAAAACATATGCATGCCGTCTCTTTCACCGTCTCTTTCGCAATAGCTCCGAGTTCTGTGAATATATTCCCCAGAATCGAACTACACTTTTGAATCACGGTTATATGTTAACCGAATGGGCCACAACCGATGATGACTTGAAGCCATTATCTGAAAAACTCGGAATGCGGCATAACGATGTTCAGCTACACTTTGATAAATTTATTCAGAAGTCAAAGACCCAAAACCTGTACCGAAGTTTTGCAAAAGTCATGATGTCACTTGCGAAAATCCCACAGCCTCGAATTGGCTCTTGGACTATCGATAATAATGGCCAGCTTTCATTATCCAACCGCCCTTTACTTCCTCATATCACTAAGTTCGAAAACTGGGGTATCCCAAGCGGTATTCCGCGGAAAACTACTTATACAAACACGGACAGCTTCTATAATGACTGCATTGGGGTTTATGATAATCGTCTGGAGCATCAAAGAAATATTGTGAAGCACGAACGAGAGGTCTGGGATGCCGCCGCCAAAATGGTTTATATGAGGTCATATCTACCCAGATTTGCGGATTATTCCCTTCGTCAAGGCCCATTCTTTATGCAGCTTGGGAATATGCCTTCCCACAACATCCTAGTTGACAAGGAGTGGAATGTCAAGCAGTTTATCGAAGTCCAAGGGATATGCTCTCTACCTATAGAGCTACTACTACCTCCTCCGTGGATGACAGGAAAGGACATTGGGAATTTGCTATCCACCGAGAAAGATCGCCTCAATATATGCTATCGGCAGTTTACCAACACTCTTCGGCATGAAGAAGCAAAGAATCCATTGCTTCCAAACGGGAAGCTCCACTCTGACACTCTTTTGCGTACTCTGCTCTCTGATAAGTTCTGGTTTCTCCATTCACTGCAGACTCCGGGTGACCCAGACTCCATGATTAATTGGATGGGTGGCTATATGGACATGCCTTTGCGGCGTGGTAGCCCGATTGCAGCTTCGGTATTTCGGCCGTATATGAATGAATTTGTGGGATTCAAGTTACGTTCGTATGTTGCATATCATAAAGACGTACACCGTCTATATGATGGTTCGCATGGAAGAGTATATGACGATTTTGAGCTCGGTTATATTGAAAGACAACCTGTTATCCCTAGAAAACGGTAGAATAGGCTCTCGTCCTCTTTTCTTTTCTGTTTTTCTTTTGTTCTTTAAAGATACGTCCCTATGTATACGATTGATGATTATGAACAAATACATTGTTGAGTCCATATCCCCCGTAGAAATCAGTTTAGATTTTCGGCTAGGTTGGTGTCAAGAATCTCTGTTTCTCTCCCCAGCAAGTGGCAAGACATATCGCAGCACAATGCTTTGTGTCCACTCCAGCAGGAGAAACCGCATCCGGTATCATCATATCTACAGATGTTCAGGCCAGGCCCGCATCTGCCGTGACAGAATGGGGCACTTCCAAACCATCGACAACCACTTGGAGGTTGACAACTGGTAGCCGCATAGTGTTCCTTAGCTATATATCATCATTAGCACCTGATCATAGAAATGGGGGTATCTATTTCTTCATACGCAGGGCCGTGGCAGAGGTGAAGGTGGCTAGAACCAGTATCGCAGTAGAGCGCATGTTTTGGTGAAATGAAGTCAATTCAACCGAGCTTGTACTCCGTATACAATGAGGATATGCAAGTATGCAAACATAGGTTTATCTTATTTGATTCAAGCGATGAGAAGCATAGTAAGGTCTCCGTGCTATATATCCTTCAGGCAGATGGCTATAGAAGCTCCAATAACTATGCCAAAAGTGCATATAGATCCGCAGGTTGACAAACAATGTCTATTGAAGGCAGTTCATGTTGTTTGCTCTCAGCAAACTGCCAATTGTTAAGCAGAGAAGGTGTGTATCCATGAGTGTAATAGAGGATGCTTGGTAGTAGATCAGGATGTCCCCTGAACAGGGTTTTTCGGTAATATGGTAACCGGCCTGGACTAGTAAAATACCAAGGGAACCCCCACAACTTCCCCATGTTCTGCTTGGTGAGATTGATGATTGTTCAAGAGGAGCCGAACGAAGTTTCTGACAGCGAGTGTTTGATAAATATCTGGTCTGCAAATAACCCTAATAAGCTGGGGCCGAACTATCGCCGATAACAGAATGCCTCCTCGAGTCCCGTCAGCAGGCGTGTGGTGTCCCGCGGTGACCTTCTTCGATCCCGGAACTGATACACTTGATCTGCCCGCACAGAAGAGATACTACGCCTATCTTGCAAGCTCTGGGCTCACTGGACTGGTCATCCTGGGTACAAACGCAGAGACATTCCTCCTTACACGCGAAGAGCGGGTACAGCTCATCCAGACGGCCAGGGAGGCCGTTGGCACAGACTACCCCCTCATGGCTGGAGTTGGTGGCCATTCTACCTGTCAGGTGCTACAGTATATCCAAGATGCCGTGGCCGCAGGGGCAAACTACGTTCTTGTGCTCCCGCCCGCATACTTCGGCAAGGCAACTACACCGACCGTGATCAGATCATTTTTCAACGACATCGCGGCCAGGTCTCCGTTGCCGGTGGTTATTTACAACTTTCCTGGGGTCTGCAACGGAGTTGACCTCGATTCGGAGATGATCACAGCAATCGCACTGGGCAGCTCTAACGTGGTTGGGGTGAAGCTTACCTGCGCTAGTGTTGGGAAAATCACCCGGTTGGCGGCTACGCTGCCTGCAGAAAAGTTTTCGATATTCGGCGGACAGGCTGACTTCTTGATAGGAGGATTGAGTGTGGGTTCGGCAGGATGCATTTCTGCGTTTGCAAACGTCTTTCCCAAGACTGTATCGAAGATATACGAACTGTATAAGGCTGGCAAGGTCGAGGAAGCGTTGAACCTGCATCAGAAGGCGGCGTTAGCCGAGTCCCCATGCAAGTCTGGGATTGCTACGACCAAGTACGCAGCAGCTATCTTCAGCGCAAAGGCAGCCGGGATCGAGAACGCTGAAGAGAGGATGCGGCCCCGACGGCCCTACGAACCACCGACCGAAGCTGCAAAGGAGAACGTGAAGCAGGTCATGGCCGAGGTGGCGCTGATAGAGGCAACCCTTTAGATGTCTCCAGCTTCTCCAAGTCTCCAGTTCTCCAGCTCCTCCAACTGGCCCCGTGTGTTTTGTCTAGAACCTACTAGTATAAGTACGTATCGACAACATCGACATCCAAAACCTTTCTCAAACCGCTCAGCCGAAACGAACATAAAGATAAAATACATACTCCGTACTACTATGTATGTATATATATGTATGTCTATGAGCAGGGACGTCCACGGCGGAAGGGAAACCCGGAACCTTCCGCGTCCCCGGAAACTTCCTTGCCTAAAACGCCCGGACCATGCGACAGGATGGTCACGTGGCATTCCAGTGCCAAGATAGCCCAAAGCGGCTAGTGTGAGAGTAAAAATCATACGACTCCGGAAAGCCGTCCCACGTGGCCAATACGGGCTTAGCGTGCTTACCTCAGCATAGGACCCTTTGGTTTCTCCTTTTTCTTTTTTGATATCAAACTTATATTCCTCCCCAGAACCACCAACCAAACCTCGGAGCGCATTCGAGGATGCTCAGCAGCTTACAGGACGAGAAGAACTGCCTTCATTGCACCCATGGCCGGCTAGGGGTCGTTGCATGCAGGCTCCGCGGAACCAGCATCAAGAGTGAAACGCTAATTTCCAGGCCTTGAGGGCGTTCGTTGGCCCAGCCCTTGGCTCTGGTCACAGGCTCCCTGGATATACGCACATTTTATATATGCGCACATATCAGAACAATAATGAGCTCATCCCGGAAGATTAATACTGCGTCTCATCGGCTATTTACGAACACCATCTCTCCTGTCCATCCTGGGAAGGTCCTGGCGAATAGCGGTCCGCTGGCCTGGGCCTAGCCGTCGCCAACGAATAATCCTATTCTTATGACCATTGAACTTTTTATGATATATCCGCTGGAATTGTTTCCGTTCGACCGTTATACTTGCATCCTTGTTTCGGCGCCTTCCGGCTGTATATTTACTTTGTGGATAGACCAAGAGCTCTCCCGGTTCCATCCTAGTTCTCAACGTTGAGACTTGCTGTCCTTTTCCTCACACCCTTGACCGCCATTATTATTATCTCTCTCCAGTCCGGTTAATTCGATTATCCATCACATTTCATCTACTGGAAACACGGATTCTTACATTCAAGGATACAGTTTTGAAAAAAAAAAAAATACTTGGTCGCAATGGAGACGGGCAAAGAACCCAGTCTAGACGACACGGATTCTGCGCCTCTGGACCTAGACGTTGCTGAAGAGAGTATAAACATGGCCGACCCGCACGCAGATTTCACGCTCATGCCACCAGCAGACCTAAGCGAAGAAGCAAGTAGCACAGACGCCATGTTTTCCGCGCCTGATGATCTCACTGCAGACTGGGCCCAGTGGATGCGCTGGGACGATGTCGAAGACACCAAGCCTTCGCTTTTCAATATCCCGAACATATCTGGCTCGACACTTCCGCAGCCGGGTTTCTCTTTTCCATCTGATGATGCCGTGCTAGGCACCTCGAACTGTTCTCTTCCATCTGGTCCCAAGCAACTCCCACCTTCCACCATATTCCAAGAGCAACCTACAGTTCAAACAATTCAACCGGCACCACAATCCGATGCCTCTTCCCCTTTGGCACCCTCTCCTACATCGTCAGTTGGGCGGAAACGGAAGTCTTCCCACGATGATTCACCGATCAACGACATGTCTGCTTCTACTACCGATAAGTCGGCTCCGTCAAAGAAACGGTCACATAACATCATCGAGAAACGATATCGTGCAAACCTCAATGACAAGATTGCCGAGCTACGAGACAGCGTTCCCAGTCTACGCTTGACCTATAAACAGCGTCATGGAGGCAAGAAGTCCAACGAGGACGAAGATGTTGACATTACGTCTGGAAACAAACTCAACAAAGCATCAATTCTCTCAAAAGCCACCGAGTACATCAAGCACCTAGAACTTAGAAACAGCCGTCTCGAGGAGGAGAACCTTGCTTTAAAAAATCGGTTTCGTGAACTCGAAAAGGCCCAGGGTGTAAATCTAGCTTCATACCCTGCCGTTGCTGGCTCTGATACCTCTCCAGGAGCCTGCACCGTTTCTACAGACTCTGTTGTTACTTCTTCCCCAGATATTTTCTCTCACGCGAGTGATTTTTCTCCCGATTCACCTCCAAACCCCCTTTTTCCGCCGGAAGGACTACTCAGGCCACCTGACGGGTTCAACCAGCTTCGCCCCACGGGGCCCCAACCCCATTATGCCGACTCCTTTCAATACAATCAGTCTCGAGACTATGACTGCTCCCCGTTAGAAAGTACGAGTACAACCAATTCGAGCAATTCGCCAACTACCCGTGGGCGACGCCAATTTATGGGCCTCCCCAACAAGTTTATGCTAGGTACTTTGGCTGGTATCATGGTCATAGGTGGATTTGAGAACCACAGATCTTCTGACCCGGAGGAGAAAAAAGAACTTTTTGCACTCCCCCTCCAGTTTCTAGGAAGCTTTTATCGCCTTGCTCTTCGAAATTTCTACTTTATCAAAGCAAATTCCTGGCAGATACGTGCCCTATCACACTTTGCTCTGACTTCCCTTGTGATCTTCGGATGTGCGTTTTTTGTGTTCCTATACCTTTTCAACTCGAGGCCCAGGATCTCCCGAGTACCTCTTAAAGCACCCAAGACCCGAAGTATATCACAACAGCAGCTGCAACAGACTTGTGTTGGTGGTTCACCTACAGAATTTCGACAAGATGCATGGCTCACGAGCATACAAACTGTTGGCGTCCCGCGACATAATTTTTTCCCCGAATGGTTTGCCGTTACATCCCGCTGTTTGGAGTACTGTATTCGGTGTCTACTCGGGTGGAAATTATACTCCTTCATTACCGGCATCAATGCAGATGACGAGAAGGGCCGTGTTAAAGCGTGGGATATTGCCCTTGATGCCCAACTTACTGGTGGGGATGCAGAAGTTAGCAAAAGCAGATTGGTGCTCACTATTTTCGCTGCCGGTACCCTTCCCCGTAGCCCTGCTCGTATGATGCTCAAGGCATTCCATTGCAGGGTACTTCTATGGAGGATTGGCTCCACTGGTTCCTTGACATCCAGGATATCTGATTATATCGCTAAAATGCTTGCGAACTACCAATGGGAACTTGCCCAAAGCATGCATCGAAAGGGGCCAAAGAAGGGTGAGGACCCTCTACCAAGCCATCTTGCTTTTCTCTTAGCAATGGATTGCGACGAAGTGTTCACCGACTCTATCGTCCAACGCGCCACTAATATGATTTGGAACCGACCTACCCAGGAGGCAACAGATGGTGAAGATGCCTTGCTAGATGTTGTTGTCGAAGATACTGCTGTTCGCTCACCACTTGATGTTCTCGCTGCATGGTGGTCTAGCCGTGCACTACAAGAGGCTTTACTCAAATCCCTAGACTTGGTGTCAGTTGAGTCGCCACTTGAGAAACGCAAATCCTTCGAAAGAAGCTTGGATATAGCATTACACTCTGCCCCTGTCCCGTCAACGGCGTATACCAGGGCAACCGTAGTCAAAGCCTTGTTTTTTGAAGAAGACCGCATTAAAAATGTCAATACCGTTCTCGCAACTCTTCCCGCTAGGAAATCACATAAGCCTAGTTCATGTGGTTTGACAAACTTCCTCGATTCTTCGATCCCACCATCAGCAAGGGATGAAATTTTTATTGGTGTGCGGTGTGCAATGATTGCTGCGATATTACGAGGCCAAGTGGGAAGAGGTGAAGACGAACCAGCATCTTCTCCTTTTTCACTTTCTAGCGCCATAAAGCAATTCAATGCTGCTCCTGTTGATGAGGTTGAACTTACGCTCCTTGGGTTCGCTTCACATTATCACCTCCTCCACATTACTGCCACAGACGAAAGACTACTCCCTTGCCCTTCTCTTGCATCATCTGCCTATTCGTCATTAACAGATCAATCGGATTGCTCTGAAACCACAACCAGCCACTACTACGACGACCAGGATGTTCCAATCCCAGACTTAGCCCGAATTGCAGCGGACTTGATATTCTGGGTGCGCAACGCATATAATCCGATCTCTTCAGGGCTGAATGCCAAACTCATGGAAAAGGTTGTGGTAGATTGCGTTGAGGTCTGTCGTAACGCCGGCATCGACATTGACATCAGAAAGATCCAGCGTATCAAGACGCATCAACGAGAGTCTAGCGTTGATCTTACGCATATACCCACCAGCTCTTCAGATGGTGAGTGCGCTGATGCTGGTGCTAATTCCTACGGGGTACAGGGAAGGAGAGAGAGTACTTACAGCAACGATACTGGATATGGTAGCCTTGATTATGAGGAGAGTAAACCTGGAGCGGTCACTCAAACCTCGTGTGTCTAACCTGTCATCAAGTTGCATGGAATAGATACCCAGCGTCTGAACTCAGAGCCATTCAGTACTCGCTAGCCTGCTTTGACCTTGAAAGATTATTTCAACTTCTATTTTTGCATTTCATCTTTTATTTATAGGCGAGTTACCCATTGCGATGGTGTTTGGATGGTTAATGTTCTTTTTGTTTCATTTTTAACAATGTATAACGACAACTGCTTTTGATTTATTCTCCTTCCCACCCATCCGCTCCCTAGACTGTGTTATGGATCAAGACTTCGATGGACCAGCTCTCTACTTAATTTCCCCCCTACCCCTTCTTAGATCAAAACGAGCTTGTCAGTACGTAAATATTCTGTACTTATCACTCAAAATTTATCTCTCCATTCCTATTCTCTTTTCCCTGTGGCGTTTGTGCATTTGCTATATACTAGTTTTCCCCATGTACCGTCTCGTGGAGGATGAATAGGCTGGCATCTGCTTACCACCTTTGACTTCCTTTCTCTACCATTTAGTATAGATGTGGCAGGATTGATGGATTATAACAACGGAAAGTATACTCATTCCCTAGCATTGTTTTGTCCCACGTTAACTGGACTTAACATGAATACGCTATGAGGTTCAAGGAGTTGTATACCTCCATTCAAATGGGGTTTACAATTGTTAAGGTAAAGTTCAAGGTAAGATCTCAGATATTTAATAATCAAATTCAGATGATAAAAGGGGAAAAATCTTGAGAATACTGGAATATGTTGAATATGTGTAAGTGATTGCCAATAACATGGCATAGCAAGGGAGGCCCTTACAAGCCAAACAAGCAGCAACATTCGAAACAGTGCTCAAGACGTTTGCTTAACTCAGCAAAAAGATAAGAAGAAAGAGAAAAAAGCAATAGCGTAGTTGATAGGCCGTCATAGCTAACATAGGAAATGGGTCGACTTGGTAAGATAACAATCATCTCATTCTTTCTTCTCCAATGTGTCTTCTCGGGAAGTGATGACACTGTCAGTTAGAAGGCTATCCGACAAAAACAGACCAGCTCTCATCTCCGCATCTTTCATAGTAATTGATGACGCAGCAGCGCTTCCAATCTTCAAGGCTCGCTTAACTGCCTTCCAGCTTTCAATTAATGCGATATAAATGAACACACAGCCGGTGACAATTCCCCATTCCCACGAGATGGCAATGTGCTTGAACACGAGTTTGTTCACGATGGGTATGTAGATAACAGGGAAGGAAGTTATAAACCCAGCTGCAACGGCCCAGAAAAGAAATTTGTTTCGCCAGAGTGTTGGGAAGATAGAGAATGTCCCTGGATATCGGGCCGGATCGAGATTGAAGAGGGAGCGTGAGAAGTGTTTGACCTCCCATGCAGTAACGAGAAGAAGGAAAGACAATGTTGCAAAGGTGGTGGCACGGGCTCGGAAGACAGTATCACAAGTTGAGTTCCAGTCTTCGTTACAGTCTTGGCCCAGGGAGCCACCTCCTACACCGTAGACGACTGAGACGAAGGAAACAAGACATAGACTTCCCATAAAGGTGCCATATATCATTTTGTCGACAATGAGTTCCTTCGTGAAGACTCCAACGCGCAAATTATGTGGTGGGCGATACATGATGTCTGCTTGGCCCTCTTCTAGGCCGAGACCAAGGGCTAGAAAAGAAGATGTGACTAGGTTTGCCCATAGAATTTCCAGGGGTGAGAGTGGAAAGACAGAGCTTCCTTCATTATCCTTGAAGGCTAAGGCAATCAATAGAAGAATGACCTGGGCAATGTTGGATATCAACAAGTGCATTAAGAACTATGACGTATATATTAGTAACGCTCTATTTATAATAGTTAAAAGAGAGGGTAAACGAATGCTTCATACCTTTTGAATATTATCAAATAGACGTCGCCCTTCCTCTACCGCCTTAACAACGGATGCGAAATCGTCGTCAGTTAGAACCATGTCTGCAGCAGCTTTGGCTACATCACTTCCATTCTTGCCCATAGCGATTCCAACATCAGCATGCTTCAAAGCAGGAGAGTCGTTCACTCCGTCACCGGTCATAACACAATAAGCGCCGCGTCGATGCATAGCTTCTACCATACGGACCTTTGTTGACGGGCTACACCTAGCAATAACAAGGGGGAGAGCTTCGATGGCATCGATTTCGTCATTTGTCATCTTATCGAACTCATCCGCTGCCATAACGACCTTGCATGCTTGCACATTTGGGGTTAAATTCCCAAGAATTCCAATCTCATAGGCAATGGCTGTTGCGGTTTTGATGTGATCTCCTGTCAGCATGTGGACGGTGATGCCTGCCATATGACATTTACGGACAGCTCCAGCAGTTTCCATGCGAGGCGGGTCATATAGGCCAACAAGACCCAAAAAATTGAGGCCCGTTTCCAGTTCTTTCCGTTCTGGAAGGTTGTCCAAAAGTTCAGGAGAGAGAGACTTGTGTGCAATGCATAGGACGCGAAGACCTTCACCTGCCATTCTGTCCACTTTCGCCCGAATTTCTCGCTTCATATCATCGTCAATTGCCAGAAGCGGGAGCATAGACTCTGTAGCACCTTTGGAGTAGGCCTCCGCGTGTTTAGAGCCAGCCTTTTTGTAAACCACGGTCATTCGCTTAATAGCAGAGTCGAACGGGAATTCGGAAACGAATTCTAATCCATTATTTTCGAGTACAGCCCGTTTTGCAGAATTAAATCTGATGGCGAGGACATGGAGAGCAATTTCGGTAGGTTCTCCGACCGCAACCCAGTCTCCGTCCTTTGAGCCAGGAGTAGAACCTTCACTGGATAGCTTGTGATCGGGGTTATATACTGACGACAGGTTGCAGAGAGCGATAGTGTGAAGGAATTTTGACATTGCTGGTGTTTGCTCAAAGGAGGTCGGCTGTATTTCGTTTCCGCTGACCTGAACAAGACCACTGTTGGGGTCAAACGGACTGTTGGTGTCATGAATGGTGATAGTTCCAGTTCCTGGTATCCATGCCTTCCGGGCAATCATCTTGCCCTGGGTGAGAGTGCCAGTTTTATCAGAGCAGATATTGGTCACACCTCCCACGGCTTCAAGAGCCTGTAACTTTCGAACAATCACATTACCTTTTGCCATGGATTTGGTGCCAACGGCGACAGTGATGGTCAGTACCGCAATTAGGGATTCGGGGATAACAGCAACGGCAACACATATGCCGTAAATAAGAACCTCTCCTTGAACGTGCCACCTATTTGCTGAGAAAACTATGATAGCAAGCATTATAGCAAGAGCAAAAAGTAGAAGGGCAAATTTACTGAGCTTCACCTGTAGAGGCGTGCCAACCAGGCCTAGGATCTGATCAAAGCTCTTATTAAACCGTTTCCACATTCGGGTATAGATCGAAGCGTTTTCCGCCTGAAGAGTATTATCACGGAGCAGTTGGGCGATCTTTCCGACTTCCGTGTCCATGCCAGTAGAAATGACAATTCCAGTTGCTCGGCCCCTTGTCATAATACTGCCGGAGTAAGCTATGTTTGTCCGATCTCCAACAGCCATATCTTTAACGGTAAATAGGGCATCGGGGTGTTTAGATATAGGCATCGATTCTCCAGTTAGGAGTGCCTCGTCAGTGGAAGCATTGACACCATCAAACAGTCTTAGATCTGCAGGGACCATGTCTCCCACAGTTAGTTGTACAATATCACCTATCACCAGGGTTTCTGCTTTGATAGAGTCGATTCTCCCATCGCGGATAGTCTTGCAAGTCGGGGCAGACAAGGCCTGAAGAGATAAAATTGTCTTTTCTGCACGATAGTCTTGAACGAAACTAGAATGGAAGTGTTAGGAATCTTTCGCCTGGCTATAATGGTGAGGATTACCTACCCAACGACAATGTTGAGGAGAATCACGGCCGTAATTACGCCACCCTCGATATAATCGTTGATTCCAAAGGACAAGGCCATCGTTATCAAAAGTACCTAGGCCCGCGTATCAGCTACGATGACCGCATAATAGATGGAGGAGGCAAACATACTAGAGTCAAACTGTTTGACACTTGTCTTAGCAAGATTTTCCACATGGATACCCCCTCCGCACTCTTAATCTTGTTAGGCCCATCCCGCTCAAGGCGAGATGACGCTTCGGTACTACTAAGCCCATGTCTGGCCGGGGGGGGAAATGTTAGCCAGTTGAAAGTGGTCCAGAGAAGGGGGAGATTCAAAAGTGATCAAGTCAATTTAACACAAGGCATGAGTCCGTACTGTAGATCAACTCGTAAAATCCGGGTAGTATCTGCAATGGAGATAGTATGGGCATGCTGATAGTAGGCGTGCCAGTCCTGGTAATTTGTAGGATTATGCTCTACCCTGGCCTGGGGGTCTATGGTAGAGCTGGATTGGTGGTTATTGGATTCTTCATGGATAGAAGAACATATAGGAGGTTCCGTCGGTTCCTCGACATCCGGCTGAGAAATCTCTGTGCCCATTCAATAGAGAGAGGGGGGTCTACAAGGACAGATACTGGTGTTCTGTCCTCTCGAGCGGTTGCCTGGACAGCAATGAAAGCGATTGTGGCTGTCGGGTAGACGTCAAAGGGAGAGACCCTTATCCGGCGTTCGTCAAGTACTGCTTCGTATCGTCGTCGTGATGCTATTATATAGTTGTGTGAATGTGTGAGAGAGTGTGGTTGTAGTTATGAGGTAACTAGATAAGCAGGAGAGAGAAGCAAGAAAGGGTGGAAGAAAGCCAAGCGGGCGGAGGGCGGGAAGGGCATCTTTATATCGACGTCAAGTCAAGGAATACAGCAGATTCACCACCTATTACTTCATATCTCACACGTCTCCGCCTCCTCCCCCATGCATGCCATCATTCCGTTTTTAGTTTTACGTTGAAAAGGAAAAGAAAAAAGACAAATTATATGACAGCTTACCCAGGCGCTAGGCCCTAATCTCCCTGTTTGCTTGGTGGCTCTGCTAGCTTACGATTCGCCAACGGTGCTCAGGCTATCGACAGATGCGGAATGGAGACATGGTGGACAGCTGAGGATGATGCGAGATTGGACAGAGAACCTGGTACGGTGGAGAGGAAAAGGCGATCAAGAAGCCAGAATTCTTTCTCCCAAAAAACGAACCATCCTGGCGAATTCCCTGCCCGTATCCCCAGACCCCTACAGGCTCAAAGTCCACAGACCCGCTGCTGGATCCGCAATCTCATCCCACCGAGAAGAACGTGTTCTAGGACATCGTCATGCCTCGTTCTGGCGATGGACGGAAGTGGAGGCCAGCGAGGCCGCTAACCACTTGGCGAAATACAGTTGTCCGTTACCAATATTTGAAAGCACGAGAACAGAAAATAATACATACATAGCTATTACGGAGTACTATGTACGTTCAGCCAAGTTCACCCCCTCAGCTGGAGGAATCTTCGGGCCCTTGGCTCGGAATTCCATGGCCGTGGAGGGGGGGATAAGGGTTGGGAATACTCCGGAGCCAAGTTCCAACTCAAAGAGTGTTTATGTATTACCAGAGCACATCAGGAGGACAGTTGTACGGCTTACAGAGGTAGGGCTGGATCCGCATATCTTTGCCTTGTTTTGAGCGGAGAACCCTGAGTTTTGGGTCAAACCATGGAGGGCCCATTTGACATCTTTCCCTCTTGGGATATGGAGACATGCATCGGCCGCACTGAAACCGGCAGGAGGCTGGAGGTGCAATATGCCGATATCTGGGGAATATTGGCATATGCACAGTTCTCACGTGTAAGTGGGAGATTGGTTACGATGCCTTTTTTATGCTTCCGCAACTGCCAGTCACTTAATATCTCAGTCACCAAGGTGAAATTGACATTCCGGGCCTTGGCATAGAGTCCATGCGAACAGGCTGCATGAGAAAGCCAACCAGAGATTGGCATCATCCGGCAGAGATCCTGAAGATGCCGGTCCTCTAACGCTCCAAACGCGATAAAGCCACTGGGTATCACAATGTTCCACACGGATGCATAGATACTTGCCGATTGGCTTCACTGAGCGGGTCCGATGCGACGATGTTTGTTCAAGATCCCCTTGTCCTGGTCTACATACTATGTACTCAGCGTACTCTTTATCACTTTTCGTCATTCACTATGCGGGATCCAAGTTAGGGAGGATACGTAAGCGATATTCTACCATGGAGGATGATCTGCAAATCTTCCGCCTTAGAATGTTCGCCATGTCCTACATCGACTAACTATGCCGCAGCTTCACTTTGTGGCAGAAGAAATGGACCAACCCATACCTAGACTCTCCTTGAAAATTACGGCAGAGGGGAAGGAAGATCAGCAAGTTAACGTACACTATTTACCAAAATTCTAGCATAAATCGCCTTACCCCATATAGAATACTCTATTTGATAGAAAAGAAGAGAAGAGAAGCTGATATGAAGCCAAAAAGAATCCGTTTCTTCGGGGCGGAATTACGTAATCTTCCACCTAATTAGAAAAAAACCTTCTAATATCAAAAAAATGAAATTCACTACGAAAACAAACGAAGGTCAACCCGCAGAATTCGAGTCTCCTGACTAACAGTTAGATAGAACCCGTTCCGTGCCCCTCTTGAAACCACATCTAGGTCGATGGCAATCCCGATGGTATCACTTACACCGCTCCGGTTCTCCAATGGATCAGCATCATACACTTCTCCCACCGGCGAAAAGATTCTAGCCTCTGTCAACGGGCCTGGGGAAGTGAGCCGACGTGATGTGCAGAACCCAGAAGAAGCAACCTTGGAGGTGCTAGTCAAACCTGGTGTAGGCATCAGCGGACCAGGAGAGCGGTATGTCGAGGGTATCCTGCGTGGGCTGCTGGGCAGGGTTATCCTTATGAGAGATAAGAATATGGCGCGCAAAGGCGTGGTTGTCACTCTCGTCGTGGTCGAAAATTGCATAGTGGATGGTAAAGTGGATGTGCGAGGCGGAAGCGTAAGTATTCTTTTTCCAACCGGTTATCCATGTCCTAAATGCTTGTTTCTGGTCCTCGATTAGTGCCCTTATAGCTAATTATCTTCTCTTTATAGTATCTCTCAATATTACCCGCTTTGTTGCAAGCTGCGCTTCTCGGATTGTTATCAGCTGGGATACCGATGGCGATGATCTTCACGTCATGTCTAATCGCCATATCAGCTTCAGATGACTTAGTCGCTAACCCATCGACGGAGCAAATAAAATCCAGCAAGTCTCTACATGTTTTGGCATTTTCTTCAAAGGGAAACCTACTCTTAAACGAAAGTCAAGGTTCATTTAATCTACAGCAGTGGGAAGATATTTATCATCTCGCAGAAAGAATATGTCGTGGCAATGGCACAGGCCATGGAGATAGAGATATTACAATAGATGGAGAAGCCGGCAATACGCTCGAGAAATCTATCCGAGAGACTGTTGAAGATAAGGTTAGAGAAGAATTCTCTTGGAAGCTTGCAGCTGCTTGATATGTCCGGTAGGAGGGCAATATATCAAGATAAGCAACATCCACACACAGCTGCCTTGGCGGTGTTTTGGTAACTGTTACTCTGCTATGCGACTGGCTTGGGGATATGGTCAAACCAATACCTCAGAATCTGATCGATAGAGCTAAATATTGCTATAAGGCAAATAATAGCTTCAAAGACCATATGCTCTGTCGAACAAGCCGCTTCATGCTTATACGGGGTTTTCTGTGCCTAAGTGGCGCGGTATCATGGCAACTCACACCTTCTCGCAGTGGAATACGCTTGTCTCAGGAATGAATCGAAGATTCAAGCATTCCCTAAATGACACCTGTTGACTGGTATGATAGGCAATAGCAATACAAATATACTCAGAGAATTCATACAATTTGACGGAGAATCCTTGCTGCATTACTATTGAATGAAGAGTGTGTGGCTGGAAAGACAGATAAACCATTGGTTGTTCGTCTTCATTCGAAAGTACTGCATTGACTGTGCCTCGGGGGAAGAATTAAAAGCACTCTTCTGGAGATAGGGCTTCTGCTGGAAAGACACAAGACTCGCCATTCCCTCTTCCCACTCATTTACAAATCGACCCATGTTCCACTACATACTGAACCATCCATCTGGCCTTGAATAGTCGACATTCCCGGTTTTACTCTTGCCTGCGTCTGCAAAGTGTCTCTATCATGCCGAATCCAACTCCAGTAAAAGTAAGCATTCGTTCTTCCTCATGCTCAGTAAATAACCTTTCGGAGGACCAGTCTATGTCCCGCATTCCATCTCGGCCATTTACTCCAGGCTAAACAAACTAGGAAGCACAGAATAAATCGTCCTTTCGGATTCAGGCTTATTTGAAGGCCATGGCTGGTTCCTCTAAACCAAAAGCTTTATCACAGACAATTCGGTTCTCTGAGAGCCATAGACACGCCTGTTGACCATAGCCCAGGTGCGTTTATCATTTGCTGGAAATTCTACCTGTGCAGGTACTCCCTGAGGCGACAGAGGCTTTGTCTCGATAACCAATAATTAAAGAACTATAGGCAAGACTCTTATCCTGTTTGGGCGTACAAGCCACCAAACGAACATTAATGCAACAAATATTATAGAACTCTAGCTTGTCTCCTTTCACATTCTCCGCAAAAGGAATATAGGGAACGGTTAAGGGCTGACACGCTATGTTCCTGACGCTCTTATATTGATGGTTATGGTATTAAAACACCAACTTCTTGTATAAGGAGACTTAACACCTGCAGATGCTGTATAAAGCTCAAATTAGGAGATATGGTGCCTCGAAAGACAACGTGAATAAATGGCAATTGGGTAGCGGCAAAGATGTGAGTGGCGAGGCGTTGCCAACAGGACATCGCTTTGTTCAGGATGCTTACTCCCGCTGATATTCAGGGGTATTTGACCGTCATAGCCACGCAGATCCTTCGATGGCCGCCGTGGGGTTGCGCATTGCATATTTTTTGTACCAGGCAAATCGGCAAAGACGATTCTCATTATCTTCTTCACCGCAGATGTAACATCCTCAGAACTCTAACTAATTAAAACAGGCCATGGAGGGACAGGATCCTAGCAAGGATCAGTGACAGCACGGAAATACAAGCTTTCCCCCTCATTGCTTGACGGGAAGGCATCCATGTGGAGTGTTTCTTGTGTTTGCGCTATACGACCGAGAAGATGTCCTTTCCTCAGCGATTTAACAGCACGCAGCCTAAAGGTCTGATATTGATCTAATGAAGGGCCCTATCTCAGATATCTCCCAAGCCTCCTTTCCCATACTATTATACTAAGAATGTGTGGTTTGACTGGTTACCTCACCTGTCCTGCGAACCCCTACCTTGCGGGTATTGTTCGGGATATGTACATTCTTGCTGCACTTTCTACAGCCCTTGACTGAATAATAGAGCATGTCCTCGCCGCTTCTATGCGAGTGTACCTGGGGTACCTCATGAATACACCCGTGGGTATACGACAATAATGTGATTATTTTTTGTTTTACCCGTGGAGGTATATATATACCCATATCTCCCTTCGAGAGGACCCTTTGCTCTTCTCTTCTTTTGTTTACTGCAAAGCTATCCATAAATCGCACTACCCGAGCTCAGGGTGTTAGCAGCGATGTTGGTTCTCAAATTTGTGTGTCTGCTAGCCTCTGTCGCCGCTGCAAAGCCAACTTCGTGGTCGTCACACAAGGTCGTCGAACACCTTGAATCTGCCCCAGAAGGATGGCGGATAGTTGGTGCAGCAGATCCAGCTGCTGTCATTGATTTCTGGCTGGCCATCGAACGCGAAAACCCAGAGCAACTCTATGACACCATCTATGACGTTTCCACCCCCGGGCGTGCACGTTATGGCAAGCATTTGAAGCGTGAAGAATTGGATGATTTGCTGCGTCCAAGAGTAGAGACAAGTGAAGGGATTATCAGCTGGCTCACCAACGGCGGAGTCAAGCCCCAGGGTATTCGTGACGAAGGGGATTGGATCAGGTTCTCGACAGACGTTAAGACTGCCGAACAGCTGATGAAGACTCAATTCCATGTTTTCAAGGACGACGTGAGCTCTGTGTCGAGAATCAGAACTTTGGAGTATTCCGTCCCTGCCTCCATTTCTTCTCATGTCCAAATGATCCAGCCGACGACCTTGTTTGGAAGACAAAAGCCTCAGAACAGTTTGATCCTCAGCCCGTTGACGACTGATCTTGAAGCGATGTCAGAGGAAGAATTTTCCGCTTCCAACTGCAGATCTCTAGTAACAACTGCCTGCCTTCGAGAATTATACGGTCTAGGTGACCGTGTTACTCAGGCCAGAGACGACAACCGAATCGGTGTCTCGGGCTTCTTGGAGGAATACGCCCAATACCGTGATCTTGACCTCTTCCTCTCTCGCTTTGAGCCATCCGCCAAAGGTTTCAACTTCAGCGAAGGGTTAATTGCTGGCGGCAAGAACACTCAGGGTGGCCCAGGTAGCTCAACAGAGGCCAACTTGGACATGCAGTATGTGGTTGGTCTTTCTCACAAGGCAAAGGTGACCTATTACTCTACTGCTGGCCGTGGCCCATTGATACCTGACCTATCCCAGCCAGACCAGGCTTCAAACGACAATGAGCCATACCTTGAACAGCTGCGCTACCTTGTGAAGCTCCCCAAGAACCAACTTCCATCCGTGTTGTCAACTTCATACGGAGACACTGAGCAAAGTTTGCCAGCTAGCTACACCAAAGCTACGTGTGACCTTTTCGCACAGCTAGGAACCATGGGTGTTTCCGTTATCTTCAGCAGTGGTGATACTGGCCCCGGCAGCTCTTGCCAGACCAACGACGGCAAGAACTCGACTCGCTTTAACCCCATTTACCCAGCTTCATGCCCCTTTGTGACCTCAATCGGTGGAACAGTTGGCACTGAACCCGAGCGTGCGGTTTCGTTCTCTTCCGGCGGTTTCTCGGACAGATTCCCTCGTCCACAATACCAGGATAACGCCGTCAAGGGCTATCTCAAGATTTTAGGTAACCAATGGAGCGGATTGTTCAACCCCAACGGCCGAGCTTTCCCAGATATTGCTGCTCAGGGTTCAAACTATGCTGTGTATGATAAGGGCCGGATGACCGGAGTTTCGGGTACCAGGTATGGCAAAATTTCATTCAAGTCTAGAATCACTGATCACATAGCGGGTTTCCCCCAGGGCACTAACACGTAATGTTGTAATAGTGCATCTGCTCCCGCAATGGCAGCCATCATCGCCCAGCTAAACGACTTCCGACTGGCAAAGGGCTCTCCTGTGCTCGGGTTCCTGAACCCGTGGATCTACTCTAAGGGTTTCTCTGGCTTTACTGATATTGTTGATGGTGGTTCCAGAGGTTGTACCGGCTACGATATTTACAGCGGCTTGAAAGCAAAGAGAGTGCCATATGCAAGCTGGAATGCAACCAAGGGATGGGATCCAGTGACTGGATTCGGTACCCCCAACTTCCAAGCTCTAACCAAGGTGTTGCCCTGATCACCTTGACTACAGCTCTGGGCTATCTAACCGCCTGAGAGAGATTGGCCCTGATTAGATATACAACGACATGAGTTGTCTAAACATGCTGATGTAGCCGATGCATGCAGCAATATTTTTAGCGCAGCAAATCAAAGTCCTTTCTTTTTCAAGCTCAAACTACCAGGGACGGAATAGTTCTATTTATATAACTACGTCAACCTTGGCGCGGGTGAGACTTGACTTGCTCTGTATAAACTAATCTCACGATGATTGGGCTGCTGCAGCGAGCCGTCGCTGAGATACAAAACGCTGTGCTCTTGCGGAAAGACCTACACATGGCGAGCGGAACACTGCTTTTGCTCCCGTCGCATCGTGACGTACATAAAAGGCGCAGAGTGTATACTGCGTATGCAAATCCCGAGTAATGCTACATAAGAAGTAGATTATGTACGGAGATGCTAGCTTGCTGCATGGCAAGGATTGCTATGTATGTGCTATGTATAGCAGCAAGTCAGTCAGAATCCACCGAGGAGCGAAGGAGCAAGACCAATATTATGTATGAAACCAGCAAAGGGAGACGGATTATTCGGACTGATCCCAGAGCCTGATAGATGCCGGGTAACATATCGATCCATCCCGGCTGAAATGCTCGAGCCCACCAAATGAATAAATATAACGAGAAAATGCAGAGGGCGAACAGGCTAGCGACGCCCGTCACATCGCATCGCTCCACTCCGGCATGCATATTCGGAGTCTTCTTGCTGATGTGGCCGTTGGCTACCTGATTCGATCTTGATACGAGGATGTGAAATGTCTACATGCAGCCAGCCCTTGTCTCTTCTGCTGACCGCATCCTTCCAAGCCCCAAGTTCGACGGAGTTCGGCAGGCAGAGAGTTATATGCGCATATATACTACTACTCCGTACTCGCCCTCCTCTCGGGGACTGGTCCCAACCGCTAAGATTTAGAATGAAGGGCAATCGCCGCATCTCATAGATCCCTTCTGCCCCCATATCCACACCTTCCAGCCTGCTAGTTATGGTAGCGGCGCCCATATAGCGGTCTCCGAACGTCCCGAAAGAAACGGAATACATTATGACCACTTCGCTGGGAGGAGCCGGCGATGCTCGAGATAAAAGCAATCGTGGGAGCAACAAGGCAGACCTTCTATTAGATCCATCGGACGCTCACCCAAATTCACCCCAGCTCAAGTCGGCCTCACTGTCTGCCGAGACCTACAATGTCAAGGCCACCGGTTTAGCCATACATCCTCCGACCGTACCCCAGAATATCCTTGACGCTGCTCCAAAAACCGGCGGCTTGCTGGCTGCTGCTTTGGCTGAGGTCCTGAGCCCATCAGCTCCGAGCACCACCGATACTTCAATGAATAGGGTAGCCGAAGCGCCCCATTCTGATATGAGTGCAAAGGACAGCAGTGACTCTCTCGCTCGGAGGCTCGCTGCGCTCTCCAACTCACAGCAAAGCGCAGCAGGAAGAGAGGAATCGACCCTTCGCCCACCTACAAAGTCACCATGTTACTTTCACCAGCGGTTCGACGATGCAGTTAATATTGAACGAGTGCTTGATGAAGTGGTTAGCGACGAATGGATGTCACACTCCCGGTTGATGCAGACCGCCACGGGGGTGCGTGAAGTGTCAAGACACTTACAAAGGCGGTCCATGAAACTAGCCGTCCGGAATGTCATGATTGTTACAAAGGCACGGGATAATAGCCTTGTATACCTCACCCGCGAATTGGCTGAATGGCTGCTCAGTACGCCGAGATATGGTAGTGACCTAGGCGTCAATGTCTATGTAGATGCAAAACTGCGTCTGTCGAAGCGTTTTGACGCCCATGGTTTACTGGGCGGTGATCCACGGTTCGAGCATATGCTCAAATACTGGACTCCAGATCTCTGCTGGTCACACCCCGAGAAATTTGACCTGGTAATCACTCTAGGTGGCGATGGAACGGTCTTGTTTACCTCCTGGCTATTCCAGCGGGTTGTGCCTCCAATACTGTCCTTTTCTCTGGGAAGTCTAGGCTTCTTGACAAACTTTGAATTCTCCAAATATAAAGAGCATCTGAACCAGATAATGGGAGATGTAGGAATGCGCGTTAATCTCCGCATGAGATTTACATGTACGGTGTACAGAGCCAATACAATGAATGGAAACAAGGATGCTCCAGCAGAGGAGATCGGACGGTTCGAGGTTGTTAACGAACTTGTCATTGACCGCGGACCGTCTCCTTACGTCTCTAATCTAGAGGTTTACGGAGATGATGAGCTTCTCACAGTCGTCCAGGCAGATGGCTGCATCTTCTCGACACCAACGGGTATGAATTCATCCACCCATGACGGACACATACGTACCAAGACACTAATTCATCATTCTCCAGGTTCAACCGCCTATTCCCTTTCAGCAGGCGGATCTCTAATTCATCCCTCCATCCCAGCCATTCTTCTAACACCCATCTGCCCACATACTCTCTCCTTCCGCCCTATGGTTCTCTCTGACACCCTTCTGCTCCGCGTTGCCGTTCCCCGTCACTCACGCTCCTCAGCCTACTGCTCCTTTGACGGCAAGGGCCGCATAGAGCTACGACGCGGTGACTATGTAACTGTAGAAGCAAGTCAATACCCATTCCCAACCGTCGTCTCACAGAAAGGAGAATGGTTCCAGAGTGTCCGCCGTTCCTTACGTTGGAACGTAAGGGGAGCAGTTCAAAAGGGCTGGAACGGCAGAGAAGACTGCCCGGACAGCGAGGTTAATGATCTCCATTCTGCGGCTGACATAGCTGCTGACTTTGGGGATGGCTATGAGAATGAACAAGATGCAGATTGGGACATCGATACTGATACCAATACTGATATTGGCCAAGGAGCCGACAGTGGCCTTGGACAGAGTGAATGCGGCGACTCTCCTAACACAGGGAGTAGTAGCCCTATTCACAGAGTGATGAGTCTGCTAAACATCTGATCGTGGTGGTCATGATAATTCCTGTGTCTCTCTATCGATTTTATGTTTCATTTCATTATTTCTACCCTGTTTTCTTAGGGATTTCAGTTACAGGTAGGTTGTTTTTGCTCTTCTGCCCCCTTTTTTTTATGACGGGTCTATCCCCCAAGCTGATACCTAGATATATTTGAGTTCTTATGTTGTTTCCTTACATACCATGACGTTAGTATGCTTTGATGATTTTATGGCTCTAATGATTACGCTCTATCATGCTTGTTATTCTCCTGTTTAGATTCGATACCACACTGAATACGATTTATGGCTGCAGCGTATCGTTATACATTGGTTGTAGCCGATCAACTGTCGTCTTGTAAACGCGAGGCAGCCCAGTGTCCTCGAAAGTAATACTTTCGTCGAGAGCCATATGAGCAATTGCCTTGCCTGCTAAGAAACATACCGGCATTCCATGTCCGTTGAAGCCAGCAATGATCAACTGGCCTTCTTTTGAAGGTACTTTTCCAATATGTGGCAAGGAGTCTGCGGAATAGCCCATTACTATATGATGAGGCACGGTTAGTAACTGCCAATTGTGCGGCATGTCTGCAAGCGGTAAAGAACATACCGCCAGTCCAAACCTCCTTTGAGTACGCACCACTATCCTCCCAGCCGATGAATGTCCGCTGCATATACCCATCAAAATAATGCTTAGCAACGTCAATCAACACACCGTCGTCCGCATTGTTATGCCACTGCTCCAAAAATGGTGTGAATGTATGACTGGCTCCGCAAACAATCATACTCCCGTCGGGGCGTGGAATGACATATCCTCCTGCCCCGAAGCCGTGACGGGTAACATATGTGTTCGTTAAGCATGGCGGCGGCGGTTTCTGGCATCCACCATCCTCGGCTGGCGATGGAACCACAACATGGCAGCATAAACCCTTACAGGGTACAATGGCCTTTTCATATTCGGGAGCCAAAGCGGATGTATACGCATTCGAGGCTAGGATAACCTTCTTGGCATGGATAATCCCTCTATCATTACCGGTCGTGACCTTCCAGTACCCTTCTTCATCGCGATTGGGACTAATTTCTAGCACTGGAGTGTTGGTTTGAAGATTCAACCCTTTGGAAACAGCAATTTCCAGTAGCCCAGATATGAATTTGTATGGCCATATATGGCCTGCAGGGAAAGATACAAACCCTTTCGCTCCCTTGACTTTTGTTTCTTTTACCTCGTCGTCACTTAACGGATGCTCTGGTGTAGGAAATCGAAACTCCGCATCCTTCATAAAGTCGTATTTCCCCTGCTGATAAGAGTTAGATACCAACGGCTCGACTCCACGGCGGACCTTGTCCATCACTTCTTGATCAAAGTAGACGTCGAACGATCTGGTCAACACAAGATCACAATCTATCTTCTCGCGTTCGATCACATCTGCGAGAACTCGAAGGTGGGATATTTCGTATTTGACTATTTCCGCTGCTGCTTCGACCCCATGGCGTGAAATAAATTTAGAGGCATGGGCATACATTTCAGGTCGAAGATGGCCAGCTTTAATATTGTTGTTGGTGTTAGCATATAAAGCACCAGTTACCAATCTACACCTTCATCACATACCATTTCTCCCAGTAGCTCCAGAACATAGCTGTCGAGCTTCTAGTAAGACAGTGCTTGGTGGTGTCTCGTTCCCTTGAAATATATGATATGCAACGGATGCACCAGAGTAACCGCTTCCAACGATCAAGATGTCGCATGTTGGTGGTAAATCTGGCGTAGATCTATGGGCATCTAGTTTATGTGGCTCTGTCCGCCAAAACGGAGTATTACCCTCGAAGCTGGAGGCTGGTTGAGGGTACGACTTCGACTCCATCATTTGATATGTTCTGCGTTTCTAAACATCAGATATGTGTCGTCGCATTAAGGTAGGAATGAGGGGTGTCTATGCATGGCTCGTATATCAAATACTCGGTCTTGTAACTGGTCGTGCTATTAATCCCAGGTGATATGAGCAGGGCGTATGTATGATAGCCCCTTGATAAATACGCCCTATGTCTCTTAAGAGTGCAGGGGGAACATTGAATACATACCATTATTCGATAACCTGAGATTACTATTTTAGTAGTAACTATTAAAGAGTTACTACAAGTGCTTCTATCCATAAGCCATAACAAGGCCTCCTAGGCCGCTCTATCACTTTTTCCACATGATCAGAATATAGACAAGCTCTTTCAGATAGTTCCCGTTTTCAACTCCATACCACCGCTTCTATCTTCATTTTATCTATACGAGGCCCCCGAAAAGCAACGATGTATCTCTCACCAGTCGCAGCTCTCTGCCAATACTGCCGCAAGCACCTCCAAGCCATTTTTATCAACCTCATCGAACCCAGAAGGCTCAGCACAGTCTATATCGATGATTGCAACGGTCTAATAGGCGATACGTGAGTGTTCAAGATATTGAAAGCTAGCGCAGCATGAGAAAAAGGACGACTCATTTACTTACCTCTCCATTCACCAAAATGGGAACGACAATCTCGCTCCTACTATCCGCATCACAAGCAATATGCCCCTCCCAATTCAGCACGTCAGGCACGATCACCGTTTCCCTTCTTTCAGCCGCAGTGCCACAGACGCCTTTTCCAAAATTAATCCATTGGCACGCAGGTTTCCCTTGAAACGGGCCTAAGAGAAGCTTGTTCTTCGTGCGAGAGGCCTCCGGCATGGAAGAGGGAAACTTGTCTTCTCGGATGTAGAAGCCTGCCCAGTTTACGGAGGATGAAGGAGCGGGGAGACTAGCGTATGCATGCCATAGCAGTGAGGCTACATTTGCAGAGTTGCTAAGTAGGAAGAAGAGATCAGTAAGTGTCTATTGGTGAGGCAATGGTTCCATCGACAGTACCTTATCTGTTACGAGCAATTGTTTAATTCTCGATTAGCTTTGACAGCATTGTATACTGGCATAGAGTGCAGTGTTAGTCGGGGCGCATACCCAATGCCGTTGTCCGTCTATCAACCCCTTTGTCTGCTCTATAACTTGTTTATATATCTCCTCCTTTGAGGCCCCCGCGGGGAAATAGGAAGAGTCTGCGTGGGGCTATTCAAGAGCTTTAGTACTGGTAGTTGATTAAGATAAAGTCATATTGAAGAAGTACTAGCCATTGTGACAGGGAAAGGGTATGCTATGTATCCTATACGATACAATGACCACAACCAAGAAGGATGATATTTTATTGCTCTTCAGTTGCTCGTGTTGATTTTCATCCTTTTTAATTTATTCTACAGGAAGATCGTTATCGGGATTAGTAAGAGGAGATAAAGCTCGGAGTTAAGTAACATCAGAGTCTCTACACGTGACTTTTTGGCTTAAATAAGCCGATCTTCTGCTGGTCATAGAAAGTCTAAAAGCTATCATTATATAGTACTTATGAGACCACCCAAGGCCTGCAAAGTGCTATGATGTTGCGTGTTTCTCTCTTTACTATTTATTTTATTCCCCTAGGCGCAAGTATCGTCACCCCCAGTGCAAAAAGACGCGATAAAGAAGATCCACCCCCGTTCCGATTTGGTCCAATTCGGTTTATTCCATTTGAATCCTTTCATCCGGCCCTCTAGATCGGAGGCTGTCATGTTAAATGCAATGCAAGGAAAGAAAAAAGGCAACCAGCCTGCATTCATGCATTCATTTCCTCGAGTTTCATATTATGTTTTTTTTCTGTCCGTAGAAAGCGCAGCGCTTTATTTGGCTGACGGCTTGATGACTTTCTTGACGACGTCTTCGACTTCATCCCAATCTCTGCTGTCTACTCTCATAATATCGGTTCCGAAGTACTTCTGGATATCCATAAGCATCGTCCATTCCTCCTTATTTGAAACAAAGGACACAGCAACACCGACACGGCCGAATCGTCCGGTACGACCGATACGGTGAAGGTAGGTCTGCGGATCTGCGACACGTTCTCCCGCATCAGGAGCATGGAGTTCCGGTATATCCTAGGAATAATGGTTAGCTCAAGATAGGTTTATGAAGGTATTTCAAAATAGAACTTACGTAGTTGATAACCATGGACACGGTCTGTACATCTATTCCTCGTGCAAGGACGTTAGTGGTTATGAGTACTTTAGCCGTACCCTTGCGGAAACTGTCGATGACCTCGTCACGCTTTTGTCCGTCGACACCACCGGTAAGAGACACCACTGTGTGGCCTTCATCGATCATGCGGCGCTCAATTTCAGCTGCAGAGGCACGTGTCTAGAGCATAGCTTGTTAGAAGTCTGTTTCAATTGGCAACGACTGGATAGAAGAGGTATCCGTACTTTTACAAAGATGATGGAGGATCCAATCGTGAGGAGGCCATAGAACTTTACGAGAATTTCATATTTATGCTCTGTCGAGTCGCAGTCCAGGTACAGCTGTTTGATTCCCTCGACGGTGAGTTCTTCGTGCTTGAGAGTAAGCTGGTTGGCATTGGGTGCAAACTTGTGGGCATATCGGACGACAGAGTCTGGGAAAGTGGCAGAGAACAAAACTATCTGGGTAGTTTTTGGTAGTGACCTTACGTATAACCGCGGGTTAGCAATTAACTTTACCACAAAGCAAGGGGGATGGATGGTGGATTTGCTCACGATTTCATGCGAATGCACTGGTCACCGAGACCTTGCTGATCCAACATGTTATCTGCTTCGTCTAGAACCAAGACCTTGACATGCTGTGTATTGAACAGCCTTTTTCGAATAAAGTCCTGGACAGTTCCAGGCGTGCCCACTACCAAAGACGCTTCCACGGGCTGATTTCTGTTCGACTCCATAGGTACGAGGGTGGCAATCTTCAATCCTTCGATGAACGAACCCATGACCTGGATGACACCCACGATCTGGCGGGCAAGTTCACGACTAGGGGCGAGGATCAGGGCCTGTGGGACATTGATCATTCCTGGAGAAACATCCAGACGGCTGAGCACATTGAGGACGAAAGCTGCGGTCTTTCCAGTACCAGACTGTGACTGTCCGATCATGTTCTGTGGCGGGTTCGCCATGAGAAGTGGGAGGGCGCGTTCCTGGATCTTTGATGGCCGGCTGAAGCGCATTTCACGCAGGCCTCTGAGGACAGCCTCATCACTAGAGAGTACAGTCGAATATGTATAAGTATTTGAAACCGTACTCATACGTAATAAAAAATAAGCAAGGCGGAAAGGAGGTAGAATTGGCGACTCACAGGCCAAGCTCTTCGAAGCTCTTGATGGAGTATAGGGGGTTGTTCGGATCCGCCTGGAGGTCACTCAGCTGGACGTTGACAGTATATTCGGAGTCACGAAGCATGGAGGCTCCAGTCCGGTAAGCGGCTCCATCAGTTTGAGCATCTTCAACACCACCAGAGGTTTGATCTTCTGACATATCAACGCCTTTGCCCTTCGAATCTGCAAACGATGCCCGCTCTGCTAGTGGGGTACCAGCTGGGGGGTTTTCGGAGGCCATGGCCGTGGGAGTAGACGCGGTTTCGAGGAAGACTGGATGTCTCGACGGTCAAGGAGGGCAAATGATACCAGAGATGCGTAGGTAGAGGTGTTGTCTGTTGTTTGAGTGAGCTGTTTCGATAGCAGCCAGCCAGCACAAATATGTACAGAGGGGTGCCGCTGGGGGGAGAGGGCGTGCGATACCAGCTGGGTATAGAGGGAGGGACACGGCCGTGAACAGAGCCGCCTAATTGTAGACAGACAGCAGAAAGACGTGGGTATCTAAATATCCACTGCTTCTGTCAAATTGATGACTTTGACGGTGTTTTTTTTTTTTGGTCTCTTTTTTCTTGTTGAAATCTCGAAAAACATCATACCTGGCTTAGTCATCATTTGGATGAAGATGAGATGAAGATGAAGATGATGGATGAAGATGATAGATGAAAATAACTAGATGGCGGTTGAAGCATGGATGATGGTATATCCAGGCCTCTACTAAGCTATTTACACCGTCTTCTGTCAACTTATATCACGACGACTCCGCCATCTCTATGACTGCTCTGTAGCCAGTATAGATCTAGATATGCTGTAGTTAATACATGAAGCAAGGAGAAAGAAACAAAGATAAAACAATATTACTAGGGTATCCCAGCTAAGCTGTCATGTATCTCAATGCCTCAACGTGACATCTCATCGTTTACATATACATATTAATGTCATTCAATTCTTGTTCATGTCTTGAAGACGAAGGACTTGCTTACGTAGTTACCAGTGGCTTATAAGCAGTCAAGAGTGGCTGGGCTTCTTTGCATGGTAGAAGAACCACCACCAGACGGCCGCAGGAGAAGAAACGACAAGGCAAGAAGAGACAGAAGAAAAGAGAGAAGACGAGGACAACTACTCTGGCAGATGCTAGCTATGCTTGTTCACTTCTGCAGCTTTGGTGCTCTTCTGGCTGGCTTTCCACGACGCTCGCTGGGCTTGTTGGCCTGTGAATATCCACCAAGTCGAACACCGCGCGGGTCCTCGAGATAGATAAATAAACAGACCATTAAAACAAAACTACATGAGCGATGGCGGACACGGTCAACCCGCAGTTCGGTGCAGAGCTAAAGGTAAGCCGCTTCGAATGGCCCCAGCTAGGAGGTCGAGTTGGTACTAAACACTTACGGATAGGACGCTTTCAAGCCCGTCAACGCCTGGGTATGGATGCATATGCCCCCCCCGCCCCCTCCGCAACAGTTTATTGACAGCAACTAGGTCTCAGTCGGCATAAACTGGCTGGACGAGATACAGCAGTTCTACCGTGACCGCAGCGTCATCGAGAAAGAATATGCCGCCAAAATAACCGCTCTCTGTCGCAAATACCATGACCGCAAGTCGAAAAAGTCAAGCACGCTCAGCGTCGGAGACACGCCCGTCATGACTCCCGGATCGCTAGAATCAGCTTCTCTGACTACCTGGTCTACGCAACTGTGTGCTCTGGAGGCAGAGGCCGCGGCACGAGATAAGTTCGGGGCAGATCTAGTCTTTCGGGTAGCAGAGCCGTTGAAGCAGACGGCTGCCAAGCTGGAGGAGCTGCGCAAGAACCACGCCGAGTATGCGAGCAGGCTGGAGAAGGAGAGGGACTCGTCGTATGCCGACCTGAAGAAGAGCAAGGGCAAATACGACGGGGTCTGCCAGGAGGTAGAGAATAAGCGGAAGAAGATAGAGAGCTCATTTGATCATGGGAAGCAAAAGGCACAGCTCGCCTACCAGAATCAGATTGTGGAGATGAACAATGTCAAGGTACGTTTTATATATATTCACAGGGTTATAAATGCTAACTGTGGTAGAACACATATCTAATTGCTATAAATGTCACGAATAAACTAAAAGAGAAATATTACCACGAATATGTACCAGAAGTACTGAATGTACGTGCTTCCCTTTTGATCCGAACTATCCTTCCACTGCTAATGCCGAACGAATACAGGGACTACAAGATCTGAACGAGACTCGAGTGAGCAAGCTGAATGCCATCTGGACTCTAGCTGCAGATCTAGAAAAGGCCACACTGGCCAGGGGCGAAGAACAGGTCTTGCACGTCCTCGCCGAGATACCACGCAACGAACCCCGACTGGACTCGATGATGTTCATGCGCCATAACACCGCGCACTGGCAGGAGCCACTGGACATGCAGTTCGAGCCCAGTCCCGTCTGGCACGACGAGCCAACTATAGTCATCGACGAGCCGGCCAAGGTGTTTCTGCGAAACCTGCAGAGCAAGAGCAAGAGCCAGATGAAGGAGCTAAAGGCCGAAGCCGACAAGAAGAGACGGGAAGTCGAGAACGCAAAGAAGGCCCGGCAGAGCATTATCGATGGCACCGACAAGCGTGACGAGGTCGAGGTGGTGCGAGCGATATTTGCCCTGCAGGAAGATTTGCATCTGCTAGACCGGAAGAGGCTGACGGGCGAGATCGAGGTATCGACCGTCTCGTCCGTGGTGGGAGACCTCTCGCTTGGAGCGAAGAACCACAACTTCCGGGCCCAGACGTTCAAGATCCCCACCAACTGCGATCTCTGCGGAGAGAGGATATGGGGTCTCTCGGCCAAGGGGTTCGACTGTCGTGACTGTGGCTATACGTGCCATAATAAATGCGAGATGAAGGTTCCAGCCGAGTGTCCGGGCGAGCAGACGAAGGAAGAGAAGAAGAAGCTGAAGCTCGAGAGGCAGGAGAAGGCCAATGCGGCTCCGGCGCTGCCGGCCCAGGATATCACTCCTCGAGTGTCGAGCCCCAGCGCGGCAGAGCTCCCGGCGCTGACGAGAAAGGATACGATGAACTCGCTGAGTTCGGGATACTCGTACAACGCGCTTAACAAGTCTACGTCGGCACTGTCTGTCAGCCAGCCTGCCAACGGAGGCTCAGCGTCAACGTCGACATCACCGGCTATTGCTGAGCTGCCGGACTCTGGGAGCGTTGTGAAGAAACCGGCCGTGGCTCCTCGGAAGAACCGAATACTGGCACCTCCTCCGGCGCAGTACGTGAGCGCCCCGCCACCACCGGCAGCTTCCAGCGACAGCAAGGAGAACGCCAGCGGTCCCGGCAAGTCTTCCGAGCCAAGCGGGAAGATGATGTATGCCTACCAGGCCAACGGGGAGGACGAGGTGACCGTAGACGAAGGACAGGACGTCACCGTCGTCGAACCAGATGGTATGCTTGCATCTTTTCCCCGTCTCCTTCTTGCATGTACCTCTTTTTTTTTTCCCCCTTTGGACTCTGTTCTAACGTGTGGTAGATGGCTCCGGCTGGATGCGAGTTCGATCCAACGGCCAAACGGGGCTGGTACCAGCCTCCTACGTCGAGGTCTCGTCCACCCCGTCGCCGTCACCAGCGGCATCTCCCAACCCCAACGGGCGACCAGAGTCAACGTACTCTACCTCCAGCGCCTCTCTCGCCAGCAGCGCGGCAGGCAAACGACGGGGCCCCGCCGTCGCACCCAAACGGGGAGCAAAGAAACTTCAGTACGTCGTGGCGATGTACGACTACGAGGCACGAACGGACGCAGAATGGAGCATGGCGGAAGGCGACCGGTTCGTCCTGGTGAATCGAGACAGCGGGAACGGATGGGCAGACGTCGAGAAGGGAGGCCAGACCAAGTGTGTTCCCGCAAACTACATTGAAGACGCATGATCCTTCCTGCACTACGTCTGCTATTCTCCCATGTTATGTTGGTAGATAGACATGTTATGCTCTTGGGTTGAACCTCCGCCTTGACCTATTTTTATCCTAACGTGGTATCAAGCATATCCGGGGTCATACACACATAGTTCGATCAGTTGCTGATGCATGCGGGGGGGGGCTATACCATGTATAATATATGTGTACGATGATATCTAAGCCTGCATCTAAGCCTGCATGGTCATCTACTTACTACGAACACTGCATCACGACTGTCTCTGCGATGTAAGAGCCCAGAGCCATGAGTAACTGCATAACACCACCATGTACCTGTGTATCTGTGTATCCCCTGAGCATCGTCAGCATCATCACAGGCCATGACACCGGCCAAGCGCCGTCCAAGAGATGTGCAGCTTCATTGCAGTGTGAAACAAGTGGGTAACTCGACGGGAAGAAGGGAGAGCAGCATGACAGACAATGATTTGAGATCATCAGGGGGGGGAACGCGAGATGAGATGAGCGCTTCGCTTTTTCTTATTTTCTTCTTCTTCATCGTCTCCTGTCATCGATGCCACCGCCACTCATGGACAAGGGGGTTTCTTCGACGCCGTCCTTGGTTGGCGCTTTGTTGGCCCAGGGGATCGAAAAGATGGGCTTCCGTCGGCGATCAGGTAGAAGTGACCTGCTGTCTGTCGCAGCCAGTAGCATCTCAGTAGTATCTGCGAGTACCTGCGAGTATCTGGTACTTCGCCCCTGACCCGCCCTTCCTTAGTTACGCGGCTTGGGCTCTTTTTCCCTTTTTTGGTGGATCCAGAAGAAAAAAAAAGTAAAACACCAGCAAGAAGTTGGATCTTTTTTGATACAAGAAGATCAACTTCCACTCTTTTCACTTCTTCATCTTCTTCTTCTTCTTCTCTTCCTCGTCTATCACATTCGCTACAAGGGAAAGGAAGGGATAACGCTCGTTTTGGCGTCTTCTTCCCATCACTCTTTGAACAGCCCGTCTTCGTCCTGCTTATCGTCCATCGCTTCGTCTTTTATCGTTCCACCATGAAGGCTGCTATTGCTACTCTGGCCGTTGCCCTCGGGGCCTCCTCTGCCCTGGCAGGATCCGTCACCCCCGTCACCGTGAAGGGAAACGGTAGGCCGCAGAAACAACAGTGAATAATATGGGGGAAAAGAGGCTAACAAGGGGGACAGCTTTCTTCAAGGGAGACGAGCGTTTCTACATTCGTGGCCTGTAAGTGTCTTGTCTGCTCGTCGTTGCTGGTCGTTGCTGGTCGTTTGCTAACAATGTCTGTAGTGACTACCAGCCAGTACGTCCCTAGACACACGCTTGAAAGTAACATGCTAAGAGTCGACAGGGTGGCTCCTCCAAAGTTGTTGATCCCATCGCCGAAATCGATCTCTGCAAGCGAGATCTCGAGAACTTCAAGGATCTCGGCGTGAACACTATCCGCGTCTACCACGTCGACAACACCAAGAACCATGACGAGTGCATGAAGCTGCTGGCCGACGCTGGCATCTACCTCGTCCTCGACGTCAACACCCCCAAGTACTCCATCAACCGAGAGGGTATGCCTTTTTTCTCGCCCGATTTCTGCCCATTTGATCTCCTCTGATGCCTGACTTAGATCCTGCCATCTCTTACAATGCCGTCTACCTCCAGAGCGTCTTCGCCACGGTTCAGATGTTCGCCAAGTACGACAACACCCTGGCCTTCTTCTCCGGAAACGAGGTCATCAATGACGACAAAACCTCCGAGGTTGCCCCCTGGGTCAAGGCTACCACCCGTGATATCCGCAACTTCCTCAAGACGCGCAAATTGAGACAGGTTCCAGTCGGTTACTCTGCTGTAAGACATGTCTTGACCGTGTGCTACTCCAAAGTCGACAGATTACTAACCGCTGCAAGGCTGATATCGATACCAACCGTATGGAGGCTGCCCAATACATGAACTGCGGTTCCGACGAGGAGCGAAGTGACTTCTTCGCCTTCAACGATTACTCCTGGTGCTCCCCCTCTTCCTTTGAGATCTCTGGCTGGGACCAAAAGGTCAAGAACTTCACCGACTACGGCATTCCCATCTTCCTTTCCGAGTACGGCTGCAACTTGAAAAAGCGTGACTTCAGCGAGGTCAAGTCCCTCTACTCCACCGAGATGACCGGCGTCTACTCCGGTGGTCTCGTCTACGAATACTCCCAGGAACCCAGCAACTACGGATTGGTCGAGATCAAGGACGGAAGCAACTCTAAGCCAACCAAGCTTCCCGACTACAACGCTCTCAAGACCGCTTTCTCCAACGTCAAGAACCCATCCGGTGACGGCGGCTACAACAAGAATAGCGCTGCCAGCAAGTGTCCTGCCAAGAATGCCCCTAGCTGGAACGTCGACGGCGAGGCTAAGCTCCCAACCTTCCCAGCCGATGCTCAGAAGTACATGGACAAAGGTGCCGGCGATGGCCCCGGTCTCGACGGCCCTGGCAGCCAGTCCTCCGGCTCCAAGGCTTCCGGCCCTGACACCAGCGGTAACGGCAAGGGCGGCTCCCCAACCAGCACCCACTCTGCCGCCGCTCCTGGTTTCCGTGCCCCTGAATTCGCCGTTGCCCCATTGATTGCCCTTGTCACTGTTGGCCTGTCCGCCCTCTTCGGAGCATCCATGATCATGATCTAGAGCCCTTTTTTTTTTTTTTGTTTTTCTGGGCATCGCCGGGTTAATGTCCGCGGATTGGTAATGGATAGCTGGAGAGCCCTGTTAAATTACTTACAGCGGGCCTTGTTTGTTAATAGGCATTCGGTAGTCGTATATTGCAGTCCCCCCCCCCAGGAGTCTTTGCACTCGTTTTCTTGTTCTTAATTTGATGGTGTTTTTTTTTTCATCTTTTCTTTGCTATTCATCGAGCGGCCACGCTGCCTCTAGACTGTATTAACAGAAATAATGATACTCTTTATCACCACGGTTTATGCAGCTCCTTTCCAACGGAAATAACGCAGATACAGGATGACGTCTTGAAAGCCAATGACCATGGTATTCTATATACCCTTAAACCACTCGTGCGCTAGTGCCTCCCGTGCCGTGATCCTCTTATCCGGATTGAAATGCGTCATTCGAAGGACCAGATCCTTGAACACCGGATCAACGCCCTTCCACAACGCAAATGGTCTCCGAGGATTCTCCTTGTTGAATCCATCCCGAATAACCCTGAAGATCTCGGCCCAGGGACTTTCGCTAATATGATGCAGGAATTCCTGGATGCTATCCTGATCCGCGAAAAACGAGATCTGTCGCTCAATCACACGGGCCAGTTTTTCTTCTCCCTCACCTAGCTCGCTCTCATCAACTGCGAAGATAACTTTCTTGTGAACGGCGTAGATGCACTGGTTGGAAGCTTTGTTAATATGGGTTTGATAAAGGGTAGTTATTTTGGGTATTAGCGTGTTTTACCTACCACGATTGCAAAGGAGAAGACGTCAGAAGGCGAGTTTAAGGGTCCTTCTGCGTGCGATTCTGGACTCCGCCACATCCAGTTTCCTAGCTGTCTTCCTGCAATCTCACTGCCTTCAGGTACGATTGCGGCATCTTCAATATCACCTAGCCGTACGTCCGTTATCTTACCATCTTCTTGATCAACTAGGATGTTGTTTGCCTTGATATCTAGGTAGATAACCACATTTAGCTAATCCAGTCATGGTAAGGGAGAGAATATAAGTACTACCGTTATGCACGATATCATTCGCATGCAACACAGCAAGGCCCTGCAAGGCGTCTCTGAAAACCCTCTTCGTCGTTTCCAGCGGCAGCTCGAGTTGACAAGGCAGTTTCAAAAAATCGGTCGTCAAGTACTTGTACACAAACATCGAGTGCCCGACCATCGAGTCCTGTGGAAGCCTCAGGTAAGGATCCCCATCGACCCTTCGATAGATCTCTCGTAGGTACTCGAAATCAGCAACGTTTTTGAGCACAAATTTCTCGCTTTCGGATCTATACGGCCGAAGCAAGGTTGATAAAGGAGTAAAGTAGATGCCCATGTCATGCTATGTAAATACATACTGAGCAAGGTAAACGCGCAAAGGATAGTTTTCCTTCTCTTGCAGTATCTGTTGAATAACGTAGCATTTACCGGATTGGCCTACCAGCGCTGTGCCCGGAGACATCCTCGTTCCCATGTTGATGGCTGAGGTTTGTGTGCTGGTAAAGCGGCTTCCTTGACGGCCTGGCACGGTATGATGAGGCAGCGGCCGTACATAGCTTCTGGGACCCTTGTATGCACGAAGGAATACTGGCAACGGCCGTCGTTGAGCCATTGCTCAGATGGCATAAATAGGTTGATGTTTATATTCGAAGCTTGGTGAGAAATCATATCTTGCATGGCAGTGCCTAACGCTAGCTTGGCATATAAAAGCGTTAAGCGCCAGCATGATTCAATAAAAAGCAACCCAAGCCTGTCAGGGTATAATACGTAGGTACATCCATTAGAATGGACTACAGCATCAACATGTCTGTCGGGCAGTCTTGTCTCTCTGTAGAGCTGTCCATCTGCATATAAGGTTGACCCTACTTGATGTATAGGTAAACACCCTCCCAGAAAAAGCGGAAGCCGGCGACTTTGTCCCTCAAGCCCGGGTGGTCTAGTTGGCTATGATTCTCGCTTAGGGCCTTAACCCTAAGTACTTTGTATGCGAGAGGTCCCGCGTTCGAATCGCGGCTCGGGCCCTGACGGAAACGTCTTTTTTTTCTTCTTCTTTTTGTCTCTAACAGAGAGCGCGGGGGTGGTGATCATTTTATTTGGTTTTGTTTTGGCTCCTGTTGGCTGGGGATTATTGTATGTACCACGGTAGAAGTTTGCTCAGGGGAGATAAAAAGTAGCTATGAAGAGAAGGAGGAGAGGAAGAGGAAGAAAGGCGATATAGATAGTAAACTGGTCACTGAGATATAATTAGGTTGTACGTTTCTAAGTACGAAATAATATGCTTCTTCATAATCATGCGTTTTCCGATTGCACCGTTTGCTACGCCAGGGAGAAGAGCTGTTAGTGGCCGAAACGTAGGATACACAGATACAAGTTTAAAGGAGATTCATTACTTACCACCAGCCAGTCCATTCCCTCATTGATACCCTTCCCGTCGATGGCAGAGCATGCAACTATACTCCAATTTCGATCTCGTAGCTCTCCCAGTTTCAGGGCCTCCGATATCTCGCCTGCACCCTTGGCACCAGGCTGATCTTGCTTGTTTGCAAATACGAGGAGCGCTGCCTCCCGCAGTTCTTCCTCGTTAAGCATCGCGGCCAGTTCATCTGATGCTGTCCCCAGTCTCTCGATGTCTGTCGAGTCAATGACGAATATCACGGCCGCTGTGTTGGCATAGTAGCATCGCCAATAAGGCCGTATCGATGTTTGGCCTCCAAGATCCTAGCCAGATAAAAAAAAAAAAAGATATTAGATAATGTTCAGTTCAAAACTGTCTCTAGATATCTGGGGTATCTGATATCAAATCCTACATACCCAAACATTAAAGTTAAGATTCTTATATGTGACAGATTCGACGTTGAATCCAATTGTAGGTATTGTCGTCACGACCTCGCCGATCTATATCATTGCCCGTGACACGCTCTCCAAGGAGCGGAGGGGGTGTAAGCTTCTCTCTCATCTTTCACAGTAGTATTCCAAGGTTGTTTCGTCTAGTCTGCGAGGGGTCGCACCTTTAGCCGATAAAGGAGTGTTGTTTTGCCAGCATTATCCTGCGGATCAGATGGAAGACTTAGTATTCATCTCCCAAGGACGTTTCTAGACCTGAGTTGCAACGTGTATAATGGTAAATGTTGGGGGCAGCGTTCATACAAGTCCCAATATCAGAATCCTGATTTCCTTCTTTGTCCACAACCAGCCTGACACAAGCTTGGATAGTGATCCACCCATATTTCTGCGAAGATGTACCCAGGAAAGCCAAGTGATATGAGGTCAAAGAACAACAGCGTCTCAGGACAATACCTGACCACTAGGCAAGATAGGCGGGCGTACGGAGTCAGGGTACAGGGCGTCTAGACGGTTTCGTATCCCGGCGGAACGGGGACCTTTGCGTTTGGTAGATATAAACTGAGTGCTTGATACAGGAACGGCTGATGTCTATCCTGCAGCTATGGTACTCAAAAGGATGGCCGTTGGGGGCTTTTTTTTTTGGCAGAGCGTTCAACGAATAAAGCTTTCTTGCAAGAGAGGGCAAAAGAGATCTCTCCGGGTATTTGTTTAAAGGGGTAAGACAAAAAAAAAGACGTGTAGGTCAACGGATTTCTGCACAGTATCACAAAATAAAATAATATAATTATCTATTAAGTTACAGATTGGAGGTGAGGAAGCGTGGGCTGCCGTGATGTTTCTTTCTAACAAACTAGTGGCGCTTCCATCAAAACCAAGCTTCATCGCCAAAAACCGCAACCAACAACCGCAACAGCCAGCAAACCTCCAGCCTAGCAACCCACAATCCACACGCTGTTCAGTGGAGGCAGAAGACAACATAAACGCTCGTTTATACACTGCACTATCGGTTATTGCTCTATTTGGCTCTAACGAATACTGAATTATAGATCCGTTTGCGCGGAATATATCCTGCCTGGAGAGGCCATCGCAACAATGGGGAAGAAGTCAGGCAGATCAATGCGCGATGAGGGTGAGCATGGCATCCCAAGGCATCAAGAGGGTAGTCTCAGCAGTTATTTTGCTAACGTACTGCCCATTGATGGAATACAGGCCTTCAGCGGACGGATAATAGCATGGACCTAACGAGCTGGCCGCAAATAGTTGCTATCAACCAGAAAAATTATTACACGTACGTGCTATTGAACCCCAGTGGGCACAGTCGCCAGTCCGTCCTCTTCTATTTCATCTGGATAGAAATTTCGTGCTGAAGCCGTAGCTAACTTTACTATAATACCTTTGCCAGTGACTATTTGAAACGAGACGACCAATTCCTCGCATACCGGTTACAAAATGAAGAAAACCGAAATCGGATGGCAAAAGCGGCAAAGGAACGAGATAGAGCTCTTGCGATGTCAAAATCCAATGAACTACCGCTACCGGAAGAAGAAGACGCAGACGCGACCATGGCAGAGGCGGATGACGAGCAGGAAAAAGCGGTGGTTGGATCAAAGACAGTTGTGGTCCATGTTGGAAGTCAGAATCTTCGCATAGGCCTTGCTAGTGACGCTCTGCCAAAGACAATCCCCATGGTTATAGCCCACAAGTCTAATATGAACGAGTCCGAAGAAAACGGTGGAGAGCCGAAACCAAAACGCTTGAAAATGGATGATGGGGAACTTATGGAGCCGGAAAAGATGTTTGGGCCTGACGTGAGTAAAACTGTTACTCGACCCTCTTTTTTTCTTTTGCGCACGCTGTGGCTAACCAGGTGGATGCCAGTTTGGTAACCTTTATACAAATATGTGCGCTGAGCTGAAAGCCCACATGCGCCTGAACAAACGCAGGACCCTGCCCAACTCCAAGGAGATGGTGGTAAACTACAATCGAAGAACACCGCCAGAAACTATTTCCGAGCATAATGATGCAATGAGGGTTGAATGGACTGAAATATCTAACAACCCTAAACTTGCTCCTCCATACGTGGTTGGTGAAGCTGCCTTGAGGATTCCGGATCTCTCTAAACCCCGATATAAGCTCTACTGGCCGCTGAGAAACGGCTGGTGCAATGAAAAAGATTACAGCAGCATAAACATGCTGTTCTTGGACATTGCTCGTATTCTGGAAGATGCGATGAAAACCCAGCTGAATTTGACACAGGATAAGGACTGGGGACAATATTCCTGCATCTTTGTTATACCCGACCTTTACGAAAAGGTCTACGTCACTCATATCCTAGACACTCTCATGCGCGAACTCGGATTTGGCCGTGTATGTTTCGTTCAGGAGAGCGTGGCTGGCACATTTGGTGCTGGGTACACTGCCGCCTGTGTTGTTGATGTTGGTGCTCAAAAGACATCAATTTGCTGTGTAGAGGAAGGGATGTGTATTGAAAACTCGCGCATCAACCTGAAGTACGGCGGCTCGGATGTCACTGAGACGTTTATCAAGATGATGCTCTATGACCACTTCCCATATGAGGAGATCAATCTAAACCGGCGGTATGACTTTTTACTGGCAGAGGAGCTCAAGAAGAATGTGGCAACTCTCAATGAAACAAATGTTTCCGTGCAGGTGTTCGACTTTCATCTTCGTGTGTCAGGTCAAGACACGAGGAAGTACACATTCAAGGCATACGATGAAATTATACTAGCTCCCATGGGCATGGTTCAACCGGAGATATTCGACAACTCCCAGAAGCTGGTTGGACGGAGAAAACTTATTAACCGTTCGTATGACCTTTACGACAGACAGCCGAATGACCCAAGTTCTACTGCTCAAGCTGAAATTCTGGCGGCTATTTCTCCTCCGCCTGCCGTGAATAATGGCATAACAAATGGAGCGTCGCATACTAACGGGACAGACCCTCAAGCTACGCCCAGTCGATCACAGGCCCATAACGTCTTAGGGCGTGTACATGACCTTGAAGCAACCCCACGATCCTCTGCGGCCGGATCACCCACGCCTGACACAGCACCGAATCCCCAAGGAGGTACTTCAACACCCCTGAAGACTCCGGGGGTTGCCCCGAACGTTGGGCCCACCTCACAAAGCCAGCCTGTGGTGGAGATGCGGGATGATGTTCTCCCAGTATGGCCTCTTGAAGATGCTATATTTACCTCTATTACCCATGCAGCTCGAGGCGAGGCTCGCAAATTCAATGACTTTGTTGGCGGGGTCCTTGTAATCGGGGGCGGTAGTCTTGTTTCTGGTTTCCATGCCTTCCTCGAGGAGAGAATGCAACTCAAGCGCCCTGACATTGCAAACCATATCATGGTTGGCACACCACCTCGAGAGCTTGACCCGCAAGTGGTTGTATGGAAAGGGGCTAGTGTGTTTGGCAAGCTAGATGCATCGAATGATAGCTTTATAGGGAGGCTAGAATATGACCGGCTCGGGAGCAGAGTAATGACTTATAAATGCATGTGGCAGTGGTGATAGAGCTGCTTCATTTTGTGATGCTACGAATTTTACGGATGTTAGAATGGTATTCTGAATAAGTCCTTTTTATAATTGACAACACTGCTTTACTATTGATCATCATCCTGACTTCTTATTGTTCGCCGCTTTATACTCTCTATTGATTACATAATACAGGACAAGGAGTAATTTTTTTCCATAGAGCGGTGAAGCTTGGCAGAATAGCTTCTTTGGTTCATGAAACTTCTCAAAAAGAAGAGCACAAGCTTGTCATTTCTCCACAACGAACGCCTTAGACTCGATACAAAGGCTCGTTGGAAGTGTCTAGTCTTGAGCTGATATACGGATATTCCGTCTTTCTTGCGCTACCCATTCGATCGAAGTGGAAGGTACAAATTCACTGTCTTTGAGCTTGGCTGCGCAGGCGCAAAACCGCATACTAATCTTCCTCCGCCGACTAGAAACCGTCCAATACAACACTCTAAGGCCTAGACGGAGGAGAATATGTCGAAATCAAAGGATAGCGGCCCTTCCGGCAGCTACCACCAAGAATATATTGCGTCTCTGAGGTATCGCAATGACCTTCCCCCGCCAGAGATGCCCCCAAAGTTTCTAGACATCCCGCACGAAGGACTGGAGCGATTCCTAACCGCGGGCTTTGCGTCCAATATGGTGCGCCGGGAAGAGCCAAATATTGATGTCGATGCTGAGGGTGGCATGCCAATTGATTTGGTAGGCATACCAGGTCTACATTTGGGGGATGAGAGTGGTACGTTCCTGGGTTTCGCAATAAAATATGAAGGCCTTTTTGAGCAGAGTGACTGATTCTTCTTACCCCTACAGCAATTATGGCGCCAGAGAATCCCCCGCCATTAGATCCAGCAGACCTTCCGCTGTTGATGTCTTTGGATCAGCTGCGGAACCCGGCACCAAAGAATGTGAATGTCAGTTTCCTAAGGCGAACACAATATATTGCGTCCGGCGGAATGGTCCGTGGTATCGATACAAAGGGGTCTGTCTTCATTGGAGGTGCTCGTAAGGGGCAGAAACCAAAACCATCCCGCGATGACCCCACATACGTCAAAAAGTACATCCAAAAAGGGTTTGATATCGCTTATCCGAAGAGCAAGCATATTGGTCCAGACACTTCGAGCCAGATTCAAGGTTTAGCACCAACTAAGGCTGAACTTGATGCGTGGGCAAATCCTGTTCATCCAGACAACCCAAAACTCAAGCCAGTTGGCTTCTTTCCTGTCATTCCCGATGTGGACGGATTTCCTGATTCCGGTGGTTTCTTACAATTCAAGTTCGACAAAACACCAATTCCACCTATTAATGGACGCCGGGATGATCGCATGGACATGTCAATTCTTATTCCCTCGTCACCAGAGCCGCGAGTCTTGCAAGAACACACTTCCAAGACTCAGCTACACAGAGCAAATCCGGCCCTTTATCCAGACCCAGGGCCAGTGCCATACGATTATGATTTATATCTCCCTCAGAAGCAGAGCTCAACAAAACAAATCCGACGAAGTCTCAACATGACTAACCCGGAACGAGATAGCCCATCTAATTATGCGCATGAAAGCTCAACCGGAGACAAATACCACCACTATGACCGGCTCCGAACATATGCGACAAACTCGCAGGTCTTGAACACGGAGCACAAATACAAGGATGTCTCCATAGTCTTGTTCGATCCAGCCGAGATACCAGAAGGTGAACGCGACTCCTTCCGCCTAAGCCAAAAAGGAGCATACTATTATCCGATCATATCGAAGACACGCATAAAACCAGAGCGTTCTCAAAAGATTGCCCGTGCAGGCTTGGCGCCCACCCGAGCCACAGTTAAAGAAGACCAAGTGGATCAGATACAAGTCAAACTCCGTGATCCCATCGAAGAAGAGTCCCATAAACGAGCAGGGCATCGTGCTCAAATTGATTCTAAATACACAAACCCATTTTCCCCACAAGAGCCGGAGAAGAGTCAAAATACAGCCGACGCACATGGTGACGAAGAAATGGCTGATAATGACCACGACGAGTAAACTACTTCAATATAGGAGCAAAACCACGTACTATTACTTATCTCTGACTGTGGCGTTATATAGGCGTTTGCATAGAAAGTACTGAACACTTCCCAGTCTGCTCGGCTGCTCGCTCAATTTCTTCAATTTTGTCTACATCACTCTTTGATATCTTGATATACTTTGGCGTTTTCAAGTGTAATATCTGGTGTCTAACTAAAAATTTTTAAAAAGCTGCAGCGCTTCGTTATGGCAAGGGTTTTGATGCCATTTGTGCATAGGTTTACATCATATAATATTCGTTCAATGTATGCACCTCATCACGTCACAGAACTTCTTTATATTCAACCATATCGAAAGCTCCCTAACAGAATCAATACTCTATCCATTGAATGTATGTATATAAAGCCATTTAGCATTCTAAAAGCCAACACGAGGCTACCCATCTAGTTCAATAGAACTTGTGTCGTCCATAGATGTTGCAGAGCTGTCATCTCTCGTTTCTCCCTCTGTATAGTTGTGCTCTGTACCTATATTGGAACTGTTGCCACTCTCGCCAGCCGCGGGAGTGGTAGCGGTGTTATTACTCACCGGCATGGCAGTACGCTGGTGCTGGTGAATTACCTCAATAAATCGGCGTAAAACTCTTGCCACGCAAACAACTATAACACCCCCAAATAGTAAATTTTTTGAAAAATATTGCGATATATTGAAACTGGGATAAACGAAACCATTCGACGCGCGGTTTTCATCTGTATTAAGAGGAGGTGAGAACGAGCTGGATGATGAATATGTGAGTGAGAACCCAAGAGGGAAAACAGAGAACGATACGCTGAACGGAGAAGAGTTGGTGGTGGATGAGTTGGGCGATGAGATATTGGCGAAGTTCAAAATAGCCGAGATGAAAGCTGGCAGAAACCAGATGCAAAACATGAATAGAAATGGTAGAAGTGCGGAGATGTGAGAACCTGTTCTAGTACCCTTTCGTAGCCTTAGTTGATAGTTAGTGATTACCTTCTCAGAGCCGAAGGTTTGATATTGCATATACTTACAGCTGTTTATCATCTTTCTCTATTTGCTCCGCCCATTTTGCGCATATTTTTAGTCTGCCGCGAACTGTCGTGACTGAAAGCAATTTATATTTCTCCTCTGAAGGTATTGGTAGCACACTTGCAAGCCAGTAAGGGAAAATGGCAGGATCCGTTGGCGGTTCACCATATGCTGAGATCATCCTCTCGTTGAGCCAGGAGGCATTGTTAGATCGGCAATTTGTCACAAATTTGGTGCCAATCTGGAACAATTTTTGCGTGGATAAAGTATTCAGATAGCTTACATCGCCATCCTCCTTAGAAGCTGAGATCTCTTCAGCTTCTATCATCTCTTCATCTGGTATGCGAATGTCGTCTAGACGCTGTACGCTCCCAACCTTACAGCCATCATACTCGCTACCAGAAAGAATGCGGAATCTATACCGGCCTGTAGCACGTATCAGAGTCCTACCTCCAGGCAGGGACTCCAGCCGATCAATTTCGAGCAAAGTACCATACTGTGCATATACGCAGTTCTCAATTTGTCCTCCTAACTCGCCATTTCGGTTGAACATGACCGAGCCAAATCGCCGACCGCCATTCTCAACCACTCGCAGAATCATACGCCGATACCGCGGCTCGAAAACGTGTAAGTAGGTCGGCATAGATGGAAAGGAAACCGTGCACACAAATAGGGGTAATTCGCTGGTACTGGAAGGCACATGTTCTTCGCTCCTTATGCCCTCTAGACGCAAAGTAACCCGGTCAGGGAAAAGCATAGAGGTAAGGGTGTCCAAGACTTTGTTTCCAGGGTCGGTAGGCAATATCATTGGTAACTTCCTCCGGCATACCGGACAGAGGCTTGAATTATCAAGCATTCGAGTAACGCACAGCCTGCAAAATGTATGGCCACAGACGGTGGTGTACGGGTCAACCATAAGGGAATAGCAGATCTGACAGTCTAGCTCTTTGAGCACACTCAACTTTATCTCCTCTAGGACCTCCTCATCCAGGTTATTCAAGCTTTCCCTGTCTTGCTCGTCGAATGTATATGTAATGTTGGAAGTAATGGGGACATGGCCTTTGGTCGCGAGGGAGTAAGTCCCTATTAAGCGGCCACCATGTACCTGAAATTCCGGGCTTTGTTCCTCCAAACTGGTTCCTGAGGTAAATATATGAAGTCCAACGGGAATATCTCGATCAGGTAATCCTTTAGAGAGGCAGGTATTTACACATCTGTCCAGTATATCTACCACATTGCCGAGGGTGATATCCAGGTTGCAATCTGCTAAACAGTGCTCCGGAACATACTGTTTGGCATCCAGAGAGCACATTGAAGGACATTCAAATCCTAGGCTACGTTCTGATGTCCCAGGATATGTTATATTGCTCCTTTGGTGTGTCTGCGGGATGCATGACCGACAAATGGTGCTTCCGCATGGCAGCTCTACTGGTGCTCTGAGCGGAAGAGAGCAGCGATTACATTGTATTAGCCGTATTAAGTGGTGATAGAACGTAGATTCACTATCCGCATCCGCTCCCCCAGCAGAGAGATCGCTAGAGCCACTCATCGAGGATTCGACTGGGATATGGTAGACCCGGGCTGAGTTTCCATGTAGTCCGGCCAGTCGACCTGGGCACTTCGCATCAAATTAATATCTGTGGCAACGGTGTATAGCAGGCTCTAATAATATCCCCATGGTGAAAAAAACATGTGTCTTCAAGTAAACGAAGCAGTGAATATAAACTTGAGGATATCAAAAAAAAAAAACATCCTCGAAGTCACAAAAAGCAACAATTTAATGGATGCCTTAAAGATGATCACGTGAGTGTTTTCATATTATAACTAGGTTGACTGAGGAAGTCTCTATTACATAATAACATAATAACTCGGCAACCCCACTAAAATCTGCCACTCCTTCTGGGCTGTGGGGGATCAAAAAGGCAAAAACGGCGTCTCTTGCTTATCACGAATCTATCTCGACGCCAGAAAGAAGAAGCACAAACGCAGACGAACCCTCGATGGCCTCTAATGCCAGTTAATCTACGTCGCATCATACCCCCTTATACGCAACCGATGCATGAAACGCACTCTCCACTCGGACAGTGAACCCCCCGGGGGCTGCTAGATGGAGATCCATGGCGACATTCCATGATCGAGCAACCTCTGCGACGCCCACGCAATACCGTGTGTTTGGTGACAGCAAGCGCTCCTCATCTAGTGCCGATGATGAATCTGCCGATGGGAGCTGGCATGATGCCGTTTCGACTACCGCTTCGCGCCACCCTGGCCCTTCGTCGTCGGGCACCCAGGCGTCGCTCAGCGCAAAGAGCGCCTCGTTAACCCCGTCCAATATCACACAGGGGAGCTTCAACTCGGAGCTAAGACACGCCAGTATATCAAGAAATGCGACTCCACGCCCGCCAGAGTCGATCAACCACGGTCGGGGAAATGGTGTTGGCGATACGGAAGCTCCGACTACTGAGCAGCGGCAGGCCATCATCCGCGGCCAGATTGAGAAAGAGATAAAGATTAAGACCGGGACTGAAAATATGCTGGAAGCCTTGCTGGCGAAAAATATGAAGCAGACAAAGGAGCAGCGTTTGAGGGTGGAGTCAGAGCTCAGTTCTTCCCATCGGAAAATAGCACAGCTTCAGAACGAGCTGGAGGAGGAGTTGATGCGTGCTCAATTGACGCCCATAGAAGCTCCGGAGGCCAGAAGACTATCTACCTTTTTCAATGCAGGCTCGGGTCGGTCTCCCTCGAGAGCAACTACCCATGCAACCGGTGAAAGCTTTGAGGATGAGGATAGCGAGTCGGAATCTCCGACAGTTGTACTCTCTGAAACCTTACAAGAGCTAGAAGCTGCAGGCATGTCGCCCGATTATTATGTCGACCGGGCAAACAATTTGGTGGACTTGTTTAAACGCTATCCCACCCTTAAATATGACCTAGAGTGGTCTGTGTTTGGCCTAAGGGTACAGGTTATGCTGCTGAGCGAAAGTCGTGATGTTGTGGCGGCAGGCTACAGGTTAACTCGATATGCAATTGCTGATAGGAAGTCTATCCAGGTGATCAGGGCCCTGCATACGGATGAACTAGTGATGCTCTCTCTTGTCAAGGAGTCTAAGGCTAGCATGGAGCGTGAACAGGCGCTTAAGTTTGTTCGTGCATTCCTAGATGTCAAAGATGGCGTTCGAGAGCTCTCACGCTCAGTGGTACGAACACTCGTATCGATAGCCGAGCACCGGGACGACCGCCTACGTAACATCTGTATCATGACAATTGCGGAGCTTCTTGTCAAGGACCCGGCACTGTTATTCTCTGCCGGTGGAATCGGCACCTTGAACGATGTACTAGGAGAAGGCACCTTTGGGGCATCTGAGAGTTTGGCAGCTGGTTTTGTTCACGTCTTGGATACCCCTAGGAGCAGAAAATACCTCCGGGCAGGATGTGAGCTGAATTCTGTCTTCGCAAACTTCACCGAGACTGTTCCGGACAGCGACCGCCATTTGAAGTTGAAGTTCTCCGCGAAAGCTATATCCGCAATGCTCAAAACGTGGCCTGGCATACTAACACTTGCCCAGAACCCAGAGAGGCCACTCCAATCACTACTCCTTTCTTTGCAGTTTCCGGACCCTCAATCCAGAGATCTGATTCTAGAACTTCTATTTGATGCCCTTCGTATCAAGCCCCCTTCCTGGTCCTCCTCGTTCCTGGCTGGAAGGAGACTCACAACATACGGCCGAGTGGCTAATATGAAATCTGACCAAGAAAAGAAACAAACACGCGCAGTTTATGAAGATGAGGATAATGCTTTTGATTTAACTGCCCACTTTTCTGGGCTCATTTTGGCCTTATTAGTTGAAGCAGGATTGATCAATGCATGTACACCCCGTGTCTAACAAGTATCTGGACTAAGCTAACTCGCGCATCCAGGTGTTATCTGATCTGATCGAAGATGAGCCTGATCTCTCCTTAAAAAGGAAGACAACTCTACTCCTCGCAGAGGTTTTAAGACGTGCTCAACGTTGCTTGCCCTCTTCCATGTGTTCCAATCTCCACCTTCTTCCTAGCCTTCTCCCGTCATCCTCCTCACTCAAGGGGAGATCCGACAACCAGTATCTTTCTACATCAACCATCTACCAAATGGAAAGCATCAATCGGACAATGACTCGATCTGACGATATATCAGATGTCAGCGGCAGATACTACGTCAGCGCCGAAATACCAGCATCTTTGTTTACAGGAGAACAGAGCAAATCCAAACTCAGTGCCACAATGGATGAAGCTCAGTTCCGCACTGCTATTTTGGACACCAACGTTCTTAGTTCTGTTAACTTCATGAAATGGAAATGGGACCTTATCCTAAACATCATCGAAGGACCACTAACAAACCCCAAACGGTTAGATGAAGCTATCAAAGGCTCCAAGTTCATTAAGCGACTAGTAGGCTTCTATCGGCCATTCAAGTACAGGTTTTCAATGGTTCGCAATACCAAACCCAATCGCCGATATATCCGAACTGGCTGTGCTTTAATGCGCTGCCTCGTCCAGAGCCCTGAAGGGTCAAAATATCTAGCCCAGAATAAACTTCTACGTCAAATAGCCGAGTGTTTAGCTCAAGTTGACCGAATGAGTGGCCTGACCTCCTTGTCGCCTTTGTTCTCCCGTGAGCAAATGGCTGATACCCTTAGTGGCGGATATTTTGCACTTTTAGGCACCCTGAGTAGCGAACCCAATGGCATCCAGATGATGGAAAGATGGCATATGCTTAATATGTTTTATCACATTGTTGAATTAACAGACCGGAATGATCTTATCCAGACGCTTCTTGGGAATATGGACTTCACCCACGAGAGCCATCTACGAGTTATCCTTTCGAAAGCGCTGACTACGGGGTCAAAGGATATCCGTATCTTCTCTACGAAACTGTTACGAAATTACGTGATTGGAAAAGTTTTGGAAGGAACCCCTGTCGAATGGGTTATTGAACTCCTTGTGACCCAGCTATATGACCCGGACGTCACTGTTTGCCAAGTTGCCGTCAAAATACTAGAGGAAGCATGTAACCAAAGAGACTACCTGGAATATGTTGTCAAGTGCCGCCCATCCTTGGACCATCTAGGGGAAATTGGCGCTCCATTGCTACTTCGTTTTCTATCTACGTCAGTTGGGTACCACTACCTCGACGGGCTCGACTATATCACTCAGGAGATGGACGACTGGTTCTTAGGAAGAAACGATGCATACGTTGGATTGGTAGAGGCATCGTTATCCCGTGCATATATTGACCAACCCCGTCGGAACAGTTTAGCTCTGAATGATATAGTCGAGATGCAAGATATTGGCCTTGTGCCCCCGCATTTTTACCGAGAGCTTGCACGTACGGCAGAAGGATGCAAGCTTCTAGAGCAGTCCGGCCATTTCTACGAATTTGCATCGACATTGCGAGACTTCCAACTTGATGAAGAAGACGCGGAGGTGTTGCTAAAAGTCAAAGGTTCGCTATGGGCTATCGGTAATGTAGGCTCAATGGACCTCAGTGCGCCCTTTTTAGAAGAAACGGATATTGTGGAAAGGATAGTGGAGATAGCGGAAAATGCAGCAGTCATGACTATGCGTGGAACGGCATTTTTTGTCTTGGGACTGGTATCCAGAAGTCAGCATGGCCTTGAGATGCTCATTGAAGCCGGGTGGGATGCAGCCGTTGATCAGCGAGGACGCTCGTTGGGGTCGTGCATGCCACTGAACCTGAGCAAATTATATTCGGTATGTCAGATTTTGGGGGGGAAACACTTACTATTCTTGGGCTAATTAACGTTGCTTTTAGGTACAATTTGAGCCATACCACGCTCGTACCGAAGAAGACAAGGCGGCGAGGAACAGATACAAAGCTGCATCCAGGGACTCCGACCCACTAAAACAGAAGATACTGAGCCTTGTCATCGACATGGGGAACACTGTTCTTGCCAAAAAAGCGGCAGCAGACTTGCAGGTGTATGTTTTTGTTTCCTCTACTGGCTAGACCGCGGTTGGCCGGAGATACTAATATGGTTTCCTGATAACAGGCTCAAAACAAACCGCCCTGATTGTTTCCGGCGTATCGACCTCTTCGAAAAGGTCCTTGTTATTCTAGAGAGCCATCATTTCCGGCTATCCGCTCGACGTTTTGCCCTGGAATTGTTTGACAAAAGCGTGGTCAGACGTATCATCTTCGGAGATGACTCTGGCTCTGATTCCGAAATGTCAGAGTAGGGCTTTGTATCTTCCCTCTTCCCCCAACTTATTCTATGTTATCTACGCTTCATGCTTTGTTGTTTCCTGCGTTCCAACGTACCACTGCGTAAAGATCTCCCGGAGTTTTGGTGCCATTTATCATTTTATGTATCTTGTTTTGCACGGAGCTGGGTCTTGGGGCTTGAATACAGCGATACAGTGTAGGATATCTTAAATCACCTTTTCTTCCCTTAGTCTCCCTTGGAAGGAGTTCACCCTATTGTGAACTCTGCATTGCTTATCAAAGTCGACGCCACTTGGCAACGCTAAATCTCGCAATGGTGGCTGGCGTTCCCGCGGCGGTCGCCAGTGATGGCGGGCATCGGAGCTGGCCGATGAGTGTGGCAGAGCTTCCTCCAAGTAGTAACCTTGATAAACTCGATATTGGGTCAATTTCTAGATTTTATCCCAAGGATAGTGATATATACGCTCGAAATCTGGTATAGAACAGTTCATCTACTGCGAGAACCTGCACTCTTGATATTTACGTGGTTTGGTAGCCCAAAGGATTCAATGTAGAGTAGTTAGAGCTGCGCCTCTATCTACGGAACTAGCCGCCATTAGTTAACAGCTAATGCCTGGTTTCAACCCCGTTAGCTACTTTCAGGGAGGCGGGCCCTTAGTTAAGCTAGTTATAGAGGCTGATCCCATTATTTCCTGTGCATGGGACTGAGACCTCTTTTGTATATAAATATCAGGGGACTTCCCGGGCTTCCTGCGTCCCCTTTTGTCTATTTGTAAGAATATACATAACTACATATATTATATCCAGTCGATAACGAGCCCTGAACTTCTATTATATTTCCTTCTACTATTCAATCCCAGAATTATACATAGATATATAGTGATGGCCTCCAGGTTAGCTGCAGCTCGCTATGGCAAGGAGAACGTTCGTGTGTACAAAGTACATCGAGACGAGGCTGCAGGAACCCAGACGGTGGTCGAGATGACCGTCTGCACGATGCTCGAGGGTGATATCGATGTCTCGTATGTATTTCGTCGCGACTGTTCCGTAAAAGCAGCTGATTGATAATGGCATATTACCAGGTATACCAAGGCAGACAACAGTGTCGTGGTAGCGACTGATTCGATAAAGAATACCATTTATATCTTAGCAAAGCAGAATCCCGTCACACCTCCAGAGCTCTTTGCCTCGATTGTTGGAGACCACTTCGTACAAAAGTACAAGCATATCCATGTAGCCCATGTTCATGTAGTGGCACAGCGGTGGTCCCGGATGAATATCAACGGCAAACCACATCCCCATTCGTTCCTAAAGGATGCCTCTGAAGTCAGGTCTGCAGATGTTACTGTCACGGAGGGCAAAGGAATCGATATCAAGACCTCCCTCTCCGGCCTCTCCGTCTTGAAGAGCACCAACTCGCAGTTCCATGGTTTCGTGAGAGATGAGTATACCACTCTTCCTGAGACCTGGGATCGGATTCTAAGCACAGATGTCGATTCTGCCTGGACATGGTCGACATTCGTTGACCTGGAGCAAGTACGGCGTTCAGCTACCAAGTTTGACGATACTTGGGAAGCCTCTCGTGGCATCATCTTGGACATCTTCAGCAGTGACAACAGCGCAAGTGTTCAGAATACCATGTATAAAATGGGAGAACGGATGCTTGCCGCTCAGCCACTGCTGGAGACGGCTGAGCTCAGCCTTCCCAACAAGCACTATTTCCAGCTTGGTAAGATAGTTCCCCTGGGATTACCTTGTACGAGAGATACACATGCTAACTCGTGTTTTATAGATCTGAGCTGGCACAAGGGTTTGAAGAATACTGGTAAAGATGCGGAGGTCTATCTGCCAGGATCAGGCGCCAGCGGTCTCATCAAATGCACCGTTGGACGTGATGGCATCGGAGGGAAGAAGTCAAAGCTATAGATTCGATGCTGTATATAGGATAGGTACTTGGGTCAAAATATCCACCTGGCAGACAGGGTCTTATGCTTTCTTATGTTGATAGAATTATCTGTACTATCTTGGTTGTACATGATATCAAACCGTATACATATTGTACATAGAACTAAAGTCTAACATCAAAACGTCTCCTTGATACAAAGGAAAGAATAGTAATACAATCAAAAGGGCCCGACAAAAATGACTCCGTGCGTATGCACTCGACAGGGGGGAAAGATAGGGGAATAAATAGATAATAAATCAATGTTGCTAATGCGAAAGAGCTTCTGTTTTCGCATTCTGTAGTGCCTCACGTACTTCAGGCATATCCGCAATCGAGGTGCTTTGTCCGTTGAACCTGACAATATTTTCCTTATAAGGATGTTCAAGCCCTTCAAAGGCTGTTTAAGAGAAGTTAGTAGAGCTTAACGCGAAAGACAGGACACAGATGAACGGTGTAGTGCTACTAACCCTTCAATCGAGCCATCCTCTTCTCCCGTAGTCTATTCTTTGGCAGCATTCCCTTGACAGCCTTTCTCAAAACCTCGGCGCCTCCCCATTTCTCAATCATCTGGTCCATGGACATCGACTTTAAGCTTCCCGGTCGAGTGTTGTGTGTATAGTACAGCTTCTGGGCTCTTTTCTTTCCTGTGGTGTGAACATTGCGACATCCAAGAGCAACGACGTAGTCGCCGCAGTCTGTAGAGGGATCGTAGATTGGTTTATGTTTTCCCATCAGGAAAACAGCGATGGACGATGCAACGCGGCCCAGGCTTCGGGGATCAGATCCGATGTCTATGGCGTGCCATGCCCGAGAATAGGCCAGGCGAGTCTTCAATCAACCCAGTCAGCATGTATCTTCATCAACCAACGCCGTCGATAAATCGAAATCGACACTCAAAGGACGTACTTTTCCAACGGTTTGAGACATGGCTTCAGGCAGATTATCAGCGCGTCCACAGTATATTCTTCTTTCTCATACAGTCGCCCAGCCTAGCAGCATGACAAAGTCTCCCTCTCAAGCCTTCTCTTTGTCAATTGCGTCGAGTTTCCTCCACCAACTTCGTCTTTCGTCTTGCTTGAAAGCTTTTTGCTTCTCTAAAAACGAGTTATATCAGTCACGTGACACTACCCTAAAAATCCCCACTAAGCGAACTCCCACACCTCGAAACTTTCAATATCGTCAATTTTCAACTCCAGCGATTCGCGACGGTGAACGAAGCAGACAACTTTTCCACATTCACACCGTATCCCGCACGTCGAACGCTGCCATCACATTCACCATGGCCAGTACTCCCAGCGTGCAATGCTTCGGCAAGAAGAAGACGGGTATGTGATTTTTTGTCGAGGCTGTTTATTGAAAAGAAAAAAAAAGGAGCCATGAATTACTGACAGGATTTACTATATAGCCACCGCTGTCGCTCACTGCAAGGTACGAATCCGACGTTGAAGGGCGGTATTGAAAGGGGATTCCAGGACACATGGCTAATTATCCGAACAGCAAGGCAAGGGCCTCATCAAGGTCAACGGCCAACCTCTCGCTCTCGTTAAGCCAGAGCTCCTCAAATTCAAGGTACGGAAACAACCTACATCCGGGGCTTTTGCAGTAGGAAAATGTGGGAAATAATGAGCTGGACAACAAGATGAAGAATGGAGGACGGAAGCATATGGAATTCCCAGATGAAGAAAAAAAGATACCAGGCATTGTTGCGGCGAGAGTACTTCAATATCGGATCTCTAACATGGTCCCACACAGGTCTACGAACCCATCCTCATCGTCGGCCTTGACAAATTTGCCGGTGTCGATATCCGTGTCCGCGTCACCGGTGGTGGTCACACTTCCCAGATCTACGCTATCAGACAAGCCATCGCCAAGTCGATAGTCGCCTACTACCAGAAATTCGTTGATGAACACTCCAAGAACCAGCTGAAGCAAGCCCTTGTCCAGTATGACCGAACTCTCCTCGTCGCCGATAACAGACGCTGCGAGCCAAAGGTCTTCGGTGGTCCCGGTGCCCGCGCCAGATACCAGAAATCTTATCGTTAAAAGTCGCAACGGAAATGGACGGGTTTATGGGGATGGGTTGTTTTGCTGAGCGCGATATTTGTGGGTTGTTGTATCTGCTTGTGTCTGCCCCCTAATGGTTGATGTTAAAATATGATCCAGCATATGGGAAATGTCTGGACATAGAATAAATAGGCCAGATGTTTTTGCCCTAAAATATTAAATCCTACTTTTCTTCTCTTGTTTAAGGATTTTTCTACTCGGAATCATGCATTATATGTTGGGAGATTTTGATCATAACAGATTATGACTACTAATCATTATAGACCTTCATACTTATGTGAGCATGCTACATGCGGTTATCCAGCATATCAACATCCTCGACTTCCCCAGCTTCACCTAGGTCAACAATCACTGGTGCATAATCCCCGGTTTCATCCTCTTCCTCAGCACCATTAATCTCCATTTCGACCTGTTCTCCATCTTCCAATTCAAGCATACCTCTTTGCACTGTCGACTCCCTTACCAGCTCCCATCCATACTCTTCTTTTACCCATGTCTCCAATTCCATAAACTCCCCCTTAACCCCCGGCACATCAACAGTCAAGTCTTCATATATTATTCTTCGGAATTTCATCAGGATATTTTTCACCATCGTGCCGCCATCATCTCCATCCATCTCCAACAACCCTCCCTCAACATCGTCGTTGTGCGCTAGTTGAAGCTTAAGAAGACGGATTGCCTCTATAAAGAACTGCTGCCTTTCTTCAACGGCCTTTTGGCATGTAAATACTAACTGTAACAGCCTCATCCACTGCTCCTGACAGGAGAAATTGATCAATGTTAGTGCCGTGAGGAAAGTAATTTGTAGTTCACCCAGAATCTGAGCTTCACCCTCACTGAGGCTCTGATCATCGATGACTCTTCCAGGGGCTCTGCTATTGTGTGTTGCCCATTCGCATATGTGTCCCAAGGCCCATGAACGATCACGGGCTGCCTCTGTCCGTTCACGCCCTACTGCGCCGGGTGGCCAGGTATTTTTCAAGTCCACCGGCAAAAATCGTAGCTCTTTCTCGTCTTCTGCCAATTTTCCACTCATTTTGGCAGCCCCTTTGCTTGCAAGGCCGGGTATCTTGTCGTCATCCCTCGCGGCTGAGCTTCCAGAAGAAATCATCCATCTAGGCCGACCTTCAGAATCCAGCTCGGCACGACCTAGTATTCGCTCTAGAACGGAGGGGGTGATGTAGCTGGAAAGGCTGCTCCATTCATCGTATGCGGGTGTGGTATCAGAAGCCTCCTGTCTGCCATCGTTCTTGTTTGTCCGAGACCGATATGCCAGTAAACCTCCAGCTGCCCATATTTGACTCAGATTGGCCCGTTGCTGCATTGCCCGCTGTCTCCCTTCATCTTTACTCTCGTCCACTAGAGCCAAATATTCCACCGATTCGTCCCAATGCCTTAGTCGGACATCAATACCAGAGCTATTTTGTCCGCCTTCATTCGAGTTTGTAACCACAAACCACTCTCCACACCGTAGCGAGAAACTATCAGTTGTGCCTGTATACAGGATATGCACTCCAACCGGGAGCTCTTTTATTCCATGGAAATTCGGGGCTGATGCGAAGGCCAGGAGATCAACTCCTACAAGCGTTTTAGCGGGGAGGTTGTTGATAAGGACTGTTGGCGAGGGTTGAAGAGACACGGACATGGGATGCGAGTATTATACTGTGCAGCCTTGAAACACCTGGAGTAAATAATATAAATATGGATGACGGTTATGGAGCGGGGGGAGATGTAACGTTTATGAAGGAGTTGAAGATTTATTCTAAGGGTGTTGCCGCAATACATATATATTTGACAGTTATCGCAGAGCCGCCAAACTAAATATTTAAGCTATGAAAGTAGAATTCTGGCTGTGCAATTACTACAAATAAATATGCTGAGTATACAGTTTACACCACTAGAATGCTTTTTTTTTTTTTTTTTTTTTTTTTTGAAGCTGCTCAATCGTCACTTGCATTTTGTAGATATATTTTGCAATATCGCTAAAATCTGCAGCAGCTGGGAGAGCAAGGTTGACAAAGGGGAAATTTTTAGAAGACCAGGCGAAAAATGCCGTTCTTCGCGTTTATTCCATCCACAGAACATAAGAGAGAGATACCAAGAGGTACTCTCTGATTTGTTTCCATCCTTTCTTTGTTCCAATCGCCATTGATACCAACCGCGGGATCGGATAACCAGGAGATAAAGGCGATATAGATCTACAAACGACGACCTCTGCGACCACCCTTACGACGAGTAGAGTCGGATGGGGTAGGGGTGACGTCCTCGATACGGCCAATTCTCATACCTGAACGAGCAAGGGCACGGAGAGCAGACTGAGCACCGGGGCCAGGGGTCTTGGTTCCGTTACCTATATAGAGTGTGAGCATATGAACAGCTGATCTCATAGGTTTAATTTCAAGGCGTGTTATACGTACCACCGGTAGCACGGATCTTGATGTGGAGGGCGTTGATACCGAGCTCCTTGCAGCGGGCGGCCACATCCTGGGCAGCCAACATAGCAGCGTAGGGAGACGATTCATCACGGTCAGCCTTGACCTTCATTCCACCAGTGACACGGCAGATGGTTTCGCGACCACTGTGAATGAAAGATATATCAGCTTCTTATCTCTTATCGGTTGGACTGCCATCAGGTCTGTATCCAACAGCTTAAGTTGCGCAGATTGGTATAAATAAAATACTGACCTGAGATCGGTAACGTGGACGAAGGTATCGTTGAAGGAGGCGAAGATACGGGCAACGCCGAAAACATTCTCGCCTATAGATAGTTAGCAACCAAGCATCTTCAATTGACAATAACTGCTTCAAGAGTTGTCTTACCATCACCGGTGAGAGGTCCAAGGGACACGTTCTCGTTGGCGGGCTTAGCGTCAGTCTTCTTCTTGGGGGCCATTTTGAATGATGCGATGGATCGAGGATGTTGTGGATGGTTCAAGAAAGAGAAGAAGAAAAAGCGACCCAAAATCAACTTTCAAAACCATCAAAAGATACAAATTAGGGCTTTGTGGGGTGTGCCCTAATCATATGACTTTTGATGACTAATGTTTGATTATATAATAAAGTGAAAGAAAAAAACTTCCAGAAGAAAGTATTTAATTTTGCTTCCTTTCTCAACTGCAGCTTTCAAGTCGGATCAACCAAAGGAAGACGTTGAGTTCCTTCAGCTAGACAACAGAGAACTAAGTCAGCTATTAAATAGTAACTCGACCTGTTCATCTATCTTGAAAACAAAAAGACAGACCTCACTTTCTTCACTAACCACCAGAGAGCACAAGAAAAAGACCGTTTGCGATGGCAACACCTAGCCAGGAAAACAGATCCATTGGGATCATTGGTATGGGCGATATGGGCAAGATGTATGCCCAGCGTCTGAGTGAAGCCGGCTGGAGGTAATTCTCAACTCACGAGATTCTCACTTACCTTCTGTCTCTGCTTTTAATCGGTATGTTTTCATTTTATTTTATTCTTCCCCCTTCACATTGATCATACATCTGGCCCTCTTTGACAGCTTCCTATGATGACATGAGCGCATTTGGCTCGAGCACGGCAATGCGCCTCTCCTACCGCTATTCTTGTGGCTGGGGTTGGCTCGTTGTTGTCACTGATGTAAACACCTTGCTACCTTAAACATTACTATGTCTGAATAACACTTTCTCTATTTCTCTTCATACCAATTCATAAGTATATCCGTACTGAATATATGCTGATGGGTGATTACAGATTTTCCTTAGTGCTGCAACCGGTAATATCTTTTCTGCTAATACGTCCCTGACATATAGAATCAACGCCTGTGATAAGCCGACCAGCTATGATAAACTGAGAGAGGAGTTTGCAAATGATGTACGTCGGCTGCTGCTCCTATCCAGCTATGCCTTTATATATCCCTAGTTTTTCTATTTTTTTTAATTATCATATTTATTCATACCGTTGTAGACCAGTATCAATATACTTCCAAATGGGCACCTTGTTTCTCGAATAAGCGACTATATTATCTACAGCGTAGAGGCGAAGCTCATTGCGTCTGTTGTCGAAGAATATGGACCATGTACGTCCCTTCTCCTAGGCAAGAATCTATTGATTTAATACCCTATGGAAACATCTGACCAGTATATTGAAGCTACGAAATTGGGGGCGATTGTAGGAGGCCAGACCTCTTGCAAGGCCCCTGAATTGGAAGCATTCGAGAAATATCTGCCCAACGACGTGGAGATAATCTCATGCCACTCACTACATGGACCAAACGTCAACCCTAGAGGCCAACCTTTGGTAAATGAGGACTTGATTCTGACTACTTGATTTGATGCATATATCTAATATGGTCGCCAGGTTTTAATCCAGCACAGGGCATCAGATGAGAGCCTAAAATTCATTGAATGCATCTTCAAGTCCTTCCAGTCGAAATACGTCTATCTCAGTGGAGAGATGCATGATCGGATCACCGCAGATACCCAAGCAGTTACCCATGCTGCGTTTTTAAGCATGGGAACCGCATGGCATGCAAACAGCCAGTTCCCGTGGGAGGTTCCCCGTTATGTTGGCGGCATCGAGAACGTAAAGATCAATATCACCTTGAGAATATATGCAAACAAATGGCACGTCTATGCAGGTCTTGCTATACTCAATCCTTCCGCCAAAAAGCAGATCAGACAATATGCGGAATCAGTAACGGAGCTGTATAAACTGATGTTAGGCGGACACCGTGAAGAACTGACGAAGCGGATAAAGACCGCCAGAAAGGCCGTGTTTAAGAGCAGTTCCGCGAAACAGGATCTATTACTCCAAGATAACGTCCTGGATAGATTTTCTTTATCTAAGGGACGAACGGAAAGGATGCCAAATAACCACCTAAGTCTACTTGCTATCGTTGATTGTTGGTGGAAACTGGGAATTGTCCCTTACGACCATATGATCTGCTCAACTCCTGTTAGTATATACAGCGCGCCCCTTAATAATTTCATACTAACCCACTGTTTGGAATTCTAGCTTTTCCGCCTCTGGCTCGGAGTCACAGAGTACCTATTTCAGAACGAGGAACTTTTGGATGAAGTGATTGATATTGCAATCAAGGATAATACATTCCGATCTGACGACCTTGAGTTTACCTTTGCAGCACGAGTCAGTCATTTACCTTTTTTATCTCTAATCTAGACCTTTTTTTTTTGGGTTATGGGAAGAAAAGCGAGCTAACAGCCTTAACCACAGGCATGGTCGGAATGCGTATCCTTTGGAGATTTCGAGTCGTATCGCGATAGATTCGAGAAGATACAGTCTTACTTCGCCCCAAGATTCCCCGAGGCTGTCCGAGTTGGCAACGAGATGATGAAGACCATCCTGGAGAAGACATCAAAGCCATCTTGAACCGTGATAATGCTCAATTGGGTATGTGCAAACGTCTACCACGGGATGATGGCGCAGCTCCTGGAAAACGCAACCCGTCTTTTTTCTTTCTTTACTCAACCAGGGCTTACATAGCCAAGCCTGTTCCATATTATTTCTCCAGAGTCATACCGGCTACCAGGCATTAGAGGTTCATGGAGCATGGGGAATCCATGTTTTGAGCTTCGCGTCCACGTCTGGGGAGGCCGCCTTGGCTCTCTTGACCATGGTGGTCCGCCTTTTCATCCGACAAATCTTAAGAAAAGCATTAGAAGTGCTAGTATCCATACATTTGGCCTGCCCATATCTTACTTCAGAGTTTGCGGCGTTCTTTTTCCCCTGGTTTCACTGACATCTATAATGATATATCTCACGAACCCGAATAATAATCTGTTACTCAACTTTATAGATTATAGTATAGATAATATAGGGGGTTCCCCGCATATCCTAGCCTCGACAGACATCCAACTACACGTAGAAGCTATAGTAGATCTTATTGACATCTATACTCGCCACCAAGACCCATGAGTGAATCGACCATCCCACGCTGCCCGTCAGCATGACAAATCCGATATAGACATTAAGGGATTTCGTTCCGTCATCCTCTTGCTCCATCAATATTAGTTGGCAACAAGCATAGCTCATGTGTCCAGGTGAAATGCTTGTTAAGTGCAAAGTCCCATATACATACCATGGTCCAGGGAGATCAATCAGCTACAAATATTGAGGCTGTGCCACAAACAACGGGATCCTGATGGAACACACCGTCCTTGGCCGCTTTTTCTTTTTCTTTATTTCTTTCTTGAAGTCCATACTATGTATGCTGAATATTTATTAGTCGAGCCTAGAACCGGGGTTGCATATGAGCTGCCAATAAGCTGACCCTGCAACACCATCCAAGGATTAAGATTGATTCCTCATTCCCACAACGCTTGTAACTATGCAACTCGGAAGCTTGCTCAGGAACTAAGAACCAACGCCCATATTTACACCCAGCTTGTGTTTTTATAACCACCGAAAAAAGCATAAAATTCGGTATTATTCGACGATTCGCTCCAAAAGACGGACAAAACTTCGTCCTTTGTGCCGTATGGCCAGCGACTCAGCCTTGGTTGGACAAAGATCAATCAATAACAACGATTCCACAAGTGCTTGCTTTGGACAGACATGATGAGTGCGGGCCGTTAGAGAAACTCCTGGATCCCTGGAAAAAACGCCTTCGGGAAGTTGAATGCAAACGGCTCGTGTTTCATTGCAAGGGGTGAACCGGGTCTCTGCTCCCTACTCGTCCACACACACACACACACATCAGCAGTTAGAGAATTGGAGAAAGACAGCAAATCAGATCTGCTTGCCTTGGTGTGGAATATATATTTATATATATACTTACATGAACCGCCGACTCTTTCCATGTTCCCTGCAAGGCAAAAAGTAATCGCCACGAGACTGATGACAGAATGATATTCAGAACCATGCAAGAGATACACGCGTCTCATGCAATCTGCTACAAATATGGGATCAGTTAACCGAACCTGTCAGAAGAACTCACTGATACCGGGGGGGAAGTGAAGACCCCAGAGGTACCACCACGCTGCTGGACGCAGAGGCCTTCTTGTCCGGCTCCCGCCCGCCCCCCCTCCACTTGATATACGGTATCTGTCAGTACGAAGCCATGTGTGTTCACTAGCAACATCGGCTTCGGGGGCACATTGCTTTTAGGCTTGGGGTAGTGCAGGGGAGGCTGAGAGTTTTGCTCAAGTCTTATCTCTTCTTGTCTGACAAAACGGCTGGAGGCTATTGGTTTGAGCATCTCTTGGCCGATGTGATGATAGCCAGATGGAACACTCCATAGTAGGCTAATAATCGAGGTGACAAGGCGATCGAAGAAGTCGATCAAACAACCAAGCCTCGCGTCATGAAAATGCTTAGCGGTTAAGAAAACTGCGCCTCGACTTGTGCTATCTAACCTTCCCTGGCCTCCAAATAGAGATCTAGGCTGGCTGTGCAACGATGAAAGCCAGGCTTTTGGGTTGATGCCCCTGAGTCGGCCCCACGACTATCGGGCAGATTAAACTAGAACCCTCTTGAAGCCGCTGCAATTATTGGGCGTGACCAACGATGTACATACATAGTACAGTGGTCCAGGATCGGGCTGATTTTCTTTTCTTTTGCAGAACCTAACCCTGTAAGAGACCTTCTTTATCCGAAGCTGAGAACTTATGGGCCGGTCCCTTGCTATACCAGTTTCGGCGTTAATCTAAAATAGTAGCCTCTAGTTAAATAGATAGTTATATATATATATATCGAGACAGCGCCTCTCCCAAGAGAAAACCCTTGCATGAAAATCGGTTCTTCCATTTTTGGCGCATCAATTTCAAGCTGGATTTGAAATAAAAAGGATACATAACGATGAAGTTCCAATCGCCTCTTGCAGGAGTTTGTCTTCTTGCCGCCGGTAGGTTTTACGGGGCCCTGATTAATTAGTGGTATGCATATATGCTAACATATTGATAGCTTCCCTGGTGGAAGCCGCGAAGACCGCTCAATTCAGACCGCCGAATTCAGGAGATGTTAGATTCCGAGTAAATATACCCACATCCACGGCGGCTTCCAAGCAAGGGCCGATATACTTCCAGATCCGAGCACCAAGCAGCGTAGAATGGGTTGGATTAGGCCAAGGAGGAGAGATGGCCGGTTCGAATATCTTCATGCTTTATTCCGCAGCCACCCCCAGCAACGTTACGCTCTCCGCGCGAGCGGGACTGGGAGAATTCATGCCGGAGCATAACCCTCAGACCAAAGTCACTCTTCTCAACGGCAGCGGTATCACTGAGGGACGGATGATAGCGAATGTTCAATGTGATAACTGCCTGAAGTGGGAAGGAGGAAGTATGGATCCAACAGACGCTGCCAGTTCATGGATTTGGGCCGTCAAGATGGGCGCCTCTATCAAGTCGAATGATGTTTCGGAGAGCCTGACGATGCATGATAACATGGGAGCTTTCACTCTAGATTTAACCAAGGCCGTTGGAGACGACAAGGACGGTAACCCATTCGGATCGGACGATGCCAACACTCCCGACTCTGGCTCTGCCGGCACCGTTGTTTCTGACGGAGGCCGTATAGCCAAGCGGTCTGCTCACGGGTTGCTCATGTCCATCGTCTTCCTGATCATGTTCCCATCCTTTGCTCTGACTCTACACCTAATTCCAGGCAAGAATACCGTCGCTCGCATCCACGCTCCTCTCCAGATAGTCTCTCTCATTGCTTCGATAATCGGTTTCGGCCTCGGTGTCAGTGTGGCTAAGGATCTGAAGAAGCTGGACTCCACACACGCCATTATCGGAATCGTTATAATGTCCTGCATCATACTCCTACAGCCTGCTCTAGGGCTGCTTCAGCATCTTCACTTCCGGAAGACTGGCACACGTGCTGTTCAGGGCATCGTCCACGCCTGGCTGGGGCGTTGTGTGTTTGTCCTTGCCATTGTCAACGGCGGCCTGGGGCTCAAGCTCAGTGGAATCGGCAACCCCGGTGTCCCCAGAGCAGGTGTGATTGCATACTGCATCATAGCAGCCATCATGACTGCCGTATACCTTTCAGTGGTTCTCTTCATGTCAAAAAAGCCCAAGCCTACAAAGGAGGACTTTGGAACTCTCCAGCAGGAAAAGGGAAGTGCGGTTGAACTTGTTGACAGGTAATGAGTGTGTTGCCAACGACCAAATTTGGTAGAAGGAGCGTTTGATTCCGGAGTTAGGTGGCCCCTTTTGTGTACGGAATATGGCAAAGAGAGAAAGATGTCTTATTCAAGAGAAATCTGCACACTTTCAGACAGTGACGGGGGGGAAGAGACCACTTCACAGCCACCGGCCTCATCGTCCTCAGAGAGCTCTGGCTGGGTTGAGAATGAGTATCTTGATATATCAATCCTCGATATATCTGTGGAAGAAGTAGAAGGGTTGGGACCTTCAGCGTCCATGCAAACCATAACATTCCCCTTATTTTAGGGGCATATGTTGAGTTTCCTTTACACCTGGCAGTAGTTTATCGGAGGTAGACCTGTCCACGATTTAGTTGGAATAAGGAAATATAAAATATAATGCCTCACTATACACTTCCTCAAGTAACCATGCCATTATAGAAGGGCCATATTTGTATCTAGGGGTCGAACTGGGCCGTGACGTGTAGATCTTAGCAGGAGTATGAGTATTTGCTTCTTCGCCCTGGCGTGCTGTCGTCATATGGTATACTATGTAGGGCACTTTTTATTCAGCTCTCGAGACTGTACATATATAATGGAGCCACTGGTTTTCGTCGCTCAACCTACGACACCAGAGCTTTGTATAAAGGCAAGGGCCTCGTAGTATACTTCCTCCGGGTCGTCGCTAACAATAATTTTATCAATATCTAGCAGGGACATAGCAGGTGTATTATATAAGGATGACATTTAACCAATCTCTGACATAAGTCTCCCTTTGCCCACGCTGGATGGTCCAGAAATAATGATAGGCCGGCAATCAGAAGGTGGCACTGTTGGCTATTAGTTAAGGCCTTTTTTATTCAAGGGGATAGGCTTACCAAGGGTCACTGTGATAGATGATCCGTCTTGTATCTTAATATAGCATATCCGTGCTTCTGAGGGCGGTTAACCTTAAGTCTGTTATGCCTGACAAGAACATCACACGACATCCTCCATTTTATATCTTGCGCCTAAGAACGCCCGGAGAATGACGTCAGTTCAATTGGTTGTTTACCAAGTAGGTTCGGGTAGACTGAAGAATAAGGTCAACCGTGAAGCCGTCCCTTTGGCCTCTCTCATCCAGGAACCATGGCTCGTTTAAAAACGCCTGCGGCTCAGTTAGTTACGGGCCGGAAAGGATAAAAAACAGACATAGAAGTATAATTAGTTAGGAGGCTGGCTCAACCACTAGAGAAGCTCTTCAGGGGAGGCTTTAACTAACGCTCTTTAACTAAAACTTCTCCTGGAGACACGCCATCTATCCAAAAAGTGGAGTGATCACTGTTACAAGGTGACCTGCGAAAAGTATCCCCTCCACTTAAGCTATCTGTTACGGGTCCAGCGTAAGAGATACCTAACGGTTATATGGATGGGTAGAGGAGCCCCAGGTAGAATATGTCGATGTGTCTATAAGCCGGGCATGCAAGACGCTGACAACACAGCCGTCGCTTCACTGTACAGCCCTGGAAAGGCGAAACAAGGACATGTTTAGATGCGATAGGATAGCCGTGGTGGGCTGTTGCAGAGTAGTTACTATGCGAGCCGTCAGCGTAGATAAGCTTCTTCGTCTCGTATCAACTTACAGTAGTTTATGTAGTTAAATAACTAGTTAGTAGAAAAAGAGAGCGTGTAGAGAGAGCTTTCCCCAGACTTCTTCTTCTCCTTCACTCATGCCCACCAACTCCACGACAGGCTGGTAAGTCCGCTCATGATCCTTGTGCAGACACCCTAGACGCTGTTGGCATGTCATGTACCCGTTTCTCCAATAGTTAGAATCTTCTGTGGCTTGTTTGTCGTTGGCGTCCGCTTTAGCGCCCACGAAGCTTTGCCTCCGTGTGATCTCTCTCTCTTCGCTCCTGGATAGCAGAGGCACTTGACTGACAACCTCCTGAGACAGAGAGACAGTGACCATGGCATCTTATGTGACAATTGAGAAGCAGTACTTTGAAACCTTGCTTAGACGGTACGTCGATATGTTATTTACTCTCGGGTTGGATTGATCCTATGTGCGAGGGACGTTGTATATACTCAAATCTCCCCAGCTTAATCGACCATGGAAACACATCCCACATTCTGCTCTCTCTCCCTCTCCTTTTTTTTTTTTTGCTCAGGTCGCACGGCTAACTTGCACGCTCGTTGCTACGTTGTAGGGCTGACTGTGTGCGTATTACGGTTCCCCCCTGGTTAATAAACAGTTCTATATCTCTCCTGTGGCTCTCCGAGCTGACCGATACCCACCGTCTTCTTCTCCTAGAATGCATCGTCTTCCGAGTTCGATACCCCGTCCAATATTTCCACTGTGACAATACTGAAGTCTGATCATGATGATATGGTTCGTGAATCTGGCTGTGACGGGATAGGTCATTGCTCTCCTCGCGCTGATTATGTTGATATGTAGATTCGCAAGTGTCGTGAATATGGTACGTCCAGTCCACAGGTTGCATCAGATCGAAGAAGAATACTTATGACTTTGCGTACAGAGAACCTGAAGAGAGCTCTTTTTCAGGGAGGGGTGGAGCAGTCATCTATAGAAGTGAGAAGACATCTATCGTGGATCTATACCCAGACATGAAGCTTACGGCTTGAACAGACACTCATCAAGGACCCAACCAGCTCACAAGCAGAGCCTATCTCAAACGGAGGCCCTCCCCCCAAGGGGAACGCTCATTTATCTCATCGGCCAACACCATACACCGAGGAGGCTGAACCAGCATACAAGTACTCTACGCAAGTGGGTTCGAGGCCAGGGACAGGGGCACATCAAGCAAGTTACAATGAGAGGTCGACAAACCTTGTCTATCCTGAAGCAAAATCGTCGATGAACCATGCCTCAACTGATAATAACGACGATGACTCCCTTCCCAGCGATGATAGATTGGAGTTACCGATCCATGGAGAAGGCCCTGCCACCCATGATTCTCTAAAACAGTCGGTAAATGGAGGTGAGAACCGTACCGTAGCGATCAAGAATGTCCCTGAGCGAGCAACGCATAGGGATATCACTGCAGCTGTTCGGGGAGGCGCTCTGGTGGATGTTTTCCTTCGATCCAGAGACCACATGGCGAGTGTCTCCTTTGCGGATACCAAGGCAGCACAGGACTTTTATAACTATGCTAAACGCTGCAACCTATGTATCTTGGATAGACCGGTAGGGCTGACGTTTTTTTTACGCCTATGCATCACGTTTTTGCGCGCTAACAAAGACGTTTAGGTCGACGTATCCTGGGGCGAGCGCCAGTATTCCCTATCAACATACCTTGCATCCCAGATGGCCAATGGAGCATCTCGAAACCTCATCATCCGTGGCGTGCACCCAAACATTACTGAATCGATGATCCGTGAGGATATGAAACATATTCACAACCTCATCATCGTCAGCCTCACATTCAATCATGGAAATGTCTATATTTCCACCAACTCTGTCCAAAAGGCTTCCTTTGCTCGTAACTGCATGATGTCTCGCATGCCGTACCGGATCATGAGGATCGAGTATTATCATGATGAGTGTGCAGGTCCACTGCCTAGGATCAAAGAGGCACCGGTCAGGGGACTGTCGCGCGCAGCTAAGCCATTGAATCCCATGGCTAATCGATTCCAGATGCTCCATCTTGACGAGTCTGAGGAAGAGTCAGATGATCAGGATGATATGGACAGCAATACCCCCCTAGGAGGTGGGATCAGCTGGCGAAACAATACGATTGCCGTCTAAGTGATCGTACGATCAATATGGTATCAAATTTTGCAATTTCAGGGTCACCTTCATCGGCCTGTCCACACTCTTTTTGTTTTCTTATCAGACATTGTAATATCCCTTCAGGCCCCTTTTTCTCATCATCTTACTCTTATTCGATACCCTGTACGTTTCCTTACCTTCTATCGTCTCTTCATTCTAGCACTTTAGCATCTCCAATTTCTCTCATTTTGTGTTTGGCATGCTTCATCAATCATTACCTTTAGTCTACCTACTTCTTCCCTATGTTATCTACTATCTCAGCCTTAGCCTCAAACAAATTGCAACCTGTACGAACTATCCGTATCTACATGCCTCCCACAGTACTATCCGTCCATTCTCTCTCATGATATTCCCTTTTCTCTTGTATGTTTCTACCTTTATCTATATCTCTACATCTCAACCGCACCGTAAAAACTATCACGTGACACCACCCGCACTAAGATAAGCAAAAGATAGAAGCGAAAAAAAAACCAGCCAAAAAATCACAATTTGAACGACAAGAATAACTTCGAGTCGAGAGCAGCCATTAAAGACAGCTTGCTCATCAGAATACAGGGGAACCAGCTCTACCGGCAGCTGCTGTGCTTTTATTCCCTTCAGACTCACTGATTCCGGATCGTTGTCGGTCTCACGCACAAACGTCCATCACCGCACACACACACACACAAGAACGAACACACAATGTCGCAAGATAACCGCGGGCGCCTACCCCCTAATCTTCAGGATGAGTCTGACGTCGAGGAGGAAGCCCTCGTCAATGATTACAGGGAGCAGGTACATTTCGACGATGGCATGAGTGAATTGGACCGAACGACTTCCCTAGGCGCAACATCACAAACACAGGACTTGCAGGCCCAGCTAGCGGCTGCAGCCACCCCGCTGGAATACCAGGCCACACTGGAGACGAAGTTTGCAAGCTACGATAACTACTGTAGTCTGTTCCATTATATCCTGAACTCGGATGGACCAGTTGATCTAGAAGTTCCCTCGGTATGTACTGTCCGGAGATAACAAGGGGACGTGAACTTTTTGGAGAGGCCGAGCTGACGATTTATGTCTGGTAGTACTTCTGGGCGTGGGATGTGATTGACGAATTCATCTATCAATTCGAGTCCTTTTGCAGATATCGAAACCGAGTGGCTCGTACTGGCTCGAACGAAGAAGAAGCACAGCTGCTGCGCGAGAACCCAAACACATGGGGCTGCTACTCCGTTCTTAACGTGCTTTACTCGCTCATCCAGAGATCCCAGATCAACGAGCAGCTTGCTGCCATAAAACGAAATGAGGACCCCATGGCTGTTGCGGGAGAGTATGGATCTCGCCCTCTATACCGAATGCTGGGATACTTTTCCATTATCGGCCTGCTACGTGTGCACTGTCTTCTCGGAGACTTCAGTCTCGCCCTCAAGACACTGGATGACATTGAGATGAACAAGAAGGCCATGTTTGCCCGTGTCATGGCCGCCCACTTTACCACATACTACTATGTCGGTTTCTCCTACATGATGATGCGCCGCTACGCCGATGCCATTCGCATGTTCAGCCACATCCTCGTCTACGTCTCAAGGACGAAGAACTTCCAAAAGGGCCGTGACGGCTATGATGCTATTGCCAAGAAGAACGACCAGATGTACGCCTTGATCGCCATCTGCGTTGCTTTCCACCCCACCCGCCTCGACGACACCATTCACTCCGCCATCCGCGAGAAGTATGGAGAGCAGTTCAACCGCCTCCAGCGCGGCCGTCCTGACGCCCTGCCCATCTTCGAAGAGCTGTTCCGCTCCGCCTGCCCCAAATTCATCAGCCCCACTCCTCCAGACTTTGACAACCCATCCCTCAATGTCGACCCTGTCGATCACCAGACTGCCATTTTCATGGATGAGGTCAAGAATACCTTGTTCAACCCTACTGTTAAGTCTTACTTGAAGCTTTACACTACTATGGACTTGAAGAAGCTTGCCGGTTTCCTAGAGATCGATGCCGATCAACTCCGTGCCTGGCTACTGATTAACAAGCAACGAAGCCGACAAATTCGATGGGTAGATGGTGGACTATTGGATGGAGAAGCTGTCAACGCCGGGGATCTCGACTATGCCATCGAAGGCAACCTGATTCACATCAGCGAGGTCAAGGCCGGACGAAGGCTTGTTGATTGGTATCTACGCAACCTTGCTAGAACGTATTAAGTCGAGGCTACCTTTTTCCACTAGCTGGATAGAAGGGAAAAGCGGGACAAGAGCATTGCATCTCTGCATTTACGGTTTTATGTGTTCCCTGAGGGTGTCGGTTAGGAACTAATGTCTAGCTTAGGCAAGAGTCATGTTTAGTTATGAAAAAAGAATGGTTCCTCTGCGTCCAGTTGCTTGATTTCTAGACGCTGGCTGATCTTGCCGTGTTTCTTGGACGTGCAAGGAACATGGCCATTCATGTAGGCGTTTTTATCTTCTGTTTTGACTTTGGACTTTTTATCACTTTATTGATATATTAATTGCTGGATTCAGTAGATACGGAATGAAAAGGAGTATCTTTATGTGTTCTTGCAATAAGTTTCTGTCTCTGGTATCACATTGAGAAGGGAGCATCGTACTCTACCCTATGTGTGCAAATATGTATAATTAAGAAGCGCAAGGTCTGCTGGTTCTAATATAGCATAAGTCCGTCACGGGTAATATCCTACATACTAATGATTAACACTTGTTCATCCACTTTATATACCTATTCCTTTATATCAAAACTTGTTCCACACCCGCAATTGCTTGAGGCACGCGGGTTATCGACGATCTTAAACTGGCTGCCGATAAGCTCTGTGGTGTAGTCGACCGTACTGCCTGATAATAGCTCAAGTGAGGCCGAGTCCATGACGACTTTTGCTTGCCCTCCAGGGGCAGCATCTGGAGTGTCCTCTTGTACCTCGAAGATGGTGTCTTCATCCTCACTGATTTTCGAGCTAGGCTCTAGGCTCATCAAGTACTGGAAGCCATGACAGCCTCCACTAGTCACTGTAATGCGTAGGTGGTGGTATGGGTTTTCCTTTTGAGTAGCGGACGGAGACGCAGCAGGATTGGTAATTTCTCGTAGACGCTAGATAGATGAGTTAGCGATATTTAAACACAGAGAGGCACCAGCTTGGTACAGTATAGTGTTGATAGCATTGAGTAGAAACAAATAACAAAAGATAAAAAAAAGACCAAAAAAAAAAGACATACGAAAGTCGGGATTCGCTGGTGGTCACCCACCCAACTACTAACCGACCGGCAAGTGGCTTAAGTACAGCTGAGCGGACGGGAAGCTCTGTTTTCCACTTCCTATGTTCGTATGTACTAGACATAGAAGAGGAGAGCGTATATATGGCGGCCACGCATAATATAGCCTCCGCAAAAATATCATTTCAACGTACCTTCGCGGCTCGGGGAGATATAGAAACAAGAAGCGGCTCTCCATCTTCATTCACTTGTGGATTCAGCGTTACGACTGTCGCGTTAGCTACGGCGGAAGTGCTAAAGGCGGCCAAAGGCGTACGCGGCCGCCGTATGAAGGCCATGAAGGGCCTCTGTTGTCGCCATTGGCTCTGTGATGAGAGGAGATATGCTGGGATGGTTCGAACAGGAGAGTGAAGAGTCTGTGATGCGGTTGCGACGGTACGACTGTGAAGATGTATAAAGATGATTTGCGGGGATACGGCGGCGGTTCGTGAGCGACACACAGAAAAGAGGCTATGTGCCGACATGCTGATATATAATACAGATGCTGAGAAACATCTATATCAAAAAACGAGAAGAGCAACTTGCTCTTGTCTTTTATTCTGGCTGAAGACTAAAAATATTAAAGATGAGAAATCGATAAGATCGAAGCTTCGAAAAACTTCGCTGTTGATTGGACAATAAGTAGTGATTATTAATTTTATCACGTGATATTCCTTGAACAAAGAACAGATGGATTCATCAAAGCATCAAAACGGCTACATAAAACAGCGGAGGATGCGGTATCCATTGACTGATCGCATGTCTGCAATTAAAAATATTTATAATGAGCGGGGTTGTCATTTTCCGACATCAAAAAGCGCAAAGGACGTCGGATCCTCATTTTCCTGTGGAATTTACCGGCTCCTCTTTGTTGACCGGAATATGGAGCAATATATATATATACCCTCACGCACTATAGGAACCTGCTATTCTAGTCCTTATAAGGTTGAAAACTCCAAGTGTACCTACAGCGCTGCTCTAAGCATATATTGATTACATATATTTCATGGGCAGCTAAATGTGAATATATTTTAGGACTACGTATTTTATTAATCAAGCCAAGATGCTAACAGGTTGATTATTACTTGAGTGGGGTGTATTTTGCATTCAAAACAGTGAAATGAAGATGAAGATACAAAACTACTCCTCTGGAAATCGCCTTATAAGGTCCGCAACACGGTCGATAGGAGCCTGTACCAGGGCCACTGCAGTCTCAAACATAGGCTGCTCGACCGCTGCGTCTGGATGACTTCTCGTCGGCATCAACACCTTGGTCCTTTCAAACGTCTGGGCCAACTGCTCTGACTCTCCTGGATCCAGCACTGCCTCCAACGAAGGAAGGTATTCGTCCTCTTCCTCCTCGATATGCATGTTCATCTTGTTCATGAGTTCGTCCAGCGTAGGTCTAAACTGGGCGTCCGAGGCGGAGAGCGGCTGGAAGGCAGCGAGTAGCTGCTTGATCCTTTGGCTCTCAGCGCGGTCACGGTTGATGATGACGCTGCCATGGTCCATGTGGGATTCGATAGCTGGGTAGACGACGAGTTCTTCTGCGACAGTGTAACGGGCTAGGTCCCAGGTGAACTTATTACCGTGGCGAGTCATGGAGTCTTCGTCTGCGGCGTTGATGGTCTTGGTGTAGTCGGCTCGCAGCTCCCGGTGGTCTGCTTTCATCGTATCTGTGATAGACGACATGATGTCTCGACTCTGTAGTAGATTTACCGTTTGGATTATGTTTGAATATGAGAATTAAACCTGGTAATCGGTTTTTCCTTTCGGGTGCGTTCATGATCTATAGACATATATATGAGGGGGTAACTTCCCTTGACGTCATGTTGACGTTGAGTGGTTACGAGGCTGGACCCAAGGATTTAAACGTTCCACAATATGTCAACAAAGAACAGATATCTACTGCTTTATCTATTAACGTTAGGTTGTATTATCAACAATGTCGCTCCAACTCGACAGCCTTGAAGTGACGGTGATCATCGATAATGACCTGGATGTGATGTCTCCTCCGCCACCCACGACGGTAGGCTCCATCTCCTCCCATGGCTCGCTTGGCAGCATTGCGCGACAGTCCACCGTCGTTTGCAGGGGCGAAGAAGAAGTCCGCGAGCTGAAGATGGAAAGCATCTGCTGTGCAGCACATGGGCTGTCTATCCTACTGGTACTTCTTGTCTTATGTCTATCTACCAGACACTAGCTGACGGCGTGAAGACGGGCACAATAGGAGGGGAGAAGAGGAGCGTCCTGTTTGATGCTGGGCCAGAGGGAGATGCATGGGAACGCAACGCGAGGAGACTCTGCGTTGATCTAGCATCTATAGAGGCCATAGTGCTTTCTCACTGGCATCGAGACCACTCAGGTACCTCCTCTCGTATATCTACGTGTATACATAACTAAGTGGGTAGGTGGCATGCTACGCGCTATCTCGGAGATCAAAGACGCCAAGGAGTCCTCAGGCCACAGCACTAAGGGAATAGCGGTAGATGTCCATCCCTCACGGCCTAAATATCGCGGTTTCCAGCTAGGCGAAGAGATCATATCCCTCCAGGCAGATCCAGAGTTCCATGAAATGGTTGCGGCTGGCGGTACGGTGAACAAGAACGCGCAGCCACACGACCTGGCAGGTGGGATGTTCCATGTCTCAGGCATGATACCGCGAGTGACAGAGTACGAGACGGGCCTCAAAGGAGGGATGCGACTTGACGAAGACGAAGATGCTAATGGAAGATGGAAAGAAGATGAAATGATCACGGACGAGCGCGTGATCACGTGTCAAGTAAAGGGTGAGTAATATATTATATAATTAAATATACATATTATGCTGATTATATACGCAGGATTAGGGCTTGTTGTGGTCACGGGATGCAGCCATGCTGGTGTCGTAAACACAGCAAAACACGCCAGAAGAAGCTGCCGGGTAGAAGGGAAAGGAGGAGAAGAAGAAAGACAGGAAGAAGAAAAAGATATCTTTGCGATAATAGGGGGCTACCACCTGGCGACCAGCGACGAGGCCACCGTGCGAGCGACGGTGGAGGACCTGAAAGCGCTGAACCCACGCTTCCTCATCCCAGGACACTGTTCAGGCTGGAGGGTCAAGATGGCCATTGAGAGCGCCATGCCTGGTCGTCTGCTCCCCTGCTCTGTCGGTGCCAGACTCACCTTTGTTGAGCAGCCTCTGCCTGCTGGTGATCGCTCTGTACCTTGCAGCTCGGCAGGATCTTGACCGTTTGATCGGTTTGCCGGAAATTTCACCGTCGGGTTAAGTTACCGGCTTGAGACGGTTAGTAAGCGGGGGGGAGAAAATGTCCCCATCTTCTCGGGTATATACACAGAGTGTGTTCTACATTACAGGATAGTTACATCTAGATGAGGCAGATATATTACCCTATTTCATCCGATTGTCGCTGTCGTAACTAGTTGGATACAATGGATTTCAGCAAGGATCCCAGCTCCCTCACACGGGAATATGCCCGGCATCTTGACGAGCTTGACCCTCTCCGCTCCTTTCGCGACGAATTCATTATTCCCTCCAAGGCGGATTTGGTACGCACCACCCTTGCTGTATCAGAGGAAGACGGTAAGCCGGATGAAAGCTCTATCTATCTCTGCGGGAACTCGCTCGGACTGCAGCCGACCTCGACAAGTGCCCATGTCAATTCCTACTTGCGATCATGGGCCCTCAAGGGGGTGCTAGGCCATACCGAACCTCACACCGACCAGCTGTCAGCAGAATGGCTGAACATCGATGATAGGGCTGCGGAGCTCATGGCACCGCTCGTAGGTGCTAAGACAAGTGAGGTGGCTCTCATGGGCACGCTGACGGGCAACCTGCACCTCCTCATGGCTAGCTTCTACAAGCCTACCAAGGAAAGATATAAGATCATCTTCGAGGGGAAAGCCTTCCCCAGTGATCATGTAGGAATTTGATGTTTCCATTCTTTATTGCTGCTGCTGCTGCTGACTTGAAAGATAGTTCGCATTTGAATCGCAGGCACATCACCATGGACTTGACTCAGCCGACACGATGGTACTCATCGAACCCACCTCAGAGGAGCTCCCATATCTCGAGACGTCTCACATCCTATCCGTCATTGATGCACACGCGGACACAGCTGCTCTCATCCTCCTTCCCGGCATCCAGTACTATACTGGTCAATTCTTTGATATGGAGACCATCACGGCTTATGCGCATTCCAAGGGACTGATGGTGGGATGGGACTGTGCCCATGCTGTAGGGAACGTCGAACTCAAGCTCCATGACTGGGATGTCGATTTTGCTGCCTGGTGCTCGTACAAATATCTGAATTCAGGGGCCGGAGCGATGGCTGGACTGTTTGTGCACGAGAAACATGGCAAAGTCACCGAAGAGGGCTTTAGGCCACGGTTATCAGGTTGGTGGGGGAGCGATAAGAGCTCTCGCTTCATCATGGACAATCGTAAGTTGCCCCTCTAGGTTGGTTTCAGCTTCGACTGTGTCACTAATAGGCCCGGTAGAGTTCCGTCCTCGTCCTGGCGCGGCAGGTTACCAAATCTCTAACCCCTCTGCCCTCGACCTGGCGGCAGTGACTGCGTCTCTGAAGGTGTTCAACAAAGCCTCCATGCCAGCTCTCAGGCGCAAGTCGGTCCATCTGACAGCCTACCTCGAATATCTTATCATCAGTGAATTCCCATCCACGTCCGAGAGGCCGTTTACCATAATCACACCCTCTGATCCAGATATGCGAGGGGCTCAACTCAGTCTCCTGCTGAGACCAGGACTGTTGGACCCTGTCTTTTCCTGCCTGTTGAGGAACGGTGTTGTATTGGACGAGCGAAGGCCTGATGTTCTTCGTGTTGCTCCCGCGCCACTGTATAACTCGTTTGAGGACGTGTGGCTGTTTGTTCGTGAGCTCAGAGTGGCATGTGATGAAGCAACCGCGAGCTAGGATGGTTTGGACCAAAAGTATACATAAACATATATTAATCCCATGTAGAAATTGCAGCGTTTTTAATTGTGAGTTTCTCGTTCTATATCATTTAAAGGCGAAATAGACCCGTTCCAGCGGACTTCGTTCCGTCTCCCACGCCAACCAGTCAGATCTTGCCGTCCTATCCAAAGAGTGTTGTTTTAGCGAAGGTCCAAAAAACCCGTAGACATCCAACTTACGGTAATAACCCCATCCCGTTGACCTTCCATACACCCAGTGCCAAGAGTACACACTGCATCGCTACGTAAACGACCTTGACAGCCACCATCTGCCCTCGAATACTCTCCGACTCCAACTTGGCAAAAGCGGCGTTTGTCCCTATTATCCCGGTAATCGGTCCCTTGAAAAGCATAAACACCATCATGATACTGAATATTTGTAAACTGTTGCCAGACATGTACATCATTATAGCGTTCATCGGTAATTGTTTAGCTGGAGCCAGGGCTAGTTCCCATGCTTTCTTCAGTTTAAGCGCATCGGTCTCGGTCTTACGGGGAGCTGAGGACGTGCTTGACGACGGCTGCGTGCGTTGCTGGAGAAGTACACGTTAGGATAAGATGTATATGTATATATTTGACTGGTTATATGTACCTTGGACACAGGCTTAGGAGCGGAGTAGCCTGGAGGATCAGGGAAGGAGGCGGATTTTGGTGCTCTGCTGGGGGCGGCGGAGTTCATGTCGACGGCCCATTGAGGGGGAGGGGGAGGAGGAAACATGCTCATCTTTTCAGCCATGACGAATATATATGTTCACAGCGTGGGGTTTATGGATGGGTGGAAGACGTATCCCAGTACATAGAAATAGATGTTGGAAGTTCGTCTTTTGATATTCATTTATTTTGGATGTTTTCGAGCTTCCTGGATGACTAATAGGATTATGTAAGTCCGGCCTACCATTTATATGTTTATACATTGACAGTATCAATGTACAAGAGGATAAAAGGGTTGAAAATAATATGTGTAGTACATATATGGCTGACGATGGTCGATAATACGAGAACTTGCTGTATTTGCTAGCTAATGTTGAGATCTGTGGCAGTTCTACTATTGACTGCTATATTGCCCCTGATTCCTATACTTGGATGCTCTATACATACAAGAGTAACTACAACAGCGATGTGATCGATGTATCTATATGCGTCCTCAACGCAGAATGCGGCGATATAGGTGACGAATCAACCTGTCATACACCTTATAAAATGCATTCCCCGAGTTGTGCCTTTTTCCCGGTGTTTCATCTTTATGCACGAAATGGTAGTTTGAGGATGGAGATGATCACGATCTGTCTGATATTGGCCCCAGATGACCTAGTCTGGAAACTTCCATCTTCCTCTTCTTCTTCTTCTTCTTGTTGGAAAGTAGAAAACTTCCCACATATACAGACTTACAGAGAGAGAGAGATCTCCAGCTATTACTTAACCGATAGCCAGGATAGCGATGCATTGGTATATTATTTCCATGCACCGCTGAGAGCTTCTTGTCGGGATCATGCTGTCTACATACAACATGTAGAGTGTCAGACAGGTTGAGCGGTAGAACCCTCTATAGTAAGATGCACTTGAACGGGCTACAGTCTCATCTCGGCTCTTGACACACGCTCTCTTCAATCTTATAGGCGAAGTTCTTGATATAATAAGAAAGAAAAGGGCGATTTCAGTCGGGGCTAAAGGAGCTCTTGCGGGCCCACTGTTCGGTCCTCACTACTATGCAAAGAAGGTCGCGAGGTACTTGCGGCGCCTAGTATTTTGTTAGCAACCAGAAGTACCTCCAAGCCAGACAAACACCAACAAAAAAAAAAAGTCCACCAACCTTCCCAGGAAGCTCCCCTTCGCGATCCTTCAACTCTTTTGCCTCCCCGAGCATCATCAACAAGAAGACGAAGAAGAGAGACCAAACGCCTCTGCAGACATACTAAAACACGCCCGGATTTTCCGGCCATAGTACTCGTCAATCCCCTAAACGACTTTGCCAGTACAACTTGGCTCGCCAGGGGGCCTACCCTACATGTGACCATCCGCTTGCTGTCCATCCAGTAACAACCAGACATCTCGAGCCGCTCTCGTCTTAGGCGCGCAAGGAAGATGAGCTCGAGCGGGGGCGATGCGAAGCTGTTCGCGAGGGTACGTTGCATTCTTCTTTGATATATACTGCCCGCCGATACCCTCTCCAGGCACTCCTCCCTCTCCCTACGCCCTCCCTCATGCCGGCGGGAACAATCACCCTTATATCCTGTGCCACTGCGCAACACCGGCAGCATGATAGTCCTTCAGTATGGAGCAGCTCGGTCGTTTGGTCAGAAAACTAACACTGCACAGGGCAAGGTCAGCGAGCTTCGTATGGAGTTGCAGGGCGGTGGCAAGAAAGACAAGAACCATTCCGCAAAGAAGATCACGCTGAAGAAGATAGTCGCCAATATGACCATGAGCAATAACGATATGATCGGTCTCTTCCCGGACGTTATCGGTTGCATGACCATACCGAGTCTGGAGATCAAGAAAATGTATGTTTACCAGGAGGGGACTAAAACAAAGAGAAGTTGTGGCATGGGGGGGGGAAAAGCTGACGGACAATAGGTGCTTCCTATTTCTTGTCAATTACTCTCGAACAAAGCCAGAGGTAGCGCTGAAAGCGTTGCCTCTGCTACTTACTGTACGACGCCCTTTCTCTTACACACCCCCCCGATCTTGATACTGACGGTAGGGTAGGATATGAGTGATAGCAACCCTTTGATCCGAGCCCTAGCCCTACGAACGATATCATACATTCATGTCAGAGACTTCGTCGAGGCAACCGTTCAGCCACTAAAGCATCTAATGTCCGATGCAGACCCGTACGTGCGCAAAACGGCTTCGTTTGCAGTCGCCAAATTATATGACCACGACAGAAGACTGGTTGAGTCGTCAGACCTGATTGAACGATTGAATAATATGCTACAAGACGAGAATCCAACGGTCGTATCGAGTGCGTTGGCCGCGTTGATAGATGTTTGGGAGCGGAGCGAATCCATCACTCTGACAATTGACTATACCAATGCCTCCAAGATCATTTCCATTTTGCCAGATTGTTCAGAGTGCGTGGCTGTACCATTCCGTATTATGTTCTGCGTGGCATGGGCTAACTCTTCTACAGGTGGTGCCAGACGTACATACTCGAGGCCTTGATGTCTTATGTTCCCCGAGAATCTTCAGAAGCTCTCCTCCTAGCTGAACGAGTCGCACCCCGACTCTCACATTCCAACTCCTCTGTCGTCTTAACGTGCATCCGCGTTATATTATATTTTATGAACTACATCTCGGACGAAAAACAAGTCACATCCCTCTCCCGAAAGCTTTCTCCACCTCTGGTCACTCTGTTATCCAAGGGACCTGAAGTCCAGTACCTGGCACTGCGTAATGCGATTTTGATCTTACAGAGGCGGCCAGAGGTGTTGCGCAATGACATCAGGGTGTTCTTCTGCAAATATAATGATCCCATATACGTCAAGGTGACTAAACTAGAGTTGATTTTTATGTTGGCCACTAAGGATAATATCTCGGTGGTTTTGACCGAGCTTCGAGAGTGAGTGGTTTTCATCAAATACGCCTTTCAAACATCTCATCTGATCATTGCTCCAGGTACGCTACCGAGATCGATGTTCATTTTGTACGAAAAGCCGTACGCGCGATTGGAAAGCTAGCGATTAAGATAGAATCCGCGTCAAGGCAGTGCATCGAGACATTGCTGGAGTTAGTCAATGCTAAAATCCCATATATCGTGCAAGAAGCTACAGTCGTGATCCGGAACATCTTTAGGAAATACCCTAACCAGTACGAATCAATCATCAGCACTGTCATCCAGAATATCGATGAATTGGACGAGCCAGAAGCCAAGGCTGCCGTTATATGGATCATTGGTCAGTATGCAGACAGGATTGATAACTCAGATGTTTTCCTACAGGATTACCTGGCTACCTTCCACGACGAACCAGTAGAAGTGCAACTAGCGCTCCTCACAGCTACTGTCAAGCTATTCATCCAGCGTCCCACAAAGGGCCAAGAACTAGTTCCGCAGGTCTTGAAATGGTGTACTGAAGAGACGGATGACCCTGACCTTAGGGACAGAGGCTTTATGTACTGGCGCCTCCTCTCTACCGACCCAGAGACAGCTAGAAAGATTGTCATGGGCGAAAAACCACCTATAACAGCTGATAGAGAGAAACTTGACCCAAGGACCCTCGAGGAACTATGCCTTAATGTCGGCACTCTCGCAACAGTCTATCTCAAGCCAGTCCAACAGGTCTTCCGTCTCGCAAGACCAAAACGGCTCGCTCCAAGTCCTGCTCTCCAACAGCCTACCTACCAGGACTCTTCAGATGCTCCATTTTACATCCCACTATCTACTCTCCTATCACCCAGCCAGGAAGTTGATAACTCGAACCCTCAGCCCATGGCACAAAGCCCCAACATGGCACAGAAACCAGATATCAGTGCTGCTGTAAATGCTGCGGACATCTACTTTGCCGGAATCGGGAACGACCAGGTAGCTGATCAAATGGCAGCTATGAGCCTAGGGGGCGGTGGTGTTCATGGTGGTGATATGGTAGGAACCGCACCAGAAAGCCAGTATATTGTTAGCCAGAACCAGCAGCAGGCGTATCAGCACAACATGGGCGGCGCCACAGGAGAGCTACTACTTATATAAAACTGGTAAGCATGGTCGGGACGGCACGAGTACCGGTACAGGGTACGGGAGGATCAGGGAAAGATGATTTGTTTGAGCAAGCGGTCATTTGGATTAAGGCATCATTTTTTTTTTCTTTCTTTTGGGGTGCGTTTTATGTATATGCCAGGTGGAGTTTTGAAATAGATAATCTTTGCAATGTGTATAGTTTCTCAACGGGTAACCAAAATATCTCAATTGGAATCAAATGCTGTCTATTAGTATAAGAGGGACAAATGCTGCGAAAAAAGAAAAAGGACGAACTTTCATACAACATTAAAGGAATACCGATTTCATTTACATGGTATTCCGACGTCGTTTTCCTCTGCATACATGAACAAATTCGTATTTCAAAAAAGTGGCCGACTCGACTATGTTCGAGCAAAAACACAAAAGAAATTCAAATGTCACATACGATGGATGGACGGTGCCGAGATCAAACGGGCAAAGCTGTCCCAAAACCTCAGGTTTTGTGCTCTCCACCCCAGCCAACCCAGGTACGAGACATGACTCTCCAAACACGACATTCGCCACTCTTCAAGTCTCCTAGTTTGTAGCTCTCAATTTTCGTCTTTTTGTTTTCCCTACCTTGTTCCCAGGCTCGTACTTTTTTCTTGGTCCCGTCCCAATCAGATACGATCCCGGCATGGTCAGGTTTCCCTACTTCAGATGAGTATTTCTGATGCATTGTGCCGCGGTGGCCTTGGAAACGACAGTTGCGGAAGGTGATTATATCGCCGGGACGGATTTCATCAAATTGTTGGACGGAGGCATTAGCGAGGTTGGCATATACTAGGGCGCCGTAGCTGCGGACGCCAACTGGGAGGAGGGCATCTTTGAGAGGAGAAAGGAGTGTTTGGATGAGAGCATGGGGTGTACCGTCTCCAATAGTAGTGTTTTGTTTTGCGGCCACTGATTCCGAGATGCGGGCACCAAACTGGGCGTGGGCATCCTCAAGTTGATCTTGACGTAATCGAGGCGGTGGTGGTTCGTGGCGCTGCTCTAGCGCTACATCGGCAGGATTTTTGTAATCAAACTGTGCAGATATGATTGTTTGAGAGTAGTCCATAAATAGGATGTAAACGTCCTTTGATACGGTGACTTTGCCCCCTCGCTTGTTCGTAGAGGATTCCTCAATTTCGAAGAGAATGTCTCGTCGACCTTGGAATACCGGAGGTGGAGTATTTGGTTGTGTCCACCAGAGGGAACCAGACGCAAGATCTACATCGTTTGCAATATATCCTTGATCAATCGATGGCCGAGAAATGTCCATGGACCGGCGTGTTGTTGTTTGCCCTCGTAGGAGATCAGCCGAGCCTCGAGATGGACGTGAAGACTGGGGGGAAGCCATAGTGTGTTGTGGTGCTTCGTATGGCATATTCTCCTCAACTTGTCTGATTTGGGATTCGCCTCGGTCCCGGTGAGGTGGAACACTAGGTGGTGCATCGTATCTGTACTGGTCAGATACTTCCTCGCGTCCCTGTTCATAGACATCATCCTCTTGGTTGTACATATTTGTAGCAGGGATCGGAGGTGGAGGGGCTCGTGGCATATCAACCGACTGTCGTACAGCCTTTGGTGGCTGGCTAGGGGGAGGAGGTGGTGGTGCTGAACGAGGGGCAGCCGTTGAAGGAGCCGTTTGTGGGATTGGTGGCCGCGTTTCTATAGGGCTCCTGGGTGAATGCGGGCTAAAAGAGTCCGCTAATGTCCCTTCATCTACACTAGAGTCGCGGGCATGTGCCTTCAGGGCATCTTTGTGTTTGGCACCGGACGCTATATCCGTATCGTAGTCACCTTCATACTCTGTTATCTCTTCCTCGCTATCACCGCCAGCTAGACGAGTCGGTGTCTGTGAACTCATCCTGCTATCATTTGTAGATTTGCGGGGGATTGGATCCATTGGTGGAGGGGGAGGGGGAGGGCGAGCTTGGGATGATGATGGCACTGGGGGGGCCGACGGGACTGGAGGAGGCGGTTGGCTTTGCCTCTTTCCTGGCCCTAACACAGGAGATGATATAGGAGATGAACCTATGGTTTGGTCCATAGACTGGCGTGCGCTCCTGGGGGGCTCATTCCCTGCAAGGTATGCTTCCTCGTCACCTTTTTCAGGCCGGACTGGAGATAAGACGGCTTCATCGTCAGCTTTGGTCCCAAGAGAGGGAGAAGTCAATATTCTTTGTGGAGGTGGGACGGGTCGAGCTAAGGTACGTTAGAATAGAAGCTCAGGGGAAACAAAAACGGGAAAGCTGTTGCTTACTTTCTGGAGGAGGTGGTGGAGGAGGGAGATTATGGGTTACTGGAGGAGGAGGTACAGGGCGTTCTAAGGGTTGCGAGTGGGTTAGTTCAGTATCCAGAAAGCTGACAAGAAAGGTGTATGACCATACCATGTGGTGTGACCGGTTCTTCGCTACCATCTTCCGGAATATCCTCTGAATCTGTAGGTAAGGACTGGGGAGGCACTGGTGCTTCGCTACGTTCTTCTGGAACTGCAGGTGGGCTTTTGGGTGTTTCCTCTGGCTTTCTAGAATGCATCCCCGGAAGAGCCATAAGCTGAACAGGAGGAGCATACGTTTGTGGGTCTGGTTGCTGATCCGTGGTTCCTGTATCTCCTGACGCGGCCTTTGGTTTTTTATATCCGCTGGTGGGCATGCCTGGTAGACCAGCTGGAGCACCAAACATGCCCATCATCCCCATTCCTCCGCTAATCTTGGCCATTCGGTCACGAAGCTCCATTCGCCGTCTGATTTCAGGGTCTATCTCTTCTTCTTGCTCCTCACTCTCCTCTTCCTCAGACTCATTCTCATCTCGGCGGGTATCGTCTTCGGTGTGCCTCTGAGGTCTTGGCTCAGATGCCTTTTCTTCCAGTTCTTCCTTGCTTGTTGAAGTTTCACTCGCCTCTTCGGTATCTCCAGCTGCTGAATTATCGGCGTCATTAGTGTCGCTGGTGAGCTCTCTAGCAGGCGGTAAGACAGAAGCCCGGTGTTTGTGCTGGCTGTTATCCTCAGTGGGGCCACTTGTAGTTGACGATTCCTTTGCGGTTTCTGAAGTCTCAGTTCTCTGCAGTTCTACTCCCATCGTTGCCTCGGGCTGCTCAAGAGGCTCTTGAGGCTCTGCCTTCTTTTTCGATGGTTTTTTCGGCTTATCCTTTTTCTGAGCCGCTTCAGCATGTCGAGTAGCTTGCTCTAACTGTTGTTTTTGCAACAGAGCAATCCTTTCTTTAAGACTTGTTGGTTTGGGCTGTTCCTCCTCGGCAGCTTCAGTTGTGTCTATGGGTTCAGAAGAGCGGATTGGTAATGGGATTTCCTGGGGCTCATCTCGCCTATATGTCTGTGGAGGTTCAATTGGCGGGGGAACATAGGCATTTTTACTGGGTGGTGGTGCAACGAATGGTTTCTTCACGAACGAGCTTGATGTATTAGTGTTGTGGTTGAAGGGTGTTATCGGAGCCGCAGACGCTTTGTTAAAAGCAGCAATTCGGTCTCTAAACGAACCAACAGTAGGTTTTTCTGCAACCGCCGGTGGTGGAGCCTTTTTGGCGGGCGCTTCCACAGGTGCTGCAGGCGGAGGTGGTACAGGCTTCTGAGAAGGCGGGGATGAGGGAGCAACAGAGCTTCTGGCCGCCTCATATGTAGCAGGCGGACTCTGTTTAGCAGTCTCACCAGTATAACCCAGATCGAGACTCCTCTTCTTAGGCTCCTCTTGTGGGATATCAGGCACACCCGGTTCAGAGGCTAACGGTGGAGATTGAGGCGTGGCTTCAGACTCCTTCCGGGTTCTCGTAGGCCTCGTAGGCCGTGGAGGGGCTGGAGGTTCGTACTTTTCGACGAAATTCCTCGGGAAGATGCCTTCTTGTTTGGCGCCCGCATCATCGGTATAGTTGCCATAGTACCATTCAGCATCCTCCTCCTCGGTCACTGTAATGATCTGCCCAATTGAAAAATTAAGGTCATCTTCATGTTCTGAGGTGTATTCGAACACTGCTTTGACCGTGAAGGGTACCGCGGGCATCTGGAAGGCTGGTATCGAGTGTTTTCAATTATCAGCGGGTTCGAGTAAACGGTCGAGCGCAACGGGCGGCTCGATGACGAGACAGATCAACTATATTGCGACCGGGTCGAGACCGGGCAATATCAGAGCGCAAAAAGAGAAAAAAATAAACAATAAAAGTCCTCTATTGCTTCAATTTCTTCAAGTCCGGCGAAATAATAAAATAAATATATGACGTTGGAGCATCTGTAATGAGCTGCGGCGGCCTAGGTTAGCCAACACCACCAAAAAAAAAAAGACACTGGATCTCTCTTACAGATATGGAGGGAGTTGAGAAGATGAACAGAGCTATCTCTCCTTCACAGATATTAAACTAACGACTAACGACGAGCTCAAGGGAAATTCTGGGTGGGGTGTTGGTAGTTGGTGAAGTTGTTTGTCAGAGAAGAAAGGCGAGGGCGGGAGAGAAACACCTTAATAAGTTGTGGCTTGTTTAGCTGTGGAGGAGAAGGAAAAGACCCCCCACACAACCCGCAACGAGGTCATCAACATGGCACATTTCACCAGCTTCGAGTTTGGCGTTTGATGATAAGGGAGCGTTTATGGGAGAGCGACGCTGAAGGATATTACGCTTCGACTGCTTTGGCTGCCCGGAATTGCACACTCGACGAAAGCCCTGGGAGGCAAGCCATGGCCGGCAGAGGCGCTGACCATGACAGCGCTCTCAAGACGTCTCTACAAGCCGTTCACGCTTCATCTGCGCCGGCTTCATCACGGTCGAGGCCTGGGTCATCTCAGTATCGTGGCAGGGGCTCGCCGGACCCTCGACATGTGGCGGTTGCGCTTCACCATGCCCGTCAGATCCAGAGCCGCAAAGAGCTGGAGCTCCTGATACTGTCACATATCGAAACGCTGATGGAACTACCTACGACACCGAATGCTACGGTCGATTCGCCCTCTGCTGAAGACGTGTCGACTTTTTTCTCTGCGATATCGTGCTTTCAGCCGTCAGACTACGACAATTTGATACAGGAACGGAACATAGACGGTAGCTGTGGCTATACCTTGTGTCCCAAGCCACGGAGAAAGGATAACGCTAAAGGGGGATACCGGATCGTTTGGGGGTCAAAGGGCAGCGGCCCCGGTGGCCGTGGCAAGGAGATGAAGGTGGTGCAGAAGGAGAAGCTTGAGATGTGGTGTTCTGAAGAGTGTGCCGAGAGAGCGATGTATATCAAGGTCCAGCTCAGCGAGAAACCAGCTTCGGAGAGGATGGCAAATGGGAGCAGGAGCTTTGTCTTGCTGGATGAAGTCAAACGTGCCGATTCCTCGAGATCACATACCGAACAGGCGGTTGACAGCATGAGAACAGTGGAGGAGAATTTCCAGGGGCTTACGCTACAGGGAAATCAAGCCTATAGCCACGATCATCTATCTCGTGAACTGCAGGAGTTGACGATGCAAGATCGAGGGGCTCAGTCGTTAGATCCTCGTGGCCAGAGCGGTGCTGGAACAGGTTTACTCACACCAACAGTTGTTGAGAGAGATACCGATGATTCAAGATACCCCAAGGCCCCCGTTTTCCAGCCTGACAGTGCACAAGGAGGCTCTGTGGAGGGTTTTCATCCCAGACAGGACACACAGTTTAGAAACTGGGCCCCCAACAGAGATGGTGATGGAGACGAAGATATGGATGACTTATTGCCGCAGATATAAGACAGCTTACAGGTATTTGGAGTATTATATGGGCGTTGTTGGGTGGAAACGCAAAGATACCCTTTGGCTTCTTTTTCTTTTATACATGTCCATCTTGTGCCGAAATATGGCGTCCTTTCAAAGCGTTTCTTGCATTTCATTCTTTATATTGGGTAACTGGGATAACTTACCATGATAACGGATATCGTCCTGGCAGGTCGGGCATGTAGTATATTACTACGGGGCTTATAATGAACTTTTTGGCAATCAAGCTTCATCCCAAAGGAATCTGCGACACCTTGTATTTGTAATTTTTTTATATTAGATATTGGCACTCTAGGCGATGAATTCATGAACAAGGCCCGGATATTTTGACCCAAATTCCCACCACCGCATAACTCCTGCCATTTTGATGGAATCGATTTAGCGACGGTCGAATCGTCGACCATCGGGGTTCTGCGTTTGCTGAGAGACTGGGATAACGTTGACCTTGAGGGCATCAAACTGGAGAAAGGGGGGAAAAAGTCACGTTAGCAACTCATTATATATGTTTTCCAGAAGGCACATAAACTCACTCCGAGGCTCTTGAGAAGGTCCTTGGTATCGGCGTCAACGTCGAGCTGGCCGCTCTCGGTCTGGGAGATGTCAAGTGCAGAGATCTCTGGAACGTATTGATCCTTGCGCTCACGCTCCTCCTCCTGAAGCTTGAAGGAGATACCGCGGACTGGACCACGCTGGATACGCTTCATCAAGTGCGTGGTGTAACCGGCAATCTATATATGCATCGAGAGGTTCGAATTAGACGTTATTGCTTGGACATTTGGGCAATATTTTGGAATATTTCGAACACCCACCTTGTTGCGGAGGCGCTTGGAGGAAATGATAGCGATCTCATCGCAGATACGCTTGTTGGTCTCGAAATCAAGAGTGAGCTTGGGATAGTATCGCTCAATGATGCTCTTGGCGGATTTCTTGACGGTCTGTTCAGATCAAAGCGGTTTTCGTCAGTTTCTTGATCTCGAGCACTGGAAGATAAAGCTCTGAAGGAATGATGATCGTATACCTTTGTCCTAACGCGACCCATGTTTGCGGTGTTGTCTCTGCTTGAACTGCGGGTTTTGATAAAAGGTACAGTTGCTTCGTTCAAGAAATGTTCGTGATGCTTTTTTCTTTTTACTTGATAAGTGGAAGCTCGCTTAGGGCTAGTATAGCACGTGATGTAATACCATCATGATGATTACCTAATATACTCTAAAGGGGATATCAAATGGCTGCATACATAGTAGATAGGAAGAGAACAGCTAAAAGGTGTAAATTGGCAGGGGATAATAATACATTTGTTTACAAAAAGAAAGCAAAGCATGGGCTCTCTCATATCTTGTCGTCAAAACGGGAAAAAGTTGCCCTCTTCGTGATGAAAGAGGGCACATTTTCCTCTGCATTCTGTACTCCAATAAGAGCCTTTGCAGAACTCGTTGCGCCGTCGACACGAAGTAAAACTCTGCCCTTTGCATCTACCGTAGCCTTTTCAACCTTGACCCAGTACTTTGCACCGCCGGGGACGTCCGGATCGAATTGGATCGACCCTTTTAGGCTATCGAAATCTCTAGCCGCAGACGGGCCAATGTCGTCTGTCACAAATCCAGCGACACCAACCATGCTCTTGGATGATCCTCCCCTACCGCGGCCTCTTGCACGCAACAATCGAGCTTGGACTGGGCGTGGGTTCTGCTGGGGACCGGCGATAGGATGGTTATCGATATGGGACCTGGTGCGTAGGTAGCTCAGACCCGCGGATGGATGGGTCTGAGGAGGTCCGTCTCGCGCATACTGGGGTGACGATACATCTGATGGCCCAGCAACCCAGTTACGTAGGTGAATACGCCGATCGGGAACCTTCGGTGGCGTAGCTAGATCAAGAAACTTGTTGACCTCTGGGCCAAGTGCTGCAGGATCCGCACGAAGGGCCAGAAGAGCGGTCTCGAATTCGGCATCACTCAGCTTTGTCGGTATATCCGCACCCTCGAGCGACTTTCCCTCGTCCATCAACCGTCTCCTGGTTTGCAAGGCTTTGTTCTCTATGATAATCTCGCGGAGTCTGCGTAGGAACTCTGGCTTCTGCTTCCGCACTTTCTTCAGATATCTCTGGAATTCAACTTCCGTCATTCCGGCTAGCCATGGTCCCTTGAATCTGTACCTTAGCTTCTTTCCGGCACTCTGATCTCCGGAGGCTGTGATGTTATCGGTCGAGCTTTCAAACACGCTCGTGTGGCGACCGCTGCCCACTAAGGATGAGGTGCCATGCGTCGTCGAAGATATAGGGAGGGACAGCTCCTGGTACTTCTGAAGGGTGAGGGCGTGATCGTTGGCAGAGTGGAAATCGGTGATGTGTTCGTAGGTATCAAGATGGTTAATCCGGACAAGGGGGTTCGAAGAGCTGTTGATGGTGGATTTGGCTGGTAGAGGCCGCTTCAGACCCCAGTCTCCTCTTGCCAGAGAGGCTGGAGGCGTCTCAATCGTAGCTTTTGTTGGGTATGGGAGAGTCGCAGTGTCCGACCAGAAGTTGTAGTTCGAGCTCAGAGACGGGGATGGCGCAGAGAGAGAAGACGGAAGCGCAAACAGGCGAGATTTGCGCAGGAGATTTGTGGTGGGCGATATCCTGGCCGCCATAGTTTCGACTGATGGCAGCTGTCGCCTTCAATTGCTCTCCAAAAGACGGCTGCGTTTCTTCTTCTTGCTCTGCTTCTTCGACTTCAAAAGTTTTTCCAGTCAAAAGCTACTACACGTGACTCTTGCTTACCTCAGCGTCCAACTAAGCCTCCCAAAAAGAACCCGCCGTCCATAATTATAATGTTGGAGATTCACAAGCACTGAAGCAAGTTGTCAACTTGTTTTGGCAGCTGATGGAAGAGCTGGCTACAAAGGATATGAATCGTGCTGCCTCTTCAGCTTCCGTACTGACGTGCTGAATGTGGCCCATGGTTTACCTACAGGAAGCTAGTTGTGTAGCCCGCCTTTCGACCGCGATATCAAAACATGGCGCAAGTTGCCCCAGCTGCAGATACAACCCAAAGACTCTTTCTCGAGCTCAAGTCCAAGAATGAGGATGTTCGGAATAGAGCTGCTACCGAGCTTTACGACAATATCATCGCAGCCTCTCGAGGTAAGGCAGCTAAAGTTGTATCCATTTCGAGGATCCCCATATTGATTCGAGATCTTTCTACTCGCAGAGCTGCCTCAGGATAAATTTCTCGACCACTACAACTCTATAAACCAGCGTATTGCCCAGTTTATCGTCACTGGAAATGATGCGAACGAAAAAATCGGCGGTTTGCTTATGCTCGACCGGCTGATCGAGTTCGATGGCGTGGACACAGCACAAAAGACCACCCGGTTTGCCAGCTATCTACGAAGCGCTTTAAGGAGCAATGATAACTCGGTATTGCTCTTCGCGGCAGGATGTCTCGGACATTTAGCCAAACCAGGTGGCGCGTTGACGGCAGAGTTGGTCGAGAGTGAGATTCAGTCGGCGCTAGAATGGCTGCAGACAGAACGCCAGGAGAACAGGCGTTTCGCGGCAGTGTTGGTTATTCAAGAGCTCGCAAAGGGTTCTCCAACCTTGCTATACGGGTTCATTCCACAAGTCTTTGACCTCATCTGGGTCGCACTGCGGGATCCAAAAGTGGTTATTCGGGAAACTGCCGCTGATGCAGTTAGTGAGTGTTTTGAGATAATTGCCGCCAGAGATAGCTTGGTTCGATCACAGTGGTTCTCGAGGATATACGACGAGTCATTGTTGGGCTTGCGGTCAAACAACGTGGACTGGATTCACGGATCTCTTCTTACACTAAAGGAGCTACTCCTGAAGGGGGCAATGTTTATGAATGAACATTACCATAACACCTGCGAAATAGTGCTGCGGCTGAAGGACCATCGTGATCCCAAGATCCGCGCTCAGATTGTGCTTACTATACCCGTTCTTGCATCTTACGCACCTCTCGATTTTACAAATACATACCTCCATAAATTCATGATATACCTTCAAGCACAACTGAAACGAGATAAAGAACGAAATACCGCCTTTGTTGCTATTGGAAAGATTGCGAGCGCTGTCGGTCACGCCATCGGGCAATTTCTGGATGGAATCATCGTATATATTCGTGACGGCCTTGCGCTGAAAGCGTAAGTATCCCTAACTCCGTTAACTAAACCCAAGCTTATCCAAAATTATAGACGGAATCGTGCTGCCGTAAATGAAGGCCCGATGTTTGAGTGCATCAGTATGCTTTCACTGGCAGTTGGCCAAACGCTCAGTAAATACATGGAATCGTTGCTCGACCCTATCTTCGCCTGTGGGCTTAGCAAATCCCTTACCCAGGCTCTTGTCGACATGGCACACTACATCCCACCCATAAGGGCCACTATCCAAGAAAAGTTGCTGGACATGCTTAGCATCGTCTTATGTGGAACCCCTTTCAGACCTCTAGGGTGCCCAGAGAGTCGGCTACCTCCTATACCCTCGTTTGCAAAGGATTTTGGCTCCTTGCCCCAAGACCGTAGTGATGGCGAAATAGCCCTCGCGTTGCACACACTTGGAAGCTTTGATTTCTCCGGTAAGCACCCCCTCGTCAAATGAGAATGGTCTATTAACGTCCCTAGGTCATGTTTTGAACGAATTTGTTCGTGACGTGGCGATAAAATTCGTTGACAACGATAGCCCCGAAATCAGAAAAGCCTCCGCTTTAACTTGCTGTCAGCTTTTTGTACATGATCCTATCATTAACCAGACAAGCGCCCACTCGATACAAGTGGTTAGCGAGGTTATCGATAAGCTATTATCTGTCGGAGTTGGCGACCCCGACCCTGACATCAGAAGAAATGTGCTATTCTCCCTGGATAAGAAATTTGACCGTCACTTAGCCAAACCAGAGAATGTTCGATGCTTGTTCCTTGCGGTTAATGATGAAATGTTTCCGGTTCGGGAGGCGGCCATAAGTATCATCGGTCGCCTGTCGAGCGTCAATCCCGCTTATGTTTTCCCACCTTTGAGAAAACTCCTTGTCAACCTGCTGACTGGCCTCAGTTTTGCTACCACCTCTCGGCAAAAAGAGGAAAGTGCTCAATTGATCAGCCTCTTCGTATCCAACGCTACCAAACTTATTCGTTCTTATGTTGACCCAATTGTCACAACACTATTGCCTAAAACATCGGATGGAAACGCTGCGGTAGAAGCCACAACCCTCAAAGCCATTGGAGAGCTGGCAACAATAGGTGGTGAAGATATGAAACAATATCTCCCCCAACTCATGCCAATCATCCTGGATTCCTTGCAGGATCTCTCTTCTCAAGCTAAGAGAGAAGCTGCCCTAAAAACTCTTGGTCAGCTGGCAAGTAACGCAGGATATGTTATTGAACCCTACAAGGAGTACCCACAACTTCTATCCATTCTCATCAACATAATCAAGACAGAGCAAACGGGAGGTTTGCGGAAAGAAACCATCAAACTCATTGGAATATTAGGGGCCCTCGACCCTTATAAAGATCAGGTACCTATTCCATATACTCCCATGATAATGCTATACTGACAGTATCACAGCAAATAAGTGAAACGTCTCCTGATGTCCATTATATCAATGAAGTTCAAGCCGTTTCCGACGTTTCTCTTATTATGCAGGGCCTCACACCCTCTAACGAAGAGTACTATCCCACCGTTGTCATTAATACTCTTCTCCACAATATTTTACGGGAAAGCTCTCTTGCTCAGTATCATTCTGCTGTGATCGATGCAATTGTCACAATGTTCAAAACTCTTGGTCTCAAATGTGTTCCATTCTTGGGGCAAATTATACCCGCGTTCATATCCGTCATCAGGAGCACACCTGTCAGCCGACTAGAAACATATTTCAACCAGTTGGCTATTTTGGTGACAATTGTCAAGCAACATATCCGTGCCTTTCTTCCAGAAATAATCGAGGTCATTCGCGACTATTGGGGATCTCCGTACCCTGTGCAATGTACAATATTATCACTGGTGGAGGCAGTCGCCAAGTCATTAGAGGGCGAATTTAAAAAATACCTAGCTGCACTTGTACCCTTGATGCTGGATACTGTTGAAAAAGATAATTCTGTCCGGCGACAGCCCTCTGAGAGAATTCTTCACACCTTCTTGATATTTGGGTCAAGTGCTGAGGAATACATGCATCGTATTGTCCCAGCCATCGTCAAAGTCTTCGACAAGACCCAGAATCCCCCTAACATTCGAAAATGTGCCATTGAAACATTGGCGAAGCTCTCAAGGCAGGTCAATGTATCCGACTTCTCGTCACTTATGATACATCCGCTTTCGAGGGTCATAAATAATGCCGAGAAGCCATTGCGACAAACTGCATTAGATTGCATTTGCACTCTCATATTCCAACTTGGCCAGGATTTTAACAATTATGTTCCACTCATCAACAAAGTTCTCAAGTTCAATCAGATCCACCATCACAACTACCACATCCTTGTTTCAAAACTACAGAAAGGAGACCCGTTGCCGCAGGACCTCAACCCCAATGAACACCATAGCAACCTGGTGGAAGACTCAGCCTTTGCGGATGTTGACCAGAAGAAGATATTCGTTAACCAACAACATCTTAAAAACGCCTGGGATGCCACCCAAAAATCTACTCGCGAGGACTGGCAGGAGTGGATCCGACGTTTCAGTGTTGAGTTACTAAAAGAGTCCCCGTCCCATGCTCTTCGCGCTTGTGCAAGTTTAGCTGGTATTTATCAACCACTTGCTAAAGATCTTTTTAATGCCGCCTTCGTTTCCTGCTGGACAGAACTGTACCATCAGTACCAGGAAGAATTAGTTCATTCAATTGACTTGGCTCTTACTTCTCAGAATATCCCCCCTGAAATTCTACAAATACTCCTCAACTTAGCTGAGTTTATGGAACATGATGACAAAGCTCTACCAATTGATATCCGGACGCTTGGAAAATACGCTGGTAAATGCCACGCCTTTGCAAAAGCACTGCATTACAAAGAACTCGAGTTTGAGCAAGACCAAAACTCTGGAGCCGTGGAGGCTTTAATCAGCATTAATAACCATCTTCAGCAGTCTGATGCTGCAATTGGTATTCTTCGCAAAGCGCAGGCGTATCGAGATGTAGAGTTGAAGGAGACCTGGTTTGTGAAGCTTCAGCGATGGGAAGAAGCTTTAGCTGCTTATAAGAGACGAGAATTAATAGATCCTGACTCCTTCGAAGTTACAATGGGCAAGATGCGATGCCTTCATGCCCTTGGAGAATGGAAAATGCTTTCAGACCTTGCCCAGGAGAAGTGGAATCAAGCTTCAAACGAGCACCGTAAAGCAATTGCGCCACTTGCTGCGGCTGCTGCATGGGGAAGAGGTCAATGGGAGCTTATGGATTCATACATTGGAGTTATGAAAGAGCAATCACCAGATCGTTCATTCTTTGGAGCAATTCTCTCGCTTCATCGCAATCAATTCGAAGAAGCATCGGCTCTCATTGAAAAGGCTAGAAACGGCCTAGACACCGAACTCTCTGCTTTGCTGGGCGAGTCATACAACAGAGCTTATAATGTTGTTGTTCGTGTCCAGATGCTTGCTGAGTTGGAGGAGATCATAACGTATAAACGAAGTGTGGATGATCCTGAGAAGCAAGAGGCAATGAGAATAACATGGAACAAGCGACTTCTCGGCTGCCAGCAGAATGTTGAAGTGTGGCAACGCATGCTCAAAGTCAGGGCTCTTGTTATCACACCTCGTGAGAATCTTGATATGTGGATCAAATTCGTCAACCTCTGCCGCAAATCAAACCGAATGGGACTTGCAGAACGCTCTCTCAGTGCCCTCGAATCCGTAGAAACATCAGAAGGTGGCATTCCTCCAGAAGTGACGTATGCACGTCTAAAATTCGACTGGGCCTCAGGACGGCAGGCCGAAGCTCTCCAGGCTCTAGAAGAATTTACTATCGCACTCACAGAATCATATGGACGATATAACTCAATACTCTCTGCCCAGGATGAGCATACCCCAACCGAAGGTCCATCCCTCACCAACGGCATCACTGACTCCAATCATACAGACGCCGGATACAATAAACAACACCTTGGTGATGCTAATAAGATCCGACGGCTTCTTGCAAAGAGTCATCTTAAACAAGGTGAATGGCAGACGGTGTTACAGCGTGGGGACTGGAGATCTGACGGCGTCCGCGATGTTCTAAACTCGTATTCTGCAGCTACCCAATACAACCGTGATTCATACAAGGCCTGGCATGCATGGGCCCTTGCAAACTTCGAAGTTGTTAACTCCCTTACATCACAACCCGACAGAGACCCTCCCCATCACATTATTCTTGAGCATGTTATGCCCGCTATACGCGGATTCTTCCGTTCAATTGCACTCTTGTCCTCAAGTACATTGCAAGATGCTCTCAGACTGCTCACTCTTTGGTTTACCCATGGCGGCGACCCTGAAGTCAATGCCGCCGTTGTCGAAGGTTTTTCAACCGTAAGCATCGACACCTGGCTCGAAGTTACTCCCCAGCTCATTGCCCGCATAAACCAACCCAACCCTCGAGTTCGTGCTGCTGTGCATAGGTTACTAGCTGAGCTAGGCAAAGCTCATCCCCAAGCACTCGTTTACCCATTGGTTGTTGCCACCAAGTCTAACGTGGTCCGCCGTTCCCAGTCCGCTATGACCATTATGGACAGTATGAGAGCACATAGCTCGCGTTTGGTCGAACAAGCTGAGGTTGTAAGTGGTGAACTAGTACGCGTTGCAGTATTATGGCATGAACTATGGTACGATGCCTTGGAAGAAGCCTCGAGGCTTTTCTTCACAGATCATGATGTTGAGGGCATGTTGTCAACACTTGCACCGCTTCATGATATGCTAGATAAAGGCGCAGAAACTCTACGAGAGGTATCTTTCGCTCAAGCTTTCGGCAGGGACCTAGCTGAGGCCAAGCACTTCTGCAACTTGTATCGCGAGACTGGGGAGATGGGAGATCTTAACCAAGCCTGGGATCTATATTATAATGTGTTCCGCAAGATTTCCCGACAAGTGACACAGATAAAATCTCTCGACTTAAAATACATTTCACCCAAACTCAAGGACATCGTTGATCTTGATTTGGCTATACCTGGCACATATCAAAGCGGACGGCCTATTATCCGAATTCAAAGCTTCGACAGTGTTGCCATGGTAGTCCAAACAAAGAAAAAACCAAGGAAGATGATCATCAGAGGAAGTGATGGGAAATCATACATGTATGCGCTCAAAGGCCACGAAGATATTCGACAGGATGAGCGAGTTATGCAGTTGTTCGGATTGGTAAACACACTTCTAGACAACGACAGCGAATGTTTCAAGCGCCACTTGACGATTCAAAGACTCCCCGCAATCCCACTTTCACAAAACTCAGGGTTGATTGGGTGGTGCTGCAACTCAGACACTCTACATGCGCTCATTAAAGAATACCGTGAGAGCCGTCGCATTTTGCTCAATATCGAACACCGAATTATGCTTCAAATGGCTCCTGATTATGATAACTTAACCCTCATGCAAAAGGTGGAGGTGTTTGGATATGCGATGGATAACACTACCGGCAAAGACCTGTACCGAGTTCTATGGTTGAAGAGTAAGAGCTCTGAATCATGGCTTGAACGACGCACCAACTATACACGCTCTCTCGGAGTTATGTCGATGGTCGGGTATATTCTTGGCCTGGGTGATCGGCATCCGTCCAACTTACTCCTGGATAGGATCACTGGGAAGATAGTTCACATTGATTTCGGTGATTGTTTCGAGATCGCAATGCATCGTGAGAAGTATCCAGAGAGGGTTCCATTCCGACTGACCCGTATGCTCACATTCGCAATGGAAGTCAGCAACATTGAGGGTAGTTTCCACATCACTTGCGAGGCTGTCATGCGGGTTATACGGGAAAACAAAGAGTCTCTAATGGCCGTTCTTGAAGCTGTAAGTTTTTTCATTTCTTTTTCCTATATTAATGTTTAACCAAACCACTAACTTTCCTCGCTAGTTCATCCATGATCCCTTGATCAATTGGCGTCTAGGAGCACGCGAATCTCCCGCCCGACCTTCTATTGTGGATCGTCACCCGCCCACTGAGGCTAACTTGGATAATCCTATCCAGCCGAGTACCTTTTCCCGCCGCCGCCCATCAATTCTCGATGGAGGCATTCTCGATGCCCAGCAAGGCATCCCCAACGAAGGGCGTGAAGTTCAAAATGCCCGAGCACTTCAAGTGCTTGGGCGAGTCAAGGAGAAACTGACTGGGCGCGACTTTAGAACACCCGACGAACTCAATGTCAGCGACCAGGTCGATAAGCTTCTAGTCCAAGCTACCAGTGTTGAAAACCTGTGTCAGCATTATATTGGATGGTGCAGCTTTTGGTAACAATGTTTATAGAGGTCGTCATGATCGGTTTCAGCCCACCAGATTTCCCCACCCTTATCCCTTTTCTTTTAGACGCTTTTCCTTCTCCATTACACGCGCTAACTATTTACCTCTGGTGATATATCTTTTGACGAATTTCATAGTAACGATCTGCTTGGGATTGACTCCTTATGCTCATCTTCCTGTTTTACTATGCTCATAGCTTATCTTTCTATTACCTTTCCTTATTTTTAACTCTTGTCGTCTATAGATCTAATCTCAGCAATACCCTTCATAATCTCTCTTAATTTAGTATGCCAAACATATTCCTCAGTATGATCTGTGATGTTGACCCAGTGATGCAGTAAATGAATACAACCGGGGATTTACCCGAGGTCGGCGCTAAGGTCACATGTGAAGCGCTTGTTGGTAACATCGAATTATCGCAACTCTAGAAAAGACATCAACGGTCATATCGAGAGGCACCTATGAGACTCGGTTAGTGACCGGATTCCATCATCTTATGTGGATTACAAAAGAATAGGCGCGATCATGGCCTCGAACCCGGATCCAGATGCGCAACGCAATCCCCCCGACCTGCGATGGAAGGCCCGAAGAACTATCCTACAGCTCCTCTGCTCAGCCGAGGAGTATCGAGTTCTTTATGAATCTGTCATCCAGAATCTCCCTCAATCTATACAGGCTAGAGCATTCTCGCCCGCTACTTTTGGTAATATCGTTAAATCGAAAGATAAATATACCATCGCGGCTCTACGCTCCTCGATCAGGGTCTTTTGGCTGACGCGAATGGGGATGAAGCTACTGGATTTTGTTACCAACCGAATCCTTGCGAGGGCTCGAGCAGGAACGTACGTTCAGACAATTGCATTCGATGCAATTTACAGTATATAACTAATATATTTACAACAACAGAGAAACCGTTAAAGTGCCATTTCGCGACTCTCCCGCGTTCCGACTCCCTCTCTCCTTATCGTTGATGCTACTTTTCCACCGATTATTGCATCGCTTTTTCTACCGACTACGCGCGAATTTGCGGACAGATAGCGCCCGGCCATTTCGAGAGAGGAATCCACGTATATCAAGGGCACTGACGTCGAAATATGCGCCAGCTATAGGTGCCAGCGTGGCTGGTTTCTTCCTTGGGGCATACCCACAAAGCCAGCTCCGCCTTACACTAGCTATATATACGTCTACCAGGAGCTTAGAAGTTCTGTATAACACTCTAGTAGAGAAAGGATGGTTCTCTTTCCGGCCATGGTGGTTTGGAAGTTGGCTTCTAATGCCACTTTCTATGGCCCAGCTCTTCCATGCATTTATATTCGATAGAGAAGCTGCGCCTGCGGTAGGTTACCATGATGCATCCTTCTGATAAATTCTTTTGAAGCTAATATTATGTGTTTACAGTGGTTCGGAAACCTCACTCTGCAGTATACTCCGGGGTATATAAAGCGGCGCCCTGTTGGACTTCCAGCAATGGTGGCATGGCCAGAACCATTTGAGACCGTTGATGCATTGGCAAAAGTGGCAGAATTAAAGTGGCCGTATGACACCTACACCCCCAATTTTGACCATTCTAACAGCAGTAAACTAATACACGCTTCTCTTATCATAAGACCATTCACCTCTCCTATTCTTCATCCAACCATATCAGACACACTTCCTGCCGCGCTTCAATCGATTTCACCTATCACGTCTCCCGCCCACCCAGCTATAGCCTCTCTATCCTGTGCTCTCCTCCATCCAAAATCTCCTTCGTGCTTGACCGCTTTCATACATCAAGTTCTTCTTTCTATCCCTCCCCTCATCCGTTCTATTGCTAAGGTTTACTTGGCTCTATCACTTCTCAAGCTCAAGTCATTCGTTACAGCACCGATTACCTCAATTAATGAGCTATGTCGAAAGATACTATCCGCCACGGCAATTATATGCTCGTCTATTGGTGCTGCGTGGGGAAGTGTTTGTCTCTTTAACATCATTTTACCACGGAAACTACTCCCGACCCAACGGTTCTATCTCAGTGGCGCTATCAGCGGCCTGCCATTTGCAGTACTCTGCGGTTCTGGCTACCGAGCTCACTTCCTTTATTTGTTCCGACAAGCTGTTGAATCCGCCTGGAAAACTGGAGTCAAACGTGGACTCTGGCGCGGTTATAATGGTGGTGACTTATGGGTAACTGTGGCTTCATTTGCACTTTTGGGAGTGTTGTTAGAGAGAAACCCTGAAACCATCACCGACCGGGGATTCAGGAAAGCATTGACCTGGATGAGAGGCGATGGCTATGTCGATCTGGTTGAACGCCGTGCGAAGAAGAGCAAAAAGACTTCAGCAGAACAAACCGGGCCAGTCTAGATAATCTGGATATAATATACTATCGTGGTAAGGTGATATATCTCCCAAACATCACATAATATATTCCAGCCATGTGTCTTATATCCAGGATGAAATTGAAGTGACAACCGCAGAGACTCAGAAAAAAGGCGTTGCATGGTCGAAAACGGTCGTGTAGCAACTAATATTTCCAACAGTAAAACGTTCATCACTGTAGCTACTCTCTTGTATCTCCTCTTTCAATCGCTCCATCAAGGACAAAGCTATCCAAGTGGTTTTTAAATACTTTTCTTACGAAGCACTTGCCAACCTACTCAAATTTCCACGTTTGCCATGCATCGATGTCTTCAATATTAACATGGTTAAGGACAACAATTCGGAGGCTACCATATCCCCTATACGATTTCCTATCGGCGGTTTTGAGACTATACAGAGCTCGGGGGTGCTTGGAGAGGAATAATTCGAGGATTTCAGATCCCAGAAGTACTATACTGTGATATCTTTGATTCAAAATATCAAGTGGTTAGGAAACTAGGCTTCGACGTCAGTTCTACAGTATAGCTAGCACGCGATCTTGTGTAAGTTCAGCTTTGCATCCACATCTCCGCCATAGTCCTATATATTAACACATGCCCTAGAGGGCATAGACATGTTGCCTTGAAGATACATAAACGCGAGGGAGTTGATCAAGATGAGATTGAAGCATACGAGCAACCGAGCAAGGGAAATCGCTCACACCCAGGCTACCAGCAATAAGAGCAGCTCTCGCCTCCTTTACTATTGACCATCCCCGAGGCAGCACTATTGTCTGGTTCAAAAGCTGATATGGGATAGCTTTCGTGACCTTTTATATAGAAATCCAACCCAGCGATTTACAGAAGATCTTCCTAAAGCAGAGCTCGTCCAAGCTTGTTAACTGTGCTCCAATGTACGCATCTAGGCGGTTTGGCTTAACAAGGAAAATTGGAAATGCGGCTTTGAGCGATTTTGGCTCAGCAGTCGGGGGGGATATAAAGAGAAATAATGTCTAGCCTGGTGTCTATAGGTCGCCGGAAGCGATGCTGAACATTGAGTGGAGCTACCCTATTGATATATGGAATGTAGCGGATATGGTATGTTAGTTTCAGTTTCAACATACATCTGGCTTTTGATCTAATAGTCGTTTGATATAGGTCAATGGAAAGCTGATATTAAGATGTATCTTCAGGGGAGAAACAAGAAGGAATTTTTGAGCTTTATGAGAGATATGCTACAATGACGCACCGAGGACAGAAAGCAATTTGATCACCATTGGCTAAATATAGTGATTGAATGACTAAATCTATCTTGTCTATGCAATAACTAAAATACGAGGAATATGCGACTTAGACTTTATGACTGTTCCTTTGCTAAGGTTATAAGGACACCAGAGAACAACTCAGAGATGAGAAGGGGAGTCAAGCGCGATACTGTGACTTGTATCTTGGGACACTGCATTCGGCGAGATGGAAATGGACTTCAACCCCGTTACAGCATGGGACCAACTCGCTGGATCCTGGGATGAGTTGATGGGGAATGAAGGCAACGATTACTTTACTGTTGTCGAATTGCCTGTACTAGAACGCATGGTACAGCCAAAAAATGGGGATCGTGCGCTGGATCTTGCGACAGGAAACGGCCTTGTAGCTCACTGGATGGCTCTACAAGGAGTTGATGTCATTGCGACGGATGCAAGCCCAGCCATGATTGTAAACGCCCGGGCACGGGAGCCCAAGAGGCTTGAGAATAGCGAGACGGAAGTCGAGGTCTTATACAACGTCCTTGATGTGACAAATCCACTGCATTTTGAAGAGCTCCTTTCGTCTGGTGTTGCGGTGAGGGTTTCAGGCTTTTGCTTTCAGTCCTTATGAGATGAACTCTAGATGAGATCGGGCCCGTTTAACTGACCGAATAGGGACTTTTTGATATCATAACGATGAACATGGCGATCATGGATGTCTCTACCTTGGAACACCTTGCCAATGCATTACCCAAGTTGCTGGATAGGGATGGAGGCCGGTGAGTCTTCTAGCTCGTATATGGAAATAGTCACAGTGATTAATATCTTGCTGTAGCTTTGTGGCAACCCTCTTACACCCTCTTTTCACATGCGGCGTAACAAGGTCCGTCGAGTATAGGGATAATCCCGAGTCAGGCAGAGAGGAAACCTTTCATGCCGTAAAGATGATCAAATATCTACACGTACCGCCATACAAAGGCGTTGCAGCACAATCTCAGCCTCACCCGCAGGTAACGGCATCCTTGCAAATATCTTCACTGCCCGCCAATGCTAATGAAGATACCGTTCAATGCAGTACTATTTCCACCGTCCATTACATGAACTGTTCTCCCCTTTTTTCCGAGCAGGCTTGGTCCTCGATGCTTTGGAGGAGCCAAACTTCGATGAGGCATATGTAAAGACAAGAGCCATGGATATAGGATCACTCCGGCAGTTCACACAGTTTCCAAAGATACTGGCCTTCAGACTAAAGATCGCTTGAGATTTCATCGTTGTTCAAGTATCAAAATCAAGCTGTGAAAAGCTTAGTCAGCAGCCTAGATGCCAAACGATTTTTTTTCTTTTTGATCACACGCAAATTTCTCTGCCATTAAAAGTCCGTCGGAGAGACAAACGTCTTATGAAGTAGCCTTTGCTTCGATTTCATCTCACCAAACACATGATGAGGTCACAAACAGGATACGAGTTCGGCCCCCATCAAGAAGAGAGTTGGAGAGCTACTCAGCCGTCAGGCTGAGGGATGTCGCCGGCAACTAATCCGTTTCATAGATCTAACACCTGAAGGGATACCGGACGAATGTCCGCTCAGTAGAAGCTTGTCACTGCAAGCCCAATATACCCTATATTGACATCATATTATCTCCACAACCATGTTGAATCCCTTGTTGCTCGGTTAGCCGTGATTCTCGACCTCGTCGGTGTCAACCGGTTGTCGTCATTGGGGCATACAAGCGAGTTACTAGAAGAACCTTATGGGCTTCCCGGCATTATATTACGTCCTTTAACACGACGTTTGCACTAAGAATACGGCGAGCTCTAGATCATACTCAGCTATGATTTCTAGTGCTACCCTTCTTAAGTGGCCCTTCCCTACTAGATGAAAACTCTCGCTGCCTATCAAGCTGACCGAGTTGAACCTTATACGATATTAATCGTGGATTGGAGCCAATATGGCTCGGCCACTAGCTGCATTCCCCAGTAACCTGCTCTTGCTGGTTATCTTTTTCTCCATACATATACTTATTCGGGATATGACATTCTCGCTATGCCTAATAGAAAGGAAATTTGCCGCGGCAGAACGCTGTTATAGTCTTTCTCTACCCCGTCTTAACATTGGCTCTATCTGTTTGTTTATCGTAAGAGGACACGATCTTTATTTCATGCAACGTTAAACGCCAGTCCCTAGTGATATTTATGCCATTTGTCTGCACAGCATGGCTGGATCTACTGTCTCTCCAAAAGTGAAAAGTACCTGCGATGGGCAATCTTTGGAAACACTTTCAGATGATATTGATTCTGTGAATATACTAAAGGCTTCTGTCAAAAATCAGGCAATTTTCGAAGCCTCCAAGTTCGATCAAGGCAAAGACAAGGCCCAGTTCCGGAATTATGAAGTCGCCTGCGAGAAGGTGAAGGAGTTCTATTTTGAGCAACACGAAAATCAAACTGTTGCGTTCAATCTGAAGGCCCGAAATGATTTCAAGTCTCGAACTCGTGCAGAAATGACGGTGTGGGAGGCTATAGAGACACTTAACTTCCTGATAGATGACTCTGACCCAGACACGTCACTTTCTCAGATAGAGCACCTCCTCCAGGCTGCAGAAGCCATGCGGAGAGATGGAAAGCCACGGTGGATGCAACTCACTGGCCTAATCCATGACCTAGGAAAACTACTTTACTTCCTCGGTTCTCAGGGCCAGTGGGATGTTGTTGGAGATACGTTTCCGGTCGGCTGTGCCTTTGACGACAGGATAATATACTCGGCTAAGTCTTTTGAAAAAAATCCGGATTACGGGCATGAAATATATGGGACCGAATATGGAATATATACCCATGGCTGTGGTTTGGACAATGTGATGTTATCCTGGGGCCACGATGAGTACCTTTATCATGTTGTTAAAACTCAGTCAACACTGCCCCCGGAAGCGCTCGCAATGATCCGCTACCATTCATTTTATCCTTGGCATACGGAAGGGGCATACCATCACCTTATGAATGATAAAGACGAACACATGCTTGAAGCAGTTCGTGCCTTCAACCCTTACGATCTATATAGCAAAAGTGATGAGATTCCAGACGTGGAAGAACTCAAGGTTTGTTTCTTGATTTTATTGCATGTTCCAGCCGGGACTAGACTAATACCGGACCACAGCCGTATTATCTCGACCTCATCGACGAATATTTTCCTCAGCGGGTCATTCGGTGGTAAGGGAAATATGTCTCTGCTCATGGATACTAGGCAGAGGTGCGCTGCATCTTAGCCCTATGTGGACTATAAGATGTTCGCTAATATATACAAAAGCAACTCTCAGGATTAATGCACTTTATGCCTTTCACATCTGACATATAATGTGCAGATTGATCAACAGCAGGGGGAGAGTCTGGATAGCGAATTTCCGAACTCTTGGAGATGTGAGCCGCCCTTTGGCCTGTTGGCTTGCTATGAAGCAGGGGCGGGCCTCAATGAGATGAATATAAACCCGTGATTCTAACTTTTGTTATTCGTGCTCGATATTGATAGCCAGATTTATAATGCTCTTATTACAGGCAGTATTTAGTTGCTTACTATTGACAAGGATTATTTCTCTATAGTATCGATAGTTACGGGTGGTAATTCCGGAGGACTGAACCCGCAAGAGTTGGGTGGAGTCCCCGTTGGCAGTACTTGTGATATGAATTACCAGTGGAAGGACCATATAGCACACCATAAGCAACTGGTGGGTTGCATCAAACGATCATGGGGGTGGCAATGCAAACCATCCATATTCCGATTCTCAAAATCCAGAGACAGCTGGCCAGAGTTTCGTGTCACTTGGTTAAAAAGCAAACCACAGCAAAGGCCACAAAGTTGTACAGAGAGATATTGCATAGGATGGCAGCAATATGTGTAGCAGGTCAAGAACAGGCGACCCATGAATTCCACAATTGGCAATAGAATCACAGGCGGTAAAAAGGAATTGCCTTGACAGGACTTCAATGTGACACAGCTATTGAAAACAACGGCAGGGCTATTAGCACGGAAATCATGGAAAACAACAATTTTGATTTAACAATTAAATATCAAAATTCTTGGGTAAAATCGTAAGCTCTTGAATACGCCGTCTATAAATACACCAACACAATAATATGGCAAAGAGGCTACCACTAAAGGGTAAGTAGGAGTGGAGTCGATAGTAAAAAAACCAAAAAAAAGGGCTTAGCCAGGAGAAAGGGAGAGAAGATCAGAATTCTCCCAGCTTCAGGTATGTTAATTGGTGTACATATACAACTGATGATACAGATTTTTTGAATCCACCTGGGTCATAGCATCCGGATAGGAATCAAATAGTTCGGAAGAGTCTGTGATATGGCGCATGCAATGAATGGTATATATCCAGATTGTATGAGCCGAAACGTAATTCCACCAGAATAGCAGCGTCTTATGCTAAGGGTTGCGGGAAAGAAGTGTTCGCGTATCACTTAAACCGGAGAGGTGGGTGGAATATATCGTCAATAAAGGGAAGATGTAGATAGCCTTGAAATCCTTTCTAGAAAAAAAAAGTCCCGCAAAACTCCGGTGCTAATGCTCCAATTGAAGAGAAGGAAAGATGAATAAAAATTTTCCAAGGTGGTAGAGGTATTGACGTAATAGGAGCGAAAGAAGTGGAAATCGGGCGGGTGCCGCATAGGTGAGAGGTCGTTTTTTTTTTTTTTTATTTCACCTTCACAGGTTAACATCGATCATCGATCTTTGAACAATTTCGGGTTCCAGCCTTCCCGTACCTCTTTTTCGATTTTCGCATTCCTCGCTGCTTCTCTGACCTCCATCTCGATTCTTTCGCGAGCACGAAGGATCTTGCTCTGGAGGTAGAAACTTCCACCCTTCTTTGGATCGTTCAGATCAAACAACTTCTTAAATCGCTCCATTGTATGCTCCATGTTTGTCTCTCCACCCATTGGCGGCTTGACATTGAGGATCTTGCATGCTTCATCCAAAGTTAAACCGGAGGATGAGAACGAGCCCGAGGAACTGCCGGTTTTCTGCGCATGCGCTTGGTACCTTGAAGATGCAGACGCTTGCTTATAAGCTTCCGCAAACGCTCGACCAAACACTCTGGTTCCCGTGAGGACAATCTGCGTTAGAATACGATGAGCCTGTTCCAAAAGAAGTCAGCTCAACTCGTCTCCCCAAAGGGTAAAAGATTGCATCCAAGCTTACCATGCTGATCTAAGGGAAAAGAATGAAATAAAAGCCACAGCTCTCCAAGCTCCCAGCATACAAGGGGAAAAAAAGAACGAGATGCAGTAACAAGTCCCGTCTTTTTCGACCTTTGAAGTCGTAAAAAGGTCAAAACTTTCAAACAAAATTTTTAGACCGAAAACGGACTAGCGTAGTATCTGCTTATATAATAATTATATAATCTATAATCACATGAAAAGTATCCACACGTGACGTAGTCTTTGTCGCGTGCAAGTTGAAAGTTGAAGCCGACAAAGTTGAAGGTTGACAAGCAGGAGGAAGAAGAGACGGAGAAAGACGGCTTCAGACAGAGATCGGGTCTATCACTTGCACCTAGGATATAGTTCGGGTTTGCCATATATCACTCTGACGCCTAGGATGAGCTTCGGTGGCCTTCGAATAGGGAAAGCTTCTATAGTTGTATGGCAGCCCTCGGTATGTTTGCCTATATATCACTGCACCCTGGACGACCTCGATATAACGATTCTAACACTCTCTATAGACATACCGTGGGTAGATTCCATGTCCGCAGATCCTACTTCTCAAAATGATGGTGCTTCCGGGTCTCTCGGCCCCAACGATGGACTCCCGCCTACCGTTGCGACTTTCTCGCCCACCAACATATCGGGCAATTCGTTAACGTCGAAACAACGGTCTACGATCATCGTACACCGGAAATCCCCCTTGTTGGTAGCTACTCCTCCTGCGGTCACTCGTGCGCTGGCATACTCCCACCCCTTTCTGCTTCCCTTAAACCGGCTGGCAGGGCTGTTATCATGGACTAGTGGGGATCCGTGGGAGAGTTTCCTTTTGGTCGGTGCCTTCTGGGCTGTTACTCTACACGGTAGCGCTATAATACTATGGGGTGGGCCGATTCTGGTGGTCGTTGGCCTCATTCTGGGCCTATACTCAAGGCGGTACTCTCCTCTGTCATCGACGGGTTTGACGGGGGAGAAACATGGCCATGGAAGAGAAGGTTCAGACGGGTCCTCGAGGCCTCACAAGACTTTGGATGAGATTGTTGAAACGTTACGGGAGTTCACGACGAGGTGTAATATACTACTCGAGCCTCTGCGCGATCTCACCGATTTCCTTTCTACACAGCGAACCGCAACGTCAACTACAACTCGACCTGCCCTAACAGCATTATTAACCCGGATAATTCTCATTACACCTGTCTGGATTCTACTAACGCTTCATCCGATCTATCTCATCACCATCAAAAGGGTCGTCATAACTGTCGGTACCATCATTTTGACGTGGCATTCTAAACCTGCAAGAATCTTTCGAGTACTGCTCTGGAGGTCTTTGACTATTCGACGTATTTGCGGAACCATAACCGGCCTGCAGTTTTCTTCATTACCGCATAATAACGAACATTCGTCTAATACCTTTGCTAAATCTTCTCTGCTATCGTTAACCCCTTTCCGTTCAAAGCAACCAACACAACATGGCTCAACAAAACGTCGTGCAAGTTCTTCGGGAGTACGGTTCACGTTCATCGTCTATGAGAATCAGAGACGGTGGCTGGGTATTGGTTGGACCTATTCTCTATTTGCCTATGAGCGGCCAGCATGGTCGGATGAACACTTGAATCCAGTGCCTCCAAAGGACGAGTTTGAACTCCCCGAAGTCCAAGGTAGCAACTCCAAGTGGAGATGGGTAGCTGGAAGTGAGTGGCGCATTGATGGGGCATCGGATCCATCCGCGAAGAAGAAGGGTAAGGGGAATAAGAATATTGAGAATAAGGACGATGGTGGCTGGATTTATTATGATAATAAGGTATTTACCTCTGATTCATGTACAAATGCGGACGCACTGCTAACGTTATGTTAAAGTGGCACGATGGTCGTCGAGGTCAGGATGGCTGGGGGAGATATACAAGACGCCGTAAATGGTGTCGAGATGCAGAGCTGGTCGAAATTTCCCTCGACCCAGAAGGCGAAAAAACGGCTGCAAAATCAGCAGTTGATAATGAGACTAAATCCAATGGTGATAGTGGGAAGGATAGCAGTTCAGCAGACGATAAGAACGGCACTAAAGTTCGTAAAAGGCGGTGGTTTGGTAGCACCGACGTGAAGGGATTATCGGCGGTTGTACCAGAGCCCTCGAGCTCGAGTCAGCCTCTCAACCCCGAATCATACCCAGTGCCTTCGCCAACAGGATCTAGTCCCCCCAAGACATCGAGCATTTCTAGTGGCCGGAGCTCGCAGCACAACGGCTCCATTCGTGCTCGGAGTAAACGGCCAGCCAGTATCCATACCGAAGGCGACAGAAAGAGCCAATCCTCCAGCATTCGTGAGAGAGAGATTGAAGAGGCCGAGAACATGCCCGACAGGTGGGGTACTCAATCTGGCAATGCAGCAGAGAGAGCAGGCAGGGCCTGGGGACTGGGTGATGACGCTCATATGAGTTTAAGCTGACAAGATTGAGGTCGAGTTTATGTTATTTGTTGGTGTATTATCTTGTCTGGATTACCATGTCTACTTCGAATTGGGGGGTTAGCATTTTAATGACGTGAAAGCGGGAATGGAAATGCCATCAGTCCACGATGGATCATGTAGCACGGCGTTTGAATTGTTATTTTTTCTCTACTTCTGTTTCTTCTCCTGATACTGTACAAAGTCCTTCTTACCTTTCCATCTATTAACTATTCGTCTATTAATACAGAACATAGTTATCCATGCAATCCATGCGTGATATTCACCAGCCTTGGAGGCATTTTGGTTATGGAACAGGCCTAGAATGGAAACTTCCGGCTTTTGACGGTTCGATATTACTGTGTACTTCGTACAGTGATTATATCATCCTTCTGGGCAAAGGATAAATAAAGCGTTGCAGGACTCGTAATTTCCTCTCGGGTTTCTTCGTCGGTGTGCGATCTCTCAGCCGCCGGTTCATAAAGATATAGGGCCAAATCCATGTATGGTTCGCAGCAAGGGTTGCTATAACCGAGTATCCAGATGAAGGAAATAAAAAAACATAATACCCCGATTCGTGTTTTGTCTCCTGGTGCTTGCGATGCTTGCTTCGTAGTTAATAATACCAGGCTTAATCTAGTGTCTCATTTCCGATGCTTGTTCCAGGTTATGATATTGCGACCCTCTAATTAAAATAAGGACAGGGAACGATGTTTATCGCATCGCAATAAACATTTCTGTAAATAGCCGATTCTCCTCCCTTCGTGGAGACAGTAGTAGGCCTTTTCTGCATATATACATAGTATGTACGGAGGACGCGTATATACTTAAGTTAATGGGAAGTCTAATCCCAAACACTCTCTCAGCGCCTTGTGGCTGCCCCATTGCGTTTGTATGGAGCAAACAATGCCGAAGGCCGCAGCTGGCACAGGGAAATGAACAATATAGCCCAAGGGTCAGACCGTATGATGGAAGGACACAGAAAGCCACCATTCCTTCTCTGCCGTTGTGATGCCGAAAACTAGCCAAACGATTAGATCGGTCAATCAGAAGGAAACATAAACGAAAGGGAGTGTTGTCTCTGGTGTTAGGTGCATCAGCCGAAACCTCGCAGTTGGTACTAAAATTAGGCGCAGAACGGAGGACCCCCGTCCAGTATGTATGAGCCGCTGATACGTATGTATCCACGTAGATTTTCTCGGTGTACGGGGTAAATGGCTGCGACTTTGCAGGATGAATCAGGTTGGCTGCAGGGAAATATATGGATCACATTATTCATGAGCCTATCCGCGCTCGAGAACAGGTTATGTGAAAAGGTCAAGTTACCCCTGACAACGTCGCCTGCATGATGAAATATATTACTTCTTCACCCTGACAGGGAGCACTTGCGCAAGGCCACAATGGTGGTTCCCACGTGGAAGTAAGTATATATATCCATCCATCCAATCCGGTTGTATGAGTATAAAATGGCAGTGCGCTTGGTGGCGACATAACATTATAATATACGCTAGTACCAGTCCTGGATCCCACCGAATTCCCCGATCCGGTATAGCGTTCCTGATCGGGGAAGGCGTCTCCTGCTAGCGCGTGGTAATATAGACGGCTCTCCTCGCTGCTTTAACCTCACCTACTCCAGCTGTGCCTTCAAGCAACGAAGATATAATATTGTAACTAGTATTTAACCAAGCAAGTGTTGATGGATGAGCCGGAGGGGACTCTGAGTATTGGCCTTTTTGGCTACCCGGTGGTGGTCATTGGATTCCTTTTCGTCGACCAACTGTTCGATCGATTCCCCATATACGGGTGGGAAGGCTTATATCCATTAGTAGAGGTCTTTTCATAGACGACATTAACGACATTATTAGAATAGCCACGAGATCTTAGACTGTCGTAGGCTAAGGCATTTTTTTTCGCCACTCACTATGATTTAAATATTAGTATAGAGTAATTTCTCATCAAGGGATAGACATACACGAGGGAGTCGCTTTATTTCTTTCTGGTATTTGGTGGGGATTCCTGCATCGATATCTGTAATAGACGCAAGTTGTTGAAGTCTTGTAGTAGATCCATCCGTTGAATCCTTCGACCGCGTGGAAGATAAATCTCTTCGTTCCTTAGATACAGTTTCCGACCCATCTGGATAAGTAGATTTCCGATTTCTAGATTGGCTCATACGTAATGATTCATCTAATTCTGCTTCCTTAACAGTGTTGTAACCCCGTGGATATGTTCGTATGGCGCGGTAAGACGCAGATTATAGTCGGGGTCGTCCATGGACGATCGGTTGTGATGCTCCCCAATACTTTGATCACTTGGTATCGCCATGGGCTGGAATGTAGTCGGGATAGAAATTATTTGTCCTTTTGGAGAAAGGAGCGAAGTAGTACCTAGTAGCGGGCGACTACCTATGATAAGAGTAACGAGGTACTCCATGTGTTGAGATATGATTGAATAAATGATTTTGAACTCGGGTTCAAAGTCGTTTGATAAGAGAATTGAGATAAAAGAGTAGTTTGTTACTCGACGAGCCACTACCCATTAACGAGCCGTATAACCAGATTGATTATTTTCTTGATTCAGAACTGTTGAAAGTTGCTTGGATGGCCTATTAACGGGTAGTGGCTCGTTGAGTACTCCGTAGTAGTTAAGATGAAGATATCGAAAATATACTTGCTGGCGTTTGTAGTGCGGCGAGCAGTGAGATGATGACTAAGCTATATTTCATTATATCGAGTCGTGGGGCTCAATACTTGCTGATACTGGAATACGTAATTCTACGTACTATGTAGGGAGTAAGTCTCTACCAGTGGTTAAAAGTCGTAATTCTCCAAAACTATGTCCCTATTAAAAATGGTATTCAAAGGCCGCCGTCCGTGTCAGAACATTTGGTGACACCCTAGTTTACTCCGTATAGTTTGTGGTAATATATATATAGATGGAGAGAATAACCCTAGACGGAGTACTCCGTGCGGCCTGAATTCCCGTCGGATGCTGTTCCTTACTTTTTCGATAGTGATAACCGGGAAGAGCGTCGATATATCCCGTTCGAGGTAACATCGAACAACCATTTTATAGAATGAGGTGCAGTGTACGAACTTATCTCAGGCAGATGTCGAAGGGAAATCTAACATAGATTAAGCATATCCAGCTGGGCTCGGGTTCCCCATTCAGGTGCTTGTATCCACAAGAATTTGTTTCAAGACCTGTACTCCGTAGCTTGGGCTGACGCAGTGATGGGTAGGGCTCCTACGCAAAATGATTGGCGATGTCTCTTGACGGTTCGATGCGGCCGGTGTGTTGGACAAAATTAACATGTGTACCCATACCAGTCATATTCTTCGTGGAGAGAGAAATAAAAATGCATGTTTGTATTCGTATATGCTGGATGAAGTCTGTATATAAGTGTCGAAATTTTGTGGTTTTGGAGCGCAGATTCGAACGACCCCTGCGTCTTACGATCCTGAGAGGCATACCACCACTCTCGCACAGTTCCTGCATGCGAGCTCACTCTCTCCAGGAACAGACTGTGTCAGATTCACAAGGGTAAGGGCTGAGAAAGCGAAAAAAAAAAAAAAAAACCATGTATTGTTCCGGTCTGCCCAAGTGACCAAATAATTCCCCAAGTAAATTAACCAAGCTGATCCCACGAGGATAAAAAAGAGGGATAAATCCTGTACAAGGCCCAGACCTAGCAGCCGTTCCCACCAGAACGGAGGATGGGATCTAAATAAATTGTTAGCGCTGGTCCTGGACGGGGAGACTCTGCCACACTCCATACTTACGGGTCGATTTCCAGTAGTCCATAACCACTACTCCATAATCCAACATACTACATAGTATATATCCGCGGTAATTGCTTCGCGCGCAGGCAGGCTTGTATCATTTTAAAATGCAGTGCCCTTGTCGCCCAGGCTCGCCGGCGAACTGCAAGACCTGCCTGAACTCCCCTGTTCGTCCCCCCCTACCCCATTTACATAACATACTGTAAAATCGCAGGAACGTCCCAGGGGTGACGCTTTGTGGAGCACGCCCTAAACTCCAACTAGCATAGTCAGGGGGAGCAAACAAACGTTCCGCCATCCTCAAAAATCTTCAATCCCCGTCCCTGTCCTCATCGTTGGCCACAGGCATTCTCGGATTGGCGGCGGATGGCTGGCGCCAGTCCAGGCTACCATGCCCACGCCCTGGGAATGCTGAAGCCTGGAAAACCTGGTGATATCTCGTCTATTATTGATAAAAAAAAGTACTCTGTATCTTGGATAGCAATAATGCCCCGGCTGAAGAACAGGCTCGTAACTCCATGAGCACTATGTCACTAGTGCCTGACAAGAGTATCGTAAATCTAGTTGATACTAACGGCTAGCGGGCCCTCTTTTTTCTTTTTTTTTTTTCTTTCTTCTTTTCATCTCTCTGTCTCTATTTTTTTTTTTTACCGGTCGTCCTTTGAGCAATTTCAGGGTTTCCCAAGAATTCAGTTGAAGCGGAGGCGAATAAACGGCAATCAAAAGAGACGCATCTGAAAATCTGCTGGAGCGTCTCGCTTAGACCGCTATCTGGTGGAGTGCAGCTGGCATATACTTCAGAGGCAAAGATCGTATCATATCCCGATTATTCCTCTTTTCCACAAAGCCTTCTTGTCTGCACTTCGACGTCACAGTGTGGGAGGAAACGGCTTGTTTCTTATGCCATCCTGGGTCAGTCTCAGCATCGTCTTTCGTCCCAGGCCCTTCGGTTTTTTGGCCCTTGCTTGTGCATATCAGACAGACTATCGATTCGAATATTGACGACGCCGTACGACCCTGACGTCCCTGGCTGCTGGACGCGAGCGAGAGAGACACTGCACTTTCGCTTCTCTCCTTCGAGATCGACAATCTGCTTTCTTTTTCACTGTCCATGCAATAAGATGGCATACATTGAAACCTAACTCTTCCCATGGTAGGACGGCCCGAGATCTTGCAGGTCTTCTTCGTTCAGATCAGTTTCGCCTTGTTCCTGACTCGCTGGTTGCATCTTCATCCTCTTTTCCCCCCTCTCTTTGCGCTGGGGCACTGGACTTCAAATTGACCGGGTCTTCTTTCTTTGAAGAGTCTCTTGTCAAAAGTCTCTCCTTTCTTCCCTCCATCACATTCGCGTATGTAACATAATCTTGTTGCGTGGCTGGCGTTTTTGGTGTATCTCGATCGTTGACATTGTGACTTTCTTCTAGTTACGAAAAGGGAAAAAAAGGACTACATCACACTCGTTCATCTTTTCTCTCTCTATATTTCTTTTAAGACGACCAGCCCGGACAACGGAATATTCTACTTCTGTCTCTCGTTAACAACAATTATTTACTCTCTGTCATACTCCTCTGCGAGGATAACTCACCCCCTGTTCCGCTGGGTTGGAACTGACTGTCCCTATACCTGAGTCTACCGCGCTCAACCTCGATCTTTCAACGCCCATTCTGCTACATTTTTTGAACGAACAACGGAGGATAAAAGAGAGAAAAAGACCCGGCTGCCATCATGAACCGGTTCAGAAACCGCAAGAAACGTGGCGATGGCCCTGATTTATCTGATGCTCCCCCGGTTCCCATCTTCTCTAAGCAGTTCTTCAAGAAGAAACCTGAACCAGAGCAGCCTCCGAAGATAGACCTGGCGACCGCACTGCCTACAGATAATGACTTCCGGACCAGTCTGCTAATGCCGAATTTATCAGCGAGGTTTAGCATGCTACGTGAGCAGGATGACCCCAATTCAAAGCTCGGCAAAGCAAACGATGACAGCGTCTTATTCCCAAAGAGAGCGTCTAGGTTGAATTTGTTTGCGCACTCACAGCTAGCTGACATCACCGAAGTTGGGTCTCTTCACAGCTCTGACCGACCTTCTCTCAATATTGGTCGGTCCTCCTACGCTTCTGGTTCGACTGATGATGATTGTAATGCCCTTTCCAGCATTATGAACAGGTCGAGGCCGGTTGAAGGGAATACACTGTTTGGAGGGCGCCAAAAGGTCTATAAGATCCCAAATACACGGAGTGAGCCAGCTTCGGAGAACGAAGGAGGATCAGAGGGAGGTGATAGACACAGTACGACAATGGGAGGGAGGCAGCTGTATCAGAACGATGTTGGGTCTATATTTCAACGGCCAAAGGAGGACGACTTGAAGTCAGAGCCTGACTCGCATCTAGCAGAGTCTTCCCCAGCGATACCTCTGCCATCCCCTAGACAAGCCGAATCTTCTTCCTTTTTAGTCGGCGAAAACAGAAACTCCACTTCAACAACTTCAGCCAATTCTCAGGGACTTGCATCTAGACATGGATCGGTAACTACAGAAACCTCTACAAGAAGTAACCAAAATTCGACGGGAATGAGTCTTGAGCGGAATCCGACAAAAACCCGACGACTATACGATCGTGGTCTAGAACTTCAGAACCAGCCTTCTGCTCTTTCAAGGCTGGAGAGCGTCAGTCGTCAACGAGCAATGGCGAGTGATGGCATCTTGATCAACCGATCTCTATCTAAGAGTGCTGTCAATCTTAATGAAAGATACCAAAAACTCTCTCCGGTCTATTCTTCTACATCCTTTAGACCTAACAGCCCTCCGCCGTCCTCAGCTTCGTCCGTTGTAGGAAACTCAGAGCATCCCAAAAGGCCATCACCCGTCAGCACTACGAACTCCCACCAGGGGATCTCAACTGGATCTCCATTGAGTCCCCCTGCAAGTGAGACCGAAGAAGGTTCTGCATTTGCGGCTGCAGTTCAACCAGAGGACCGTGGGAAGGCCACGGCTACCGGTTTATTCAACAGACCTGCCTCGAAGTACGATGATAACCAATTTTCCCAACGTCAGATCCAAATACACGAAAATAAAAGTAATGCGTCATTGCATCGCCCAACATTGGCTCGAATCGGCTCGGATCTTACAGATTCTGGACGGCCAAGAGGCATGTCTGTTACAAGTCATCAATCCAAGCCAGAGTCTCCGGGGTTACCTACTCATAATAACTCCCCGCTCTCAACCCCCCATAGCACAGATTTCCGACCAACGCCTTTGCGCAATGAGAAACCCCAGTTTCCAACCAACCCGTCCACTTTCCTGGCTGACTTTAGTGGAAGCGAATCTGGAAGTGAGGGAGAGGAAGACATGTCAAATAAACGAGTCTCTCCCTTATTCCGCCCTAATGAGGGCATTGGGTCTCCCCTGAGAGTCGGTGTGGAATTTAAAGGCTCGGCCACTTCCGTCCCACCCGCCAAATCTTCTCATCCCGCCCTTGGAGGGGAGTTTAGTTATTCAGAATCTCGAGATTTGAACACTATAAAGGAAGACGAGACGGCTCCTAATTCCGTTTCTCCTATCCCAGAATTGCAGCCTCTTACAGAAACAGAATCCCCTATTCTTGGACCAACTGGCCTTAGTAGTCTTATTCGAACTCATCTGAGGCAGGACAGTGACAAGTCTACAATTTACCCTCCACCATCGCCACTTTCAATGGATCATCCACCAGAAAATGTTCGCCCAGGTAAACCTCAAGCCCAAGAAGCTAGGTCATCAGACCTTGCGGTCAGCATTCATAGCAATCCATGGGAGTATGATGATTGGGCTAGGCCGGTCCATCACCCATTAGACACAGCATCCAATCATCATGAACCTGACTTTTCGAGCATTTCTCTACGGGCAAAGCAAATGCTCGGACAGGCAACTGCCCTCAGCAACAAGAGCGGTGATAAAGAGAGTACACCAAACATGGCAAATCAGGAACAGCAAAATCCAGCCCCTTCGGAACCTCCAGTCTCTCAAACGACTCCTACCCCTTCTCAGGCCCCTTGGGAGGAGGAGATTAAACGTGGTCACCACCGTGGAGGTAGTACGGAAACCCAGATGGAAAGGGAAGAGTTTGCTAATGAGCTAGCTGAAAGACGGCGCAAAGTTCAAGAAAAGCTGAAGAATTTCGCAGAGAACGAGAGCAGGTCTACCAGCCCGGCCCCCAGCTATCGTTTTCCGGACAACGGCGGGAACGGCGTTCACAGCCCCAACAAGACTGGCAATGCCTTTTCACTCCTGAAGGCCAAGGCATCCAGAAACCAGAATAACCAGTCAAAGCCGGAACACCCGTTCTCTAAGTCCTCGAAGCTCTTAGGGTTGGATAAACCGCAGTTTAATTCATCAGCGCCCAATTTACAGCAGAGTAGTGAAATGTGGCGAGAAGACGAGGAAAGATCAACACGACGCTTGGTCCGAAAATCCAGAGCTGAATCCCCAAACATGGGAGGGAGCCGGCATCACGGCTGGGGTCGTCAAGCACTACCACCACAGTCTACCACGCCACAATCGCGCCGAAGTGAGGAGGATAGTAGAACCTCTGCCAGGGATAGTGCTTCATCAGCCCGGAGAAGTGGACCCAGAGACAGATCCGATTCTGATACTTCTGGCCGTTCAAAGAGTCGACCTAGATACCGTGAAGATCTTGGCCCTGTTAGAGAAAGCGTTGAACAGCCAAGGATGAGCAGACCATCGACCGAGGGTAAAGCATCTAGAAGCTCATCAACTCGACCATCTATGGAATCAAACGACCGCAGAACGAGGGACCGTTCAGCATCCGTCGGTAGATACAGGAGTAACTCTCGACCAGTACCACCAAACTACATCGACCTCCAATCCCTTCCTGCTCCAAGTCCTACACTTCAAAATAACCATCATCCTGCCATGCTACACTCGCCGAGGCCTCCTCCTTCTCCAAACACACACCCGTACTCAGCTAATGCAACTCCTCCTTTATTTGAAACTTCACCCGCATTGACTACCCCGACTCATGGGTTTGGAGGGCCCCCCATGCAATACCCACACCCCCAGCGAAACTCTCCCGTTCCGAGCCCCAACAATACGCAACAGAGTCTAGGTTCTCATAAGAGGTGGGTGGACAAGTCCCAAATATCTGAGCCTACGTTTATCTCAACCACTTCCAATGTGCCCACAATTGGCTTACCTGCCGGCGCTAGTCTCGCCAATGGATCTCCAACACCACCCATTCCTGCGATGAACCCTAGGAGAAAACGACAAACTACTACACAGACCATCCTTGGCGCACTCAAGGTATCCTCTCCTCCTGATAGAACCGATCCATATCACCACCACCAGCAGAATCAGAACCACCCTCCTCATCCTAGCGCACCTCGAAGGTCAGAGGAACACAGTACCTTTTCAGATGATGAGAAACGCCCTAGGGCCCGCCAAAGACTTAGAAAGATCTCAAGCGAGGGAGGCAACTTGAACGCAAAAGCTAGACATCATTTGATGAACGGAGCCTCGCCAGCGCTACCACCCCCTCCAAAACATAACCGAGTTGAGGGTTTACTTTAAATCAATTTCTCTTCTTTACCATCGCCCTTACAGTGATGCGTCTGTCTTGTATAATTCTACCTGTTAACATTTTTCTTTCTCTTTTTTTCAGCACCTTCCTTGCTAGGGGCACCTGAACCAACTTCGTCCCTTAGAATCTACCTTTCTAAAAGAATTTGTGTACAAAATTTTTTTCTGCTTTTCTTGTGTACATGTTTTGCTTATATTCTTCTTACCTTTCACTTGACGTACGACATGTCAGTTTACTTTACACTTCTTTTCTTTTTTTCCTCATTAAGATTCTTTCAAGACCGATGTTAAATACCCCTTTCTATGGCCCCCCAGGGTGGGAGCATATCTCCTTTAAATTCAGCATGATTTAGGTAATTAAATTTCTCCTCAGCCTTTGTAGTGGTGCCTCTTCTAACCCTTACGTTGATCTGTAACGACTCCATGATTATCAGTTATAAGATGGAACAGTAAGTTGAAAGCCTAGTAGAAGGTAGGTATTTAACAGAATCTATACCTTGGATAAGAACTGGAAAAGAAATCTATAGTGGCACAACCCAGAAGAGAAATAAAGAAAACCGTTTCAACCTGCCCGCAACACAAAGAGTCATATCTCATGGTGCCTCAGTCTATCAATAGCTGGAGACACAAAAAAAGAACGTCATGGGAGTATAAGACCGAATTCAAAATGTTTTTGATCGTCTCAAGCGGGAAGAAGCAAGAAGGATAGGACGTATCTCTAACCCTATCCAATCACGACCGATAATCGCTCCCAAAGGTTGCTCTGCATCAAATAAAGCTTGCTCTTCCCATCCTAAAATTTCGTGTTCGGAATCGAGATGACCGCTCAAATTTCTGTTTGGGGGAAGGTTTCTCAATTTCAGCATGCGATGCGCTTCACGCTCCTGAACAACTTCTTTGACAAGCTCTTCAGTCAGCTTCCCCTGAAGCCGCATGTATTTGAATAGTTTTCGTAACTGTTTGAATGGGAGTGAGAGAAGAAGAAGGGATATATTGGGAGGCATTATGCTGGAATGAGGCAGCCGAATGAACGAGCAACTGGGCTTGTCAAGTTTGAAGCTCACTGGGATACTATCCACCACAAACCGAAGGGAGATATTCAGGACTCTTTTAGCCAATGCTGCAAGTGTCTGAGAAGTCACATAGAAGGTAGTAGGGAGGTTATTCTCAATCTTGTCGGTGGAGCCGTTCGGATTTGAATTACTCTCGACATTCGGATCAATAACCGCGAGTTCAAAGGGTATCGGACACAGACCAAAGGACAAAGCAGGCTCTAAAGTTTCCCAGCATAAAACGTCAGAAACCATCTCCAGTCCACGCTCCACAACACGGCTGTCCATAAAAAATGCACCAGCCATTGCGTAACATAGGGCAAAGTTCATCCGAGAAATCCTGACTGCCTTGGCTATGACATCACCTTCTGCCTGAATATTGGATTTGTTACTGGAATGGAGGGGTATCTGAGAGAATAGCTGATCTTTGTTGAACAAAGGTTGACCATATAAACATAGCAAAGCCGAGACAAATGCTGAAGGATAGGTGAAAGATGCTCCAGCCAAGATATAGAGGATTGGAGATTCTCTATTATCAAGTTGATCAAGAAGTGAGGATAGACGTCGGCTTCTTGATGCGATAATTCGATGAACCGAATGAGATACTGGGGAAAAGATGCCAGTGCAAGAATATAGAATAATGTTGATATCAAAATGCTTTCCAGATTCGGATGCGTTCAATAGATGAGAGGCAGCCATCTCGTCTTGCTTTAAAATTAGGTTGAATACAGACGCGTGTTTTTTCTCCATTTCCTGCTGGCTTTGCGAGATCAACGAATCTGAGGAGCTAGGAGAGTAAAGTTGACAGCAACCAAGAGGCGTAAATATGTGATGATCGCCTGTGGTGTAGCTGTTTGGAGGAGGAAAGGGCTCCACGGGAGGGATGCCCTGACTGAATGATGGTCCCGGCCGTGAGAATGAGGGATGGCTAGAGGCTGGAAACCATGGAGCATGAAGATCGACATGGGAAGCTTGTGGGATGTTAGGCAGATAGCCATAGCAGCCGCCGCCACCACCAGGAAAAGGAGGATGAGGAGCTAGGGGAGAAATGTGGTGTTCCTTATCCATGGCTAGCTGATATGGTACGTTTGTTGGAGAGACTGAGGCAGGTCTGTCTGGACGGCCAAATACTATCCCATATCGTTCAAAGACTGCACGTACAGACTCGACCTCATTTACCATTGACGTCTTATTCACCAGTGAATGCCCCTTCTCAGTACTGGTAGGTGGTGAAGTAATTTTGTCGTCCTTCACAGTGAATGGCTTGGCAGGACAACGAGCAATTTGTCCTCCGGAGACCTCTTGGGTAGCAAAGGCGTAAGCCTCAAAACTAACACGTTCCTCCTCCAGAGCTTTTTTCTCGGCTTCACGAGATTTTTGCACTCTGAGTCTTCTCCATTTGCTCTTGGACATGGAGCTCTGCCTTCCCTTCGCACCCATCTTAGCCTAGCAGCAGGGTGAAAATGCTGCCCCAAGAACCGTCGAATTCTCTGGCCGGATATTAGTGGCCCAAGATAATATCTGTAGAGTAGCTATATAATTAGAAGTTTCCTGGCCATCAAATGAAGTATAGTTAGTGGGGGGGGGGATAAACTCCCCCCTGCTAAGTGAAATACTTCAGGGGGAGTGAGGCAAGGGAAGGGTATATACACTGAGCTGACCCGGGTCATGTATATGCCCCAACCCTGGAAATCCCGCATGAAAAGAGTCGACTGACTGAGAGACTTACAATAAATAACTGAAATGACAAAAGAAATAGACGATATCTCCCACCCCTTTGACATTGAAAGCGTATGGCTTGAGGGAGAAAAAGCAGGAGAACCGCGAGATTGTTCAACTACCTTTCATTCTCCCCCACCTCTCCACTTCAGGTAATTGGGATGGCCTTTATCATCTCTCCTCCACTGCCTGAGAGATTAAGAAATGAAGAGAGAAAAGATAACTTACTAGATTCAAATATGAATGAAGCTGTCCAACTTTCTTATATCAACGGAGGTTCAAATAATCCGAAGAGGAGGAAGAACATGAGCACGTGATATTTTATCACATGAGAAAACAAAACAGTGACAAAAAAGGAAAGGTTCGGGCACTATGACAAAAGTGGAAGTGATGGCTTGCTGCAACAGTTGATGACTCAGCAGAAAGGAGAAGAGGATTTTGCAAGAGGAAGAGTAGGAGACCAGAGAAGGAGAAGAGAAGAGGTTTGATAGCTTCTGTAGTCTCAATAGGACCTCTTGATCTAAGAGAAACCTTGGGAGTCTTCTGTAGCGATTGTTTCTCAGGCTTGCAGGCTTGTAGCAGCTGAAGGAAAGGAGGGAAGATAAAGAGGAACAGTGAATAGTCACTATTGAATAACTATTATACAAGTAGAGAAAGAGTGCTAAAAGATCCGACGGAAGCAGGCTTTTGGTATTTCTAGATAATATATCTAAATGTACTCCTGGTTCTGATCTTATGAGATGCTCTCTATCTATATCTATGCCATAGCAGCATATATATATATATATAAGAGAGAGTCACTGACAATAAGTCTGGTTTAACGTCTTTTCTGCTAATTCCTGACATCAATATTATCTGTATATCTGCTTCTTAAAAGTATGGTTCAATGGCTTATCCCCATTATGTTGTCATTGTGGCTGATAGGCTTCCAAAGGGTAGGGATCCGTACAGGAGAGACTCATACTACATAGTATGTAGTGTATCTGTAATGACCAAATGAGGGGAAGTCCTCTGAGGTATTGTATATATGGAGGTTCCGTGGCTGTCTGGGTTGTGAGAGCCGACGTGTTTGAAATACTGCGCGATCGAGGGGGCCATCCGTTGGGGCGACTGGTTGACTCTGCGCTGGCCGTTCATTGTACATCATAACGAGATGCGGCCTCTGATTGGGCTTCCACGGTGTACGCTAATGTACATCGTAAGTTGTTCAACTTCGCTTTTGCTTTTCGTTGAAGTCGCAAAAACAAAAAGGTGAAATCACGTGCTCTTATCTGCCAGCGAAGCCCAACTTTCTAGCCTTGGCAAAGAGATTTTAAAATTCTTGGAAGTTTTGACTCATATATAAATTTATATATGGAGCTGTGCTCTCTTGCTGGTTTCCCCATCTCTCTATTCCATTATCTTGAGCATACAGGAAGGATAGTTTGCATCTCGGCAACAGAGACCTAATTGCTTTTCTGGATATAACTCAAAACGCGGAGCCATCATGCCATTCGCTAAACCCACAGTTGAGGACAACGATGATAGCAGAGGTATGTCCCTGACTCTTTGGAGTGACCTCTAAGTTAAAATGCCTAGGAGCTAATCCGGGCTGCAGTGCTGGGATATGATCCATTGCTCTCGCCTCAGTTCCTTCAGACAGAGGTGCCTGTGGTAAGCTTGCCCCGCAACCCTGATGTGATCGGTGAAAACTTCTAACAGTCGTTTCTTCCGTGGCGATTAGCCTGCCTCTGCAGTGGAAACAGTCCGAGTGAGCCGCAAGGAAGTCATTGAGGTCATAGAACAGCGTGATGACCGTCTTCTTGTCATCTGCGGACCATGCTCGATTCACGACCCTGCCACAGCGCTGGAGTACGCTGAACGCCTAAAAGCCTTGTCCGACAAGCTAAAGGGTGATTTGTGTATTATCATGCGAGCATATCTGGAGAAGCCTCGAACAACTGTTGGGTGGAAGGGATTGATCAACGACCCCGATATTGATCAATCGTACAACATCAACAAGGGTCTTCGCATCTCTCGAAAATTGTATGCGGACTTGAACAGCATGGGTATGCCGATCGCGAGCGAGATGCTGGATACAATCTCGCCTCAGTATCTTGCTGATTTGATCTCTCTGGGTGCTATCGGTGCTCGCACCACCGAATCCCAACTGCATCGTGAACTGGCATCCGGTCTTAGTTTCCCCATCGGCTATAAGAACGGCACGGATGGAAATATTGGGGTCGCAATCGATGCTATAGGTGCTGCAGAGAAACCACACCGTTTCCTCGGAGTCACCAAGCAAGGTTTGGCTGCTATTACCAAGACAACCGGTAACGAGCACGGTTTCGTCATCCTCCGCGGAGGTACCAAAGGCACCAACTATGATGCAGAGAGCATTGCTGCTGCCCGCGAGCAGCTAGCGAAGAAGAAGCAGCGGGAAATCCTAATGGTTGACTGTTCACATGGAAACTCCAAGAAGGACCACCGAAATCAGCCCCTAGTAGCTCAATCCGTCGGTGACCAGTTGCGTAAGGGTGAAGAGGGTATCATTGGAGTCATGATTGAGTCCAATATCGCGGAAGGCAACCAGAAAGTTCCCCCAGAGGGCCCTTCTGGGCTCATCAAGGGTGTTAGCATCACCGATGCCTGCATCAACTGGGAGACGACAGTGGAAGTCCTCGAACAGCTGGCAGAGGCTGTGCGTACAAGGAGAGAGGTCTGCTCAAAGAAGGCATAGAAGAAATAGGGGAGGAATTTAGGTTATCTCGAACTATGGAATTTGCAATTAATCACTTGGAAGTAGGGGAGGGTATCAAAAAAAAACAACATTCCGGGTTAAAAGTTTTCCTTTGATAGAAATTGAAGGGGTGTCCGTATAATAAACGAGTAGAATAAGTTGGTCCAGGGAGTAGATTTGGCCTCATAATAAATGATAATAATAATCCTTTCGTGGTAGAAACTATCGGTCATCGAGATGGGTTTCGCTCAACCTGCTCTCTCATAAATCCGTAGCAAAACCTTAGGCTGTGGTATTTCCATTCATCAGCGCTGTCGCAGATGAAAGGCCCCTTCTAACGTAGATGGATTCTCACCATCGTACGCAACGTCGAAAGGTCGTCTTCAACTGCTTGACTCCCAGATTCCAACAACAGCAAAAAACTTGGGTCAAGCGGGCGAGGGCGACGGTTGGGGGTTTTTAATCATCGACGGGGGTGGAATTGCCGCGAAACACCCGTACCCACTTCTATGCCGTCCAATAGCGTGATGGCACCGGATATTTAAATATTTAATCTCCAGGATGCAAGAAGCTCCAAAATATACATAGTACGACGTTGTATATAGAGAGCGTTTTTCTTTAAGAAGAGTAGGAAAGAAATGTATGCATGTTATCATAAAAATATACCAATGGGTTGAAGATGCCGAGTCCTACTCCTCCAAAGGGGAACAAAAAGAAAAGAAAATAAGTTTCAGCTCAGTCCTTGCATAGGTCCTGTAAGA